CGCCGTGTGTACCCACTGTGCCGGGCCCCCCAGCAGGCCTCGAAAGTGGCGACAGTTTCACAGATCGCAGCCCCCCAAGGATGGCGAGGTTGAAATTGAGTCTGCGGTGGGTACCCGCTGCGCTGTGCCCCACAGCAGCCCTCGAAAGTGGCGACAGTTTCGCAGATCGCAGCCCCCCAGGGGTGGCGAGGTCTAATTTGAGTCTGCGGTTAGTACCCACTGCGCTGGGCCCCCCAGCAGGCCTCGAAAGTGGCGACAGTTTCACAAATCGCAGCCCCCCAGGGATGGCGAGGTCCCATTTGAGTCCGCCGTGTGTACCCACGGTGCTGGGCCCCCCAGCAGGCCTCGGAAGTGGCGACAGTTTCACAGATTGCAGCCCCCCAGGGATGGCGAGGTCCCATTTGAGTCCGCCGTGTGTACCCACTCTGCTGGACCCCCCAGCATGCCTCGAAAGTCGCGACAGTTTCACAGATCGCAGCCCCCCAGGGATGGCGAGGTCCCATTTGAGTCCGCCATGTGTACTCACTGTGCTGGGCCCCCCAGCAGGCCTCGAACGTGGCGACAGTTTCACACATCGCAGCCCCCCAGGGATAGCGAAGTCCGATTTGAGTCCGCCGTGGGTACCTACTGCCCCCAGCACGCCTCGAAAGTGGCGACAGTTTCACACATCGCAGCCCCCCAGGGATAGCGAGGTCCCATTTGAGTCCGCCGTGTGTACCCACGGCGCTGGGCCCCCCAGCAGGCCTCGAAAGTGGCGACAGTTTCACAGATCGCAGCCCCCCAGGGGATGGCGAGGTTCTATTTGAGTCCGCCGTGTGTGCCCACAGCGTTGGGCCCCCCAGCATGCCTCGAAAGTGGCGACAGTTTCACAGATCGCAGCCCCCCAGGGATGGCGAGGTCACATTTGAGTCCGCCGTGCGTACCCACTGTGCCGGGCCCCCCAGCAGGCTTCGAAAATGGCGACAGTTTCACAAATCGCAGCCCCCCAGGGATGGCGAGGTCACATTTGAGCCCGCCGTGTGTACCCACTGTGCTGGGCCCCCCAGCAGGCCTCGAACGTGGCGACAGTTTCACACATCGCAGCCCCCCAGGGATAGCGAGGTCCGATTTGAGTCCGCCGTGGGTACCCACTGTGCTGGGCCTCCCAGCAGGCCTCGAAAGTGGCGACAGTTTCACAGATCGCAGCCCCCCAGGGATGGCGAGGTACCATTTGAGTCCGCCGTGTGTACCCACGGTGCTGGGCCCCCCAGCAGGCCTCGAACGTGGCGACAGTTTCACAGATCGCAGCCCCCCCCGGGGATGGCGAGGTCCCATTTGAGTCCGCCGTGTGTGCCCACAGCGTTGGGCCCCCCAGCATGCCTCGAAAGTGGCGACAGTTTCACAGATCGCAGCCCCCCAGGGATGGCGAGGTCACATTTGAGTCCGCCGTGTGTACCCACTGTGCCGGGCCCCCCAGCAGGCCTCGAAAATGGCGACAGTTTCACAAATCGCAGCCCCCCAGGGATGGCGAGGTCCCTTTTGAGTCCGCCGTGTGTATCCAGTGTGCTAGGCCCCCCAGCAGGCCTCGAAAGTGGCGACAGTTTCAGATCGCAGCCCCCCAGGGATGGCGATGTCCAATTTGAGTCCGCCGTGTGTACCCACTGTGCTGGGCCCCCCAGCAGGCTTCGGAAGTGGCGACAGTTTCACAGATCGCAGCCCCCCAGGGATAGCGAGGTCCCATTTGAGTCCGCGGTGTGTACCCACTGCGCTGGGCCCCCCAGCGCGCCTCGAACGTGGCGACAGTTTCACAGATCGCAGCCCCCCAGCTGGCACGCGGCGGCGAGCGAAGGCAGGGGGGCAGAGAGGGACCGGGGGGGCGGGAAGGAAGGCGCGAGCACTGCTCTATTCAAAACGAGAACCCAACGCAGGAAGGTTGGGACAAAAATCAACAACAACTACTACGACTATTCATATTTCTACGACGACGACGGCGACGATTATTACCAGTAGCACTACTACTACTACTACTACTACTACTACTACTATTACTACTACGACTACTACTACTACTACTACTACTACTACTACTACTACTACTATTACTACTACTACTACCACTACTACTACTACTACTACTACTACTACTACTACTACTACTACTACTACTACTACTACTACTACTACTACTACTACTACTACTACTACTACTACTACTACTACTACTACTACTACTACTACTACTACTACGACGACACGACGACGACGACGACGACGACGACGACGACGACGACGACGACGACGACGACGACGACGACGACGACGACGACGACGACGACGACGACGACTACTACTACTACTACCTACTACTACTACTACTATACTACTACTACGACTAATACTACTACTACTACTACTACTACTACTACTACTACTACTACTACTACTACTACTACTACTACTACGAACTACTACGGCTACTACGACTATCACGGCTACGACTACTACTATCACTACTACTCCTACTCCTACTACTACTACTACTCCTACTACCACTACCACTACTACTACTACTACTACTACTACTACTACTACTACTACTACTACTACTACTACTAGCACTACTATCACTACTACTACTACTACTACTACTACCACGACTACTACTACCACTACTACTACTACTACTACTACTACTACTACTGCTGCTGCTGCTACTACTACTATTTTTATTTTTGCAACTACTAACACTACGACTACCAGTGCTGCTGCTGTTAGTGTTACTACCACGGTTAGTGCGATTATTATAAGTGCGATTGCTACCATTGACGACGACGACCACTATTTCGACGACAACGACGACGATTACGTCAACGACTACGACTAGGACTACGACCACTATCAGTTTTATTACTACTACTACTACTACTACTACTACTACTACTACTACTACTACTACTACTACTACAAGTGCGATTCCTTACGTACCACTGCTAGTCTTACTATTACTTTTGATCTGCTTCCTACGACTACTACTGCTACTATCACTTCTACTACTGCTGCTACTACTACAACTACTACTACTACTACTACTACGACGACCTACTACTACTACTACTACTACTGTTTCCTTTCTTTTTACGGCTACTACTACCACCACCACTATCATTGCTACTACGACCTCGACTACTATTACCATTACTACGATTGAGCAACAATTGCTTCGACGGCGACCTCGAGCACGACTACCACCAACACTGCCACTAATTATTATTTACGGGTTCTACAGCTAGCATTACTCATGCGATTACGACTTCTACTGCTACGACTACAACTAATATTGCTACTACTACTGCTGGTACTACTACTTCTGCTTGTACTACTCTCATTACCGATACGACTATTGCCACTACTACTGGCTTGTACTCCTATTGTTGCTGCTGTTGCTACGGCGACTTTTACTACTACAATTGTGTAAACGGTTGCTGCTGCTACGATACTATTATGCCCACTTCTAGCTCTATGACTATCACCACTACTACTACTACTACTACTACTACTACTACTACTGCTGCTACTACTACGACTACTATTACTACTACCACCTACTACTACTACTACTACTACTATTACTACAACTACTACTACTACTACTACTACTACTACTACTACAACTACTACTACGACGACTACTGCGACTACTGCGACTCCACCTACTACTACAGCTACTTCTACTATCACGACCATTGCTATTGCTGTTGCTGCTGCTGTTACTAGAATAGATACTACGAGTCGTATTTCTAGTGTTATCACGTTTTTCGACGACTAACCTACATTACTATTATTATTCTGATTACCTCTGCTACCAAAACGGCGGCAGAGACGACGACTACGACTGAAACTACAGCCATGATTATCATTACTACTTGTTGTACCAAGATAACTACGACTCGTTCCAATCATACTACTACTATAACTGCTACTACTACTACTACTACTACTACTAGTCGTACCATTCCTGCTACTACTAGTACTGCCACCACCATTACCATTACTATTCCTGCTACGCTTGCTACTGCTACTATTGATCCTGCTACCACTGCTTTGATGTGTACGACGACTACTAGTACTTCTACTACCACGATTACTACTATCACTGGTACAAATAGTATTTCTACCACGGCTACTACTACTACTGCTATTACTACTACTACTACTACTACTACTACTACTACTACTCCTCCTACTCCTACTACTTCTACTTCTACGACTACTACGACGAATACACATTTTGTTTTTGCTATCGTTACGTATAGTACTATTGTTGTTGTTACTCCTACTACTATTACAGCATGCACGGCTAAGACCTTTACGGTCTGTATTCGGACGACTACTATTGTTACTTCTTCTTCTGCGATGTCTACTACGATTACAACAACTACTACTACTACTACTACGACTACTACTACTACTACTACTACTGCTATTAGAATTACTACTACTACTACAACTACTACTCCTACTCCTACTACTACTACTACTACTACTACGACTACTACTACGACGACTCCAGTTACGACTACGACTACGACTTCCACTACTACTGCTAGTACGACTACTACTACTATTACTACTACTACTACTATTATTACTACTACTACTACTACTACTACCACCACTACCACTACCACTACCACTACTACCACTACCACTACTACTACTACTACTACTACTACTACTACTACTACTACTACTACTACTACTACTACTACTACTACTAGTACTACTACTAGTACTACTACTACTACTGCTACTATTACTAGTACTACTACTACTACTACTACTACTACTACTACTACTACTACTACTACTAGTTCAATGCAGCACACTATGCTGGTTTAGACGCACTTGTGCTGCTGGAGGTCTCTGTGGAGTTTCAGTGGTTCTGCAATGTCTATGCAGCTCTTGGTTTCCTTCGGCATCCCGCCACCTCAGCCTTATCCTTCTCCTCCTCCCTCTTCCAGGATGGCACCTGCTTCGACTGCCAGGAGCCAGTGCCGCTTTCGGACAGCGGGTGGGCGAAGCTCGTTGACATAGTGGAAGGTGTGGCGGCGGGCACAGACCACATAAGGATCGACGTGTTCGTGACGCCCGAGGGCGACGTAGTGGTGAACGAGGCGAACATCAGCTTCCTGAAGATATCAAAGTTCGCATCTCTCTCCCCCTCTCCTCTCCTGCCCATCCCCTCGCCCCATCCTGCCCTTCCCTCCCCGCCTGCTCTGCCCATCCTTCCCGCCTTCCCTCCATTCCTTCTCTCCTATCCTCAACTGCTGCCCTTTCCCTCCTTCGATCGTTCACTTCCCCCCTATCTTCATCCTTCTCTTCCCTCCCACCTGTACCATCCTTCCCTCCCTCCCGCCCCTTCGTCACCCTCCTCGTCCCCCTCCTCCCCTTCCTCGTCTCCCTCATCGTCACCCTCCAGGTCCCCCTCCTCGTCGCCCTCCTCCCCCTCCTCCCCTCCCGCCTGACAGGTTCCCGCCTGTCCTCGTGGAGGAGATGCGCCGCCGCTGGCTGGAGGGCTACCGGAGCTTCCACAGCTGAGCCGCCCGTGCCCCCCCAACAAAAAGCAGAGGCTGGGGGGTGCGACTCAGCAGCGAAAGGTGACGTCCATGAATTTGTTGGTTTTCAGAGGAATCGCACCGAGGGGCATGAGTTGCATGGGGAGAGCATCGTATACTATCATCGAAATTCTCGCCGTTTGCATCTGTCTTTAAATGCGGTTCAGGCTGAAAGACCGCAGATGCCACGTTTGCGTTCGGTTGCCTGTCCCTCAGAACACCTTGACGATCGTTCGAAAACCGCGAATGAATGATTGTGTGTGTGCACTGTGTCCTTGTTTCTCGCCTTCCTCGTCCCTTGTCATGTTGTCATGGTCGCTGACTTTAGGTTTGTGTTCTTTTGGGCCATCTTCGCTCATTTCCTTCAAAGCCTCGCATTTTTTTGGAAGCCTCCGTTCCAGCGTCCCTCTCGTGTTTATTCGCTCTCCCAGCTTATTTTCCCACCAGGGCGCATTTGTCTCATGATCGCTTTGGTCAATGTTCGGTCAATACCAACGTCTTCGCCCTTTAGGGACATCGTTTTGTCCGCGGTTTCTATTTCGCACTGATTGTTCCTGGGCAGATCATTGGGACGACCCGCGAAGGGTTGAGTGGAGTGGAGTGGACACCGCTGCTACGCAGGTTCAAGGATCTAGGAACACCTGGCAATCCTGTCGAGATACACTCTACCTGTGGCAGACTGGGCCTTTGAGGGTCCGCAAAGCCTTGTCGGCGATAGCATCACACTCAGTGCAGAACCAAATCTCAAGGGTCGGATGAACTTTCAGGCTGTGCGCAGTGCGGCCCCAACCCCCCGCGATATGAATTCGCGCCCCTTTCACCTGTGACAAGGTAGCCCCGTCAACATGTGTGACCTGGGACAGTCAGAGTCCACGATTTCTTCCAAAGTGTCGAGGGTGGCAGAGCCAGAGGATGCGAGGCACCTCTGACCGCACTCGGCAAGATGATGCCGAGACAGAAGGGCAGAGACAGCGGCGGCACCAGGCGGCGGGGGAGGAGGAGGAGGAGGTGTCTCACAGGAGCCTCGGGAGCCTCGAGTCACATCCGTTTCCTCACGGTCGGCCTCCTGGCTGGCTTTGATACTGTCCAAGTTTGTTCGCAGGAGCCGCACACGTATGAGGAACGCTCTCCTCTCCCAAAGCAACACCTGGTGGCAGACAGTGACGGGCAGCCTTGCTTCCACAGCGGCGAAGCCCGCGAACTCGTCGGCCAGGAGGTTGCCGATGACCATGTAGCGGCTGTCGCGTCGTTTGGCCACGTCGCCCCGTGCGCTGGATTGGTACGATGGGTTTTCGCTTGGTGCGCGTTTCTTTGGCGCCTCGTGTGCTGGTGGGTGTTCGGGGATTTTGGTTTCGGACGCGTCCGTGTTATTCATGTACATACCTCGGCTTTTCTGGGTTGGATCCCTCTAAGTGACAAGTTCATCTGTGTACACCTGTTTTTCTGTTTCTCCCGGCAGGCCCGAAGAAAGTCATGTACATATCCTGGTTGCCCCCCTGGCCATGTACAGGAAGTCGCCTCTGGGAGAAGGGTCACCAGCAAGCCGACGATTCCCTTCCACGTTCGCCTGGTAAACGCTCGAACCCAAAGACGGCGCCAGAGGGCCCAAGACATCCCCTAAGACAGCTCCAAAATGGGCCGAAAAGAGTCCCCGAGAGGGGCCCAGAAGGACCTTTGAAGATATCATACCAAAAGCCGATAGCGTGATATCATCTGGGGCCGCCTAGGAGGCTCTTTGGCCGTCTAGGGCGGTCTGCAGCTCGAAAAGGCGGTACCGCAAAAATCGCCCGAACACCTCAGCGAAATCAATGATTCATGCGTTTACGAGGCCTCTCGAAGTCATCGTGGAACCTCCTGGAGCTTCTTGGGCGCTTCGTGGGCCGTCTTGGGACCAACGTCGGCCATCTTGGAACGCTCTTGGCCTGAGGTCTTGGGGCGTGCCACCCTTGTGGCGCCTCATGGGGGCTCTCGGGGGCCCCCGAGGCCACGCCCAAGAGTTCCGACATCTCTGAACCGACCCTGCCAGGAATCGGACGGGACTTGGCCGGAGTATTTTTCGCCGGGACCCCCAGGGGCCGCCGCGCGCGCGAATTCGGAGCATTGTTCACCTCTTACAGGAGATTTTGGCACGCCTCTGGGATTTGGGGCCGGCGAATTCATGTACATACTTCGGCCCGTACGTCTTCTTGCGGCTCCAGGAGGCGGAGGAGGATAGAAGCGCAGGAGTTGCAGGACGAGGAGGAAGGGTGCGAATGACGGAGAATGTTCGGAGAAGACGACACTACACGCCATAAACATCATTTGGTGGCGCTCCGCGCGGGTTTCTTGGATCTGCGATGGACCCCCTTTCCTGGCGCGCGGAGCGCGCCAGGTGTGGTGCCGGAGGCGCCGCAAGGGGTGCCTAGCGCAGATCCGAGAAGTCCGCGTGGAGCGCCGAAAGTTTATGCACATGGCGTTTTTTGTTCTTATTCGTTGTTCTTCTTGTTCAATCGCTTCGCTCATTCCGCCAGCCCATATTGTAGCATCGCTGGCACTTGCTTGCGTGCTTGGGGGGGCATTGAGTGGGCCTCCTGGGGCCGCTCGGGGGCCTCTCCGGGGCCTCCTGAAGGCCTCGTGGGGGCATCTCAGGGCCTCTTGGGGGCCTCCAGGGAGCCTTTCGGGGGCCTCTTGGGCGCTCCTGGGGGCCTCCAGGGGCCGCCACGCGCGCGCGAAGCCACGATCCTCGTGAGGTATTTTTCGTCCGGGGATCGGCCGAGGTACTTCTCGTCCGGGGACCCCCAGGGGCCGCCACGCGTGCGCGACGTAGAGGATTGTTAAACAGTTACCGGGGATCTTAGCACGCCTCTGGCCCGTTGGGCCGGCAGCTGATTATTGCTATTCTCTCCAGGTGTCTCTGTATTCTCCGTATTCTTGTTGTTTCTCTGTATTCTTGTTGCTTCTCTGTATTCTCTGTATTCTCCAGGATCTTCATTATTCTTATTGCTTCTCTGTATTCTCTGTCTTCTTCTTGCTCCTCCAGGTGTGGGGGCGTCCGATCGTGCCGGCTCGCGCACGGCTCGCCCTGCCGCGCCAGCGCTGCTGGGCCCAAGGGAGGCCCGCGGCCGCGCGGCGCGGCGGAGCAGGGCGGGCCCGCGAGCGGCGCCCTCGGCCCCCCCTCGCCTGGCCTTCGTCGTCCTCGTCGTCCCTGGGCTCCTCGTCGTCCTCGTCGTCGGCGTCGCGTTCGTCTTCGTTCGTTGTCCCTGGAAGGCCCCGTCGTCGGCGCCTCTCGCGTCGATTCCGCGGGGTGGTGCCTCTCGCCTTCCTCGCCGTCCTTGTCGTCCTCGTCGTCGGGGTCCTCCTCCTCCTCCTCCTCCTCGGGGGTCTTGCTTCTGGGGGGGTCTGGGCCCTAGAGGGTCTGGGCCCTCTGGGGGGTCCCGTGCCTGGTCGCTCCCGGTGGAGCGACCCCCGCTGGGGCCCTCCGTCGTCCTCCTCGTCTTCGCGCTTTTCCCGTCGTCCTCGTCGTCGGCGTCGCCCTCCCCTGAGATCCGGGCGGTCGCGATTCTGTCACAGTGCGCGCTTCTGCCCCGCTGCGGGCCCCCGGGGCCACCACGGATCGATCTGGCTGCAGCAGAGGCTCGACCAGACGTAAGCGCGACCTTTCGCCGGAGTGACCTTTTTGGTGCGGGCACAGATGGGTCCCGAGGTGGCCGAGAACGAAGCAGGAGCAGCGGCTTGCGCGTCCAGGTTCGGTTCCCCCGCGGCCCCCAAAAGGCCGCGCACCAGAAGTCACTCTTACCCAGGGTCACTCTTGCGTGTAGCCGAGATGTGATCTTGCGCGAAGTTGAAAGTGGGTTTCCTTGGCAGATAGCAACAGATTCAATCGAACGTTAGCTATTCGTCGCAGAATTGTGGCTCTTGTAGAGGTGGATGCTGGCAGTCGCTCGCATGCAGGCCATTGGAGGAACTTCGGCTGTGGATCATTCCATCGGAGGTTCCTGAGGCTTCACAGGCCTCAGAGCGCAGTGAGCTGCTCGACCCGCCTCCCCAGACGTCCGGCGGCTCCAATCGTTTCGATGCTTGGGCCCCCGGGGGTCTGGACGACTTCCCCTCGCAGGGCCAGCTCGTCGTCCTGAGCTTTCTCGACGGTCCCAGCGCCCGTTGAGTGCCCCCAGATGACGAACCAACAACACACACCCATACCCATACCCATAGGGGGGTCGGAGAGGGCTATGGGTGCGTGTTGTCGGATGGGGGTCCCCGCTCGAACGGGAGCGTTCCCCGGGGTTTGACAACCCGCACCCATACCTTCCCATACCCATAGCCAGTCCTCCTCTCAACGACCCCCCTATGGGTATGGGTGTGTGTTGCTCGTTCGTCACCAGAAGCCGAAAACGGCCAAACGTTGGCCGCCTCAATTTTTTGGGTAGCCTCGGATCTTTGGGTCGTCGTCCTCCTCGGCAGTTATGTGCCTCCCAGATGGGGTCGGAGCAGATGTGGTCGGAGGGTCGCGCCGCATCCGCGATACATCGGCGATGTGATTCGTTGAGGAGCCCGATCTTCTCCTCGCGGACGTCGCCGCCGCTTCATCGCCGACGCCGCCGATGCATCTGCCATGCGGCTCGATCCCCTGGCCCCATATAGGGTGGGTCTCGTCGCGTCGACCCGCGGTGACCCCGCCGCCAGCGTTCAACGTGGAACGCTGCCGGCGACCCAGAATCGGTCGATGTTGAACGATCCGACGCTTCGGAAGCCGAGGGGATCGTTCAAGGTTAAACGATCCCCTCGTCGGGGGAGCGTAAGACCCGGGTTTGCCAGGACTCGGGTTCGCCATTGTTTTTTGACGACCGCGCCTCGGATTTTGACGAGGAGGAGTTCCGTGGGATGTCTGCAGCGGGAGGCCTTGTCAAAATGCGGGCTCGGCCTCGTCATTTTTTTTGACGACCTCGTCGGGGATTCCCGAGTCCCCTGTACCCGGGTCTTACGCCCCCCTGACCTCGGTATCAGGAACCAGCGCAATTTGGTATCGTTTGGTATCGTTTGGTATCGTTTGGCTGCAATTTGGAATCGTTTGGTATCTCTTGGAAGCGAGGGTGGTCAAAAGCGAGGTAGGTTTGTTTGCCCCCTAATCAGGAACCAGCGCTGGGGTCGACACGACGCGAACCTGCCGCATTCGGACCCCCCCTGTGGGAGACCTCCCACCGTCGGCGTGGGGGGCCCTCGGGGCTATAGCAGGTCGGCCGGCGGTGCCGCCCGGCCGCCCCCCCCCCCACCTGAGGGCCTGTTTTCCGCCGCCACCACCATGAGTTGGAGGGGGAGGGGGTCTTCCTCCTCCCCCTCCTCCCCCTCCTCCTCCTCCTCCTCCTCCTCCTCCTCCTCCACCTTTTTCCCCCCTCCAACTTGTGGTGGTTGTGGCGGTGGTGGAAAATAGGCCCATCATCGGAAGAGGAGGCTGAGGAGGAGGAGGGGGAGGAGGAGGAGGAGGAGGAGCAGAGGGAGAAGGAGGAGGAGGCTGATGAGGAGGAGGATGAGGAAGCAGAAAAAGAGGAGCACGAGGAGGAGGAGGAGGAGGAGGAGGAGGAGGAGGGGCCCTCGGGGCTGGCCAAGCGGCCGGCGGTGACGCCCGGCCGCCCCCCCCGCGCGCCGGCGTGTGGCCGATGGCGGACGCGACGCTGCTGGGCCCGCCGAGGCCCCGGCGGGGGGGCTCCCCCCTGCAGCTCGGGGTCGGTGGCGTGCACAGCGCGGCGCAGGACTTTTCGGTTTTCGGGTCGGGGGCCGAACGAAAGGGGGGGGATATAGGGGCAGGGGGGGTTACGAAGTCCTGCTGCATGCCGCTGGTTTCGGCCCCGCCGCCGGGCCCACTCCTCGATACATGGACGCCTCCCGGCGCCCGGAGGCGCCGGGAAAATCAGCTATATACGTGAGCTGATGTTCAACATCCCCCTTTGCTATCCCCCCCTTTCGCCCTGCCCGAGGGTCGGGGGAGGAGTGCGGAATCGGCTGCGCCGGAAAGCTAGACTGGCGTCGGGCGTGTCCCTCTACAGGAGGAATGTTCAAGAATAAAAGAAACTAGTCGGGGGACGGTTTTCGGTACTATGTAGGGTAATGTGCTTGACATGTTTGTGTATTTTTCAAAAATGTTCCTCCAAAATCCGCCTGTAGGGGGACGTGCCCGACCGAAAGGTAGACATGCTCGCGTCGTGACAGAAACGCGAGGCGATGGCGGACATTCTCGGCCTTCGCCAGGCCCTGGGACGGTCACGGAAATATTAGGATGAAGAGCCGGCCTTGGGGACGGGGCGGGGACTTCTGCTTCATGGAAGTTACAAGTCTGAAATCCTGGCGCTTCTGCTGATTTGGAGGGTCAAGTCTACCTGCTTCGAGAAGACGAATACCTGGGGCCAGTGCCAACTACCGCTCTCACGTTCTAACCAAATGCGTCTATGGAAACATTGGGCGCCGCGACGTCTATAGACGCATTGGTTATGGATACGTCTATGGACAACTTTCCGTTGCGCTCGGCGCAGTACAGGGTCGGAGAAAGGTTAGATCCGTCTACGGTTCAGGGACGAGGCAATGATGCGGGGGACTGGAATAGGGGTGGGGGGGAACATCGACCTGGAATCGGCAGATATATTGCCAATAGATCGGTGATAGTCGAAGAAGATATTCCGCTACCGAGGAACCCCATGTACTTCGTTTTGACGTTTGTCTTAGCATAGCACAGCTGTCGTGCAACATCAGCTTGCTCTAGAGCAGGTCCCACATGGTGCTCCAAACGATGGTGCCACTTTCACTCCACGGCGTCGGATCTCGGGGAGGCTTGCGGCGCGAACGGGGGTGTGGCTCGAGGGGGGCGGCCTTCCGAGCAGGCGGGGGGGGTTTCTCAGACGGCAGGGGGCTCCGGCTCCGGCCGAATTCTGTACGATGTCAAGGGAGAGGTCGAGATCTCTGTGGGTCCACCGTGTGAACAGAAAACACACGACGCCTGAGATCTTGGCGTTGCGATTTTTTCACACCGGGCGTTTCCGCGCAGTTTCGGGCTCCGGGACCATCACGGATCGATCCGGCTCGAGACATGCAGCATTCGTGGAGCTCCACCCAAGACCCCGCGGGCACTGTCCACATGCGTCCGCGCTACCGATTTTGGCACACCACTCACACGCTCCGTGGCCCCACAGGGAGCCTCACCCAAGGATCCAGCTGGCTGCGCTCGCACTCGCCCGCCATACCCATTTCGGCACACCCTTCACACGCTTCCTGGCCCCATAGGGGGCTCGACTCAGGGCACAAGTGGCGGTGTTCGCATGCGCCCGCCCCCCCCACTATTTCGGCACACTCGTCACACGCTTCGTGGCCCCATAGGGAGCGCCACCGAAGGCCCCAGCGGCTGCGTTCTCATGGGTCCGCCCCAATGATTTCGGCTCACTCCTCACACGTTTTGAGGCCCCATAGGGAGCGCATCCGAAGGCTCCAGTGGCGGAGTCCGCAGGCGTCCGCCACGCTTGTTTCGGTACCCCCGTCACACGCTTTCGCGGCCCCAGGGCGAGCCCCACCGAAGGCCCCAGTGGCGGTGTTCGCATGCGCTCACACGGCCTTCCTATTTAATGTTCCTACTTACTTCTTCCGACCGATGGGCAGGGGTACGAACTTCTCAGCCGCCCTGAGACAGGCCCAGACATGCGGCGTCCTGATCTTTAATCCGGTCCCCCGAAGTCCCGCCCCTCTCCCCAGGGGCCGGTTTTTCACCCGCGCCCTTCCCGGATGGTCCCGGGGCGCGGCGAGGCCCCCAGGGGCCGAACATGGCCCGACATCGCCATCGTGATGTTCTTCCCCGACGCGAGCTTGTCTTGGCGCCGACGATGGCGATGATGATGATGATGATGATGATGATGATGATGATGCTGATGATGATGATGATGCTGCTGCTGCTGCTGCTGCTGATGATGATGATGATGATGATGCTGATGATGCTGATGCTGATGCTGATGATGATGATGGTGATGGATGGTGATGGTGATGATGATGATGATTCTGATGCTGATAATGATGATGATGATGATGATGATGATGATGATGATGATGAAGCTGATGATGATGATGCTGCTGCTGCTGCTGATGCTGATGATGATGATGCTGATGCTGATGTTGATGCTGATGCTGATGCTACTGCTGCTGATGATGATGCTGATGATGGTCGTGATGATGATGATGATGCTACTGCTGATGATGATGATGGTGGTGGATGATGATGATGATAAGGATGATGAGGATGAGGATGAGGATGAGGATGAGGATGAGGATGAGGATGAGGATGAGGATGAGGATGAGGATGAGGATGAGGATGAGGATGAGGATGAGGATGAGGATGAGGATGAGGATGAGGATGAGGATGAGGATGATGATGATGATGATGGTGATGGCGATGCTTCACACCTGTGCCCTTCCCTGATGGTCCCGGGGCCTGGCGAGGCCCCTAGGGTTATGATTATTCGACATCTTTTAGCTGTGATTTCAAGAAGAAGTTTCGAGCACAAGGGAAGTACAAGCACGTGAGGACTTTCGCGTGTCCTGCCCATCGCTGGCACGTCTGGCAGACACTGTTCCGATACTCTTCTGGGCCTCGGAGTGGTCTCTGGTCCTTGGCCCGCCAGTGCGATGGCAACGACATGACCCTTGGCGCCGAAGATGGCCCCAACCCGCCGTTGTGATTCTCTGAACAAGTTCCCTGCCAGACTGGCCACGGGAGTGGGAATGTCTTGGCTGCGCCTACTCAGCGGAGCTCGGCACCCCCCCAAAGCCACACCCCAAACCCGCTGCTCAGTCAGGCTCTGCCAGACAGAGTCCTCGTGGCATCCGCGTGAGACGCCCCCGCATCCCTTTGGCAGCCCCCGCGGCGATCCAAGCTTGCACGGGCGCCCCTGACGGCCGAACCGTTTCCGTCGTACCGGTCTCCGCACGCCAGAGGACTCCGCCGCCGCGGCGGGCGCCGGGCTGCCGTGGCCCACGCGGCCGGAGCTGGAGCGGCGGGGGCCAGAGACCTCGAAGAGGGAAAAACTGCATAACCTGATGGGCCTGTTTTCCACCACCACCACCATAAGTAGGAGAGGAATGAGGAGGAGGGGGAGGAGGAGGAGGAGGAGGAGGAGGAGGAGGAGGAGGTGGAGGAGGTGGAGGAGGAGGAGAACCTCTTGATCCTCCCTCCTCCCCCGTCCTACATGTGGTGGTCGTGGCATTCTCGGAGCTCCGCGCGGATTTCTTAGAAGCACTCCTGGCTCCTTCAGGGCCCCCCTCGTGCCATTCCCCCCCTTGCCAGCGCGGCTTTCTTGGATCGGCGGTGGGGCCCCCCTGGGCGGCTCCTCCTGCGCCGCCCCTGGCGCGCCACGCGCACCGCGGAAGTCACTCGGACCTCCCGAAGTTGCTGCTTATGCCGCTTTTTCGTTTCCTCCAGTGCAGCTGGCAGCCCAGGGCCCATTCCGACTCCTCCGACTCGGTTCGATTCGATTCTGATCGATTCCGACTCCGAGTCCGTTTCGGCTCGATTTCGGATTCCGATGTCAAGGTCGGTGTTCCAACGGAGGCCTCATTTGCCTGTCAATTTCCGCCGACTCGATTTCTCCCGACTTGGCTGCCGAGCTCCGCCGATCCGATTCCTTTCGATCGCCGATCCGACTCCTCGATTCTTTTCTGGGCTCTCGCTTCCTCCCTCCCCAGACCCCCGACCGCATGATTTTGTCCATAACATCGGCCCCCGGAGGTCTCGACCCCTTCCCCGGAACCAGTTTCTCATCCCGAGTAGATATGTTGACCGTGCCGAGGGCCGATATGGCCCTCAGAGGCCGAACATAGCGAACAAAATTGCCGTCGTGCTTTTTTTACAGGGGTGTGGGTTCCTCTTGGGCCCCTAACATTGCCCCTCACGTTGGGCGTTGGACGTCGCGTAATGCAAGGGCGATGAATGGGGGGGCAGCGAGGGCTGCAGACAAGGGGCCCATTACGGCCCCTGACGAGGCCTTTTAGGGTCCAAAAGTGGGGGGGCCTTTTGGGCCGGAAAAGTGTACCTGTCTTCCCTTCCCATTCCCGCACCCCCGACGTCATGATTTTTTCATCACGTCGACCCCCAGAGGTCTGGACCCCGTCCCCGGGACCGGTTTTTCTTCCTGAGTCGTTTCTTGACGGTCCCGAGGGCCGGTATGGGCCTCGCGGCCTCCAGAGGCCGAAAATATAGAAAAATTTCCCCCGTCGTGATTTTTCCATGACGCGAGGGGGTTGGCCACTGCGGGCCTTGCAGCCCCGGGCGTCCATCACGGCCTGGGCGTCCTCCTGGGACCGCAGGCCTCCCAGATGAGGTCCGAGTAGATGGGGTCGGTGGGTCGCGCCGCATTGCCGATGCATGGACGATGCGGCTCGATGCGGAGCCCAATTTTCTCAACGCCGGCGCGTCGCCGATGCGTCGCCGACGTCGCCGATGCATCGTCGATACATCGGCGATGCGCCGCGAGCCTCCGACCCCATCCACTGCAACCCCATCTAGGAGGCGTCTAGTTAAGCGATCCTGGACCCCGAACGTTGCCCCTCACGGCCGGGTCGCGCGCGAGGGCAGCTACCCCCCCGGGTGGGGTCGCGCGGGATGGCCACCTCGGGCCTTTTGCAGGCCCGGGCGTCCCTCACCTCCTGGGCGTCCTCCTCGGTCCCCCAACGTTGCTCCTGGGTTCAATGCTTGCTCTGGGGACCTTTTTGTGGACACCAGGTTCAAGTTCGATTCAGATTCGACTCAGGCTCGCCTCCGGTTCGACGCAGGTTCGGCTCGAGTCGACGGATGTTCGACGCAGCCTCGACGCACGAGTGGAGGAGGAGGAGGAGGAGGAGGAGGAGGAGGAGGAGGAGGAGGAGGAGGAGGAGGAGGAGGAGGAGGAGGAGGAGGAGGAGGAGGAGGAGGAGGAGGATAAGAAGACACATGACGATGATGATGCCCCCAGAGTGAGCATCTGACCTGGGCGTCCTTCTGGGGCCGGGGCGTCCTCCTGGGCCCTGCAGGCCCGGGCGTCCCAGGCCGCGCACGGTCAGCTCCCCCCCCCTCTCCCCCGGGTGGAGTAGCGCTCGGGCCCTCCTCCTCCTGCTCCTCCTCCTCAGCTCCATCTTTCTCCTCCTCCTCCTCCTCCTCCTCCTCCTCCTCCTCCCTCCTCCTCCTCCTCCTCCCCCGGGTGGAGTAGCGCTCGGGCCAGCCTCCTCGGACCTCCGCCGGGCCCGGGCGTCCGACGGCGCAGCCCAGGAGCGTGCGGCTTTTGGGCCGTGTTCGGCTTCCGGGGGCCCTCGCCGGGCGGACGGGCGGGAAGGTTGGATGGGGAGGTGCTCCTCCTCCTCCTCCTCCTCCTCCTCCTCCTTTCTCCTCTTCTTTCTCCTCCTCATCTTTCTCCTCCTCCTCCTTCTCCTCCCATTCCTACCTATGGTAGTGGTTGTGGACACTCTGCCAATCATCGCACTGCACAGGAGCGCGAGGACCACGTGGCCGAGCTGAGCGCGCTGAGGGGCGACGTCCGCGCTCAGCAGGTGATGCTCGCACAGATCGCAGAGCAGCTGCTGGGGGGCACCATTCAGGCTCGGTGGTGCTCAGCGCCTCCTGGATCGAGTCGGCGTAGACGGGGTCGGAGGATCGCGCCGCATCGCCGATGCGTCGGCGATGCGGCTCGATGTGGAGCCCGACTTGCTCCACGCCGAGGGTGCCGATGCATCACCGGCGTCGCCGATGCATCGGCGAAACATCGCCAGTGCATCGCCGATGCATCGGCGATGCACCGGCGATGCGGCCCGATTCCTCCGACCCCATCTCCGCGGACCCCATCTGGGAGGCCTCTGGGAGCGGGCGAGGGGCTGGCGCGGGGGGGGCGGCCTCTGAGAAGGCGAGGGGGGATTCTCCGAGGGCGTGGGCCTTCTTAGAAGGCCCTCGCGAGATGTCGACGGAGACTTCTTGGAAGCCTCGAGGCCCTTCAAGATGCCCTATGTCGTCTGAGAAGCTCCCCAGGCTTCTTCGAAGGTCGGCCCCCTCGCGTCGTCACCCCCTCCTTGAGATCAGACGCTGCGAACAAATGAGACATCGCGAAACTGCGTGGCCAGAGCCCTGGACCGTCCACGGGACACCCTCTTTCTGTTGCAGTTTTCGAGCCACATCGATCCGTGTTGGTCCCGGGGCCCCAATCTGGGCGAAAACTTAAGGTATGAAACATATTGCGACGCCAGGGTCTCAGAGTTTCCATCGCGCCACTCCCTTGTCCGCGTTGATTTCTTGGATTGGCGCTGGGCCCCCCCGGCGGCGCATCAGGCGCCGCCCTTGGCGCTCTCCGCGCGCCATGGGGGAGGGGCTCAGCGCAGATCCAAGACATCTGCACGGCGCTCCAAAAGATTCTGTTTATTTAGTTGTTGATGTTTCTCTGAAGGCTTCGATGGATGCCCTCCGCAAAGACGTCGAGGCCGCCCGGGGCCAGCTGGCGGTGCAGCAGCAGCAGCAGGAGGTGCAGGCAGCCGCCCTGCGCGAGGGGCTGATGGACATCCAGCAGCAGAGGGTGACCTTGGAGCAGCAGCGCGCGGCCTTCTGGGAGCCCGCGCGGCCTCTTGAGCGACGCTGGAAAAGCGAGTTCTACGGCGCCGACATCCGCGCGTAAGCTGCTGGCCTAAGATGGAGCCTGAGCGCCCTCATTGCCACTGCAGCCTGCCGCGCTGGCGGCACGCGTCAGCCGTGGCGTAGGGTCGCTATGTCTTGGCGCGTAAGGGCCGCTTCTTGTCGTCGCCCAATTGTCTGATCGTAGATCACGCGTGGCTCGCGTCCTTCCGGGAGCTCGCGGGGCCCACAACCTCCCTGAGATCCTGGCGTCAGCATTTTTGTCGCAGTGCTTCTGGAACCATCACGGGCTGATCTGGCATGACAAATTCAGCAGAAATATTGGGTCTAGGGTTTTGGTCTTGATTGGTTGTAACGTTGTTTTGGTCGCAAGGCCAGCGCGCGGCCGTCTGGGAACTCGCGGGGCCCATCGAGACACTGGCCGCCCTCCCTGGCGTTTGTCGCCGTTGTTGCGCCTCCTGCCTTGCGGTGCCAATCGTTAGGTGGTACATCATGCAAGTTTCTGCTCGTCTTGGATTGAGTGTAGATCGGCGGATAGCGCCCTGCAGATCTCAACAGCGCCTCCTAGCGCCGAGCAGCCCCCGAGCAGCGGCCTGCTCGGAGCTCGCGGGCCCAGAACTCGGAGGAGGAACACACGTAGAAGTACGGATGCCGCAGCTCGTCCCGGAGAGCCCTCGTCGCTCAGGCTGGATCCTCGAGCGGGTGGTCATGGGGGGCGATCCAGATGGGGGGTCAAGAAAAGTGCTCTGAAGGGGCCCGTTGGGGCCCTTTTGGACCCAGCGGGGGCCAAAAAAGAGGCCGCAAAGTGCTTCTTTAGGGTCTTTCTCTTCACCCCCCATGTGGGTCTCCCCCCATCAGCACCCGCCCGAAGGGCCGGATCCTCTTCGAAAGTCAGGTCAGAAAGGACCTGGCCCTGCAGGTCCGGGGAGCCCGCGGGGCCGTCCCCAGATCTCCGACGGCACGCTGTTTTTGCTTCCACATGTGGCCGTATGGTGCTCCAAACTGCTTCAGCCTGGACCGCCAGAAATGATTTCGAGCACCAAGAACATATCGAAACTGGAGTGTTTTCCCTTGATGTGTTCTGGGAGGCGATACTCGTCCGACCTTGTTTCGATGTTTTCTGGGGTGCCCGAACTTATTGCGAAGGCCTTACGGCCGGTGGAGGAGAAGCAGGAGCAGGAGGAGGAGGAGGAGGAGCTGGAAGGAGGAGGAGGAGGAGGAGGAGGAGGAGGAGGAGGAGGGGCGCTTTCTGGAGCCACTCCCGCGGGGGGCACGGTGAGGGCCCACCCCCAATCGGCCGAAGATCACCCCCGCCTTCCGTCGCGGCTTCGCCACGGCGCGAGGAGGTCTGGGCCCCGGGGGTCAAGACGCCACCAAATCTTCCCGTCGGTCCTCACCCATCGGGGGCCCCCAAACGGGGTGGTGACCACACCGTGTGTTGAGTCGGTGGGGGCTCGGGGTCACCGCACGGTTTTGGGACTCGGGTCGTTCTCCGAGGACGGCTGGGGTGACTGAGGCATCAGAGGTCCGAGGTCCCAAAACCGTTCGTTGACGCACCGTGCGGTGAGGTCTTGGGGAATTTCGAGGTCACCGCACGGTCTGTCACCGCACCGTTTCGGGACTCCACAACCCAACACGGTGGTGTTGGTAGATTTCGAGGAAGCGCCCCCGACCTCCTTGCACACCCAGCATGCCGCGGCCGCCAGCCCTCAAGCCCCAAAGAGTGCCCGTGTTCCCTGGGTATGCCGCTTCGCGCCCTCGACGAATGACGACAACATACCGCGGCCGCTCGGCAGAGTGCTTGGTGCTCCCTGGCTATCCCGCCTCGCTCTCTCGGGTGTGGATCGCTCGAAGCATTTTGATGCGTTCTATTCCTCAGCGAGATCAGCTCGCCCAGTGGCAGCAACAATCCAGACACGCGACGGTAATGACATGTCTTTCAATTTTCGGCCCCAGAGGTCCCGCCCCCTTGCCTAGGGCCAGCTTTTTGTCCCGGATCTCTTTTTGTCAAGCGACGAGACGTCAGGGTGCAACTCCTGGGAGGTTTGCCTCAGCATCGGCGCTGGTACAATACGTGGGTGGAAATCGGCCAATTCCGTCACAATCCAGCGCAGCTCCGCTCAATTAGTCGGGCTGACTCCCAGGCTTCCTTTGGGCTCGTCCCCTTTGATGGCCCTTTCATCCGGTCAAGGGGCCGGATTCGGGGTCACAGCACACGGGGGCACGGGGAACGCCGACTTCCACATTTGGCCATGCCTCTCTTCAGGGGGCCCTGGGCTCCGCAGACAGGGACACAGTAGACGGGGGCACGTGGTAGAGCCCAAGCCCAAGCTCCCGGGAGCTGCGCCCCGCGAGAGAGGAGCTCGCGGAGCGGCAGAGGGAGGCCCTGGAGCAGCAGCGCGCGGCCCTCTCGGAGCTCTCCGAGCGCGGCAGCGCGGAGCGCTCCGCGGCGGAGCTCGCAGGGGCGCAGCTCGCGGGGGCGGAGCTGCGCGGCCAGGTGGGCGATGGCCTGCTGGCGCGCGCAATTGCTGTGGCGGTCGCAGCGCCCCCCCAGCCCCGAAGTGCCCCACCCCGCCGAGGCGTTTGCCTTCCTCCCGCCCGCCCCACACCCCTGGGTGACGACCGTCACCGCGGAGATGGCAAGAGACGTCCGCTCTGGGGCCGCGGAGGGTAACGGGGTCGACTGCGCGGACGCTCGCGCGTGAGCTGCCCGCGTGAGTCGGCGCGCAAGCGGGCCCTCGTGTTCAAGGCAGCGTGCCGAGTCGGCGACCCGCGCAAGCCACCGCGTAAGGGCGCCACGTCCAGGGGGGAACCTGAACGACACCTGGCAAGCCATGTCCTTCGGTGACGTCCCCGTCGCCTCACCCCAAGGCGTACGTTTGCGGACGCGGGGAGGTCTGGAGGGCGACGGGACTTCACGGAAGGTGCTCGTCACACAAGGGTTCCCGTAGGCCGTGCCCAGCATGTCTTCTCGCGTGAGACCCGTCTCGTTTCGTCGCCCAGGTGGCCGAGCTGCGGGAGGCCCTCGGCGAGGCGCGAGCGTGGTTCGCGGGGCAGCTGGAGATCGTTGTGCGAGACGTGGACGCCATTCGTTCGGAGGAGCGGGTCGGGCGAAAGCTATTGGGGATTTCGCTGCACACGGGGAGTGGTCTGAGTTGGGTGGGGTTCAGATTTGAGCTGTATTGGAGGGTTCCATGGGGTCTGGGCAAAAGGCCGCCCTTTCATTGCTGGTCTGGGGGGTCTCCCAAATTTGGAGTAACCGACTGCCCCGGATAATATATCACCCCCCCTTTTCCCCCTCTATTTTCTTATCCCGGTTCAATCGGATGTAATTGTGGAGAGAGGCGCGGAGGACGAACTTGATAATCCATGGGGGAAGTTGCGAGTCGAAATTGCTAACATCTCATGTGGACTGGCAACAGCATCAAAAACGCTGAGCATGGCCATGGTGGTCTCACCAGATCAGCTTTCGCAAGATCTACAAGGTCAGCCTGCACGAGCGCCCAGGATCACCATCATCATCATCATCATCATCATCATCATCATCATCATCATCATCATCATCATCATCACCATCACCATCACCATCACCATCACCATCACCATCATCATCATCACCATCACCATCATCGTCATCGTCATCATCATTGTCTTCGTCGTCGTCATCACCATCGCAACTTAGAACCAACATCACCTTCCCCGGGAAAGTCGTTGATCATCCCCGCCAGGCCCCCGAACTTCTTTTCCTGAGTGATTATTATCCGGGGTAGTCGGTTAGACATGCTTACATCGCGAAGCAAATCACGACGGACGATTTTCGGCAATGTTCTGTCTCTGGGGGCCTTCGCAGGGCCCCAGGACCGTCAACGAAAACACTCAGGACGAAAAGCTTGTCCCGGGGAAGAGGTCGAGATCCCTGGAGTTCCACGTGAAAAAAAAGCACGGTGTCTGCGATCCTGGCGTTGCGATTTGTTTCACACCTGGCGCCCCCGCCCAGCTTCGGCCCCAGGACCATCTTGGATCGATCTGGCTCGGGCATTGCAACAGAACAAATACAGTCAACCTTCATAATTAGTAAGGATGAGCAATTGCCCAACGATACCATTGCATCCTTCCCCGTCGGCCCATCCTTGGCCGCTTTCGCTGGCCGCGCCCCGCTCGCAAAGTGTCGACACGGCCTCCCAAGGCCCTTTGCATCCTCATCGTGCGTCCTGCTTACAGTGGAGACCCGTGCCAAGAAACGCCTGCTTGCCTCCAGGGTGCCCTGGGTTGCCTGGTGGATGTCGGTGGTTTTGCGATGGAGAGCGTGAGGTTCCCGCACCAAACATCAGTGGACGTCCTGGGATCTCAAGGTTGGGTTTCTGGTGGAAGGTTTCTTGTTGATTGGCCTCCACTGAAAACGGGATGACGCTCCTCCTCCTCCTCCTCCTCCTCCTCCTCCTCCTCCTCGTGACTGCAGGGCCCAGGGCCTCTCTCTCTGCTCGTGGCGTCGGCTCTCCAGGAAGCCGGCGGCGCGCACGAGGCGGTGGCCGCGAAGGGAGCGGCCTCCCGCGAAGGCGGGCGCGCGGGGGCCTCTCGGGAACCCTGGCGGCTCCTCGGAGGCCTCCCCAGTGTCGGGGGCTCCTCGGAGGCCTGCCCAGGGAGCCATCATCATCATGATCATCATGATCATCATCATCATCATCATCATCATCATCATCATCATCATCATCATCATCATCATCATCACCATCAGCGTCATCATCATCAGCATCATCATCATCAGCATCATCAGCATCATCATCATCATCGTCATCATCATCATCCTCAACATCAGCAGCATTACCATCATCATCATCATCAGCATCATCATCATCATCAGCATCAGCATCAGCATCAGCATCATCATCAGCAGCATCATCATCATCGTCATCCTCATCATCATCAGCAGCATTATCATCATCGTCATCATCATCAGCAGCATCATCATCAGCATCATCAGCGTCATCATCATCATCATCATCATCCTCATCATCCTCATCAACATCATCATCATCCTTATCATCATCCTTCTCATCATGAGTTTCATTACCAGTATCATCATCATCATCATCACCAACATCAGCGTCATCATCATCATCATCATCATCAGCGTCATCATCATCATCATCATCATCATAAGCAGCAGCAGCATCATCAGGATCATCAGCATCGGCACCAGCGTCAGCATCATCATCATCAGCAGCAGCATCATCACCATCAGCAGCATCAGCATCAGCCTCAGCATCAATGTCAGCATCAGCATCAGCATCAGCATCACCATCATCATCATCATCATCATCATCATCATCATCACCATCAGCGTCATCATCATCAGCATCATCATCATCAGCATCATCAGCATCATCATCATCATCGTCATCATCATCATCCTCAACATCAGCAGCATTACCATCATCATCATCATCAGCATCATCATCATCATCAGCATCAGCATCAGCATCAGCATCATCATCAGCAGCATCATCATCATCGTCATCCTCATCATCATCAACATCATCATGATCATCATGATCATCATCATCATCATCATCATCATCACCATCAGCGTCATCATCATCAGCATCATCATCATCAGCATCATCAGCATCATCATCATCATCGTCATCATCATCATCCTCAACATCAGCAGCATTACCATCATCATCATCATCAGCATCATCATCATCATCAGCATCAGCATCAGCATCAGCATCATCATCAGCAGCATCATCATCATCGTCATCCTCATCATCATCAGCAGCATTATCATCATCGTCATCATCATCAGCAGCATCATCATCAGCATCATCATCAGCGTCATCATCATCATCATCCTCATCATCATCCTCATCAACATCATCATCATCCTTATCATCATCCTTCTCATCATGAGTTTCATTACCAGTATCATCATCATCATCATCAACATCAGCGTCATCATCATCATCATCATCATCATCATCATCATCATCATCAGCGTCATCATCATCATCATCATCATCATCATCATAAGCAGCAGCAGCATCATCAGGATCATCAGCATCGGCACCAGCGTCAGCATCATCATCATCAGCAGCAGCATCATCACCATCAGCAGCATCAGCATCAGCCTCAGCATCAATGTCAGCATCAGCATCAGCATCAGCATCACCATCATCATCGTCATCACCAACATCGTCATAATCTTCACCAGCAGCATGATCAGCATCAGCATCATCAACACCAGCATCAGCATTATCCTCAGCAGCATCGGCATCATTAGTGTCATCATCGTCACCAGCAGCATCAGCATCATCTTCATCATCGTCATCATCATCATCATGATCATCATCATCATCAGCATCATCTTCATCATCGTCATCATCATCATCATCATCATCATCATCATCATCATCATCATCATCATTATCACCATCACCATCGTCATCGCCTCCAGGCCCTGTTTACCCAAAGGAGCTCGCCCTCCCCCCTCGCAGCCTCCCCCGCGCGCGCCGCCTCGACAGGGAGGGCCCGGGCATGCAGCTGGTCTTGGTCCCGCCGCCGGGCGCGCTCCTGTAGCTGCACTGGCGCCTCTGGCACCTAGAGGCGCCAGGGAAAGAGCAGCCTCGTGAGCCGAGAGCCCTTCGAGGCGTGGGTGCTCTCTGCTCGGAGGATGTCCATCGGGGGCGGCCAAGAGGGGGGGGGACTGGGGGGGGGGGGGCATCAAGGCGGGGGGCATGATATCTCCCCAGGCTTCTCGGCGCCTTTTCTAATTTCATAACGTCCCTGGTCCCCCCCCCTGGGCCGCGCGCGTGCCGCCGGCCATGATTCGTGTCCCCCCTCTTGGACGCCCCCCTCTTGGCCGCCCCCGAGTCCAGGCCGCCCATCGCGCCGCATGCTCGATACATCGGCGATGCGGCGCGGTCCGAAGTCCGGTCTTCCCCATCCCGGTGTCGCCCGTGCATCGCTGAGGCATCGACGGTGCGGCGCGATCCTCCGACCTCACCAGCTCAAGCCCCATGCATGTGAGCAGCACAGATACACAGGCTCGACGCTCCGACGCTCGCGCGCTGACTTCCCGCGTAAAGGCCCTCTTCTCCACGCGGTGTGCCGCGCTGGCGGCCCGCGTGGGCCACTGCGTGGGGTCGCTGTGCCGTCGTGCGCAGGGCCCGTGTTGTGCTCGTCGCTCACGTGGGCGGCCTCCAGGATGAGCGCTGCGCAGACCGGCGGCAGGCCGGGGCCGCCGCCGCCGAGGAGCTCGCACGGGAGGCCGTGGAGCTCAGGAAGCTGGTCGCAGTGGGCGCCGACGCGGCGGAGGCGTGCGAGAGCAGAGCGATCGCCTCGCACGCCAGGCCCCGAGGAAGAGAAACAGCGGCATGGAGACGAATCGTCGGAGCTCTGCGCGCATGCCTCAGGTCTCGTGAGCTTGTGAGCCTACTTCCCACGACCACCACTGTAATCTGACCATCGGCGGCCCACCTATAGTGGCGGTTTGCTGGGCGCGGTGGGCGCCTGGCACAGCAAAGCACTGCCGTAGATCAGCCGCCCCGGGTCGATAGTGGTGGCAGTGGACAGTAGGCGTCGGACCCCTGGCCTGGCGCTCTCCGCGCGCCACGGGCGGCGCCCCGGGGCGCCGCCACGGGGCTCCAGCGCCGATCCAAAGAAGTCAGCGCTGAGCTCCGCACGGATTTGTGCCGTCGTTCGTTCCTCCGAGGCTGGCGGAGGAGATCGCAGAGCTGCGCGACGCCGTCGCGGCGGGCGTGCGCGCAGCGGAGGCGCAGAAGGACAGGGCGCTGTCGCTCCAGGCCAAGCTGGCGGAGGAGCTCGCGACGGTCGTACAGCACAGCGAGCAGCAGTGCGTCGAGCTCGTCGGCACCATCGAGGCGGAGCGCAGGGCGAGGCGGGCGCAGGGCGACGAGCTGCGCGTCGCGATCGAGGAGGTGGCGAGGCGCGTGGACGATGCCTGCGCGCTGCCCGCCTTCGGCACAGGGCCGCCCCGCACAGAGCCGCGGGGCACGGCCCTGCCCGGTCTGGAGCCCGCGTCGCCGCGGGCGCGGGGGGCGGACGAACCACATACGCAGGCGCGGCGGGCGGACACGCCCCCGACGCTGGCGGAGGCGCCGGAGGCCCCAGGGGAGCCCAGCTGGGACCGCCGCGCGGGTTGCTGAGTGAACAGGGGGGGTCACGGGCGGGTGCCACGGTGGATCATGTCTGGCCCAACCTGGCGTGTAAGTGGGCCACATGTGGCGATGGGGGTGCAACTGTGCTGGCCAAGTGGGCCCCGCCCACTTAGCGGAATGATGCCCCCCTAGACATTTGGTGCGTGTGTAGCCTTTTATAAGCCAGGTTCGGCCTGATGTGCAAGTTGGATCCGAGGCAAAGGGTTGAGCCGATGGTGGTTTTCAAACAGTTCCAGAAACGTTACGGGAGAGTTCCAGTTTTGTTGGTTGAATGTTGTTTTTTGAGTTCTCTGTCTTGGGGGGGAACGGTTTGAAATGTCAGTTCGAGTCTTCGCTCTTGGGCTCCTCTTGAGGTCTTGTTCGCGCTACCTGTAGGCGTCTTGATTGATCGTTCCCTCAGATGCATTGTGACCATCTTTGGGCCGTCCTGGAGCGATGTCGGGCCGTCTTGGACCGATCTGAAAGGCCTCTTGAGTCCTTTCTCGACGCTGCGCAGAGAACAAAGGCGAGTACGTATGTGAAGGTCTACGTTGTCTTTATGGATGTGATAGAGTTTTGCTTTTTCGTGCCTTCCTGTTTGTTTGGAGCACTGGTTGGGCGTCTTGGCTTCTCCGGCGGTCTTGAGCCTTAGCTTTTTTGAGGGTTCATCACCATTTTCGAGCTCAGCTTGATCACGTATCGATGCCACCTTGGGTATCTCGGAGGCCACGGAATGTGCATTTCGAGTTTCTGCGGACGCTGAGGGTGCGATGGCGAGCTCGTTCCCGCACCCTATTCCTCGTCATACCGAAGTGTGGCACCGTGGAAGGGGTGACAGGGGGAAGGGGGACAGACGAATGTCGCTCACGCCTTTGACCCCAGGGAAGCTAGAGTCAGAGGATTCATGTATCCTGTGCAATTTCGAGTTGTGTCGTCACATCGGGAATCGGTCGGGGGAGTTTGCCTCCTGTCCGTTGGGGCCAAGGGGAGGTCCAGACATGCATCGTGTAACGAGGAACACGAGGACAGAGGAAGAGGAGCAGGTGGCGGAGGACCAGGAGGAGAAGGAGGGTGAGGAGGAGGAGAAAGAAGGACGAGCGCGAGAGAGGAGGCAATAGGAGAGGCAGCGGGACGAGCAAGGAGACGTTGAGGGCAAGGACGAGGACGAGGAAGATGTTGTAGACGAGAGGCGGACCCGGTGGAGACGGAGGGGGAGGATGAGGATGAGGAGGAGGAAGAAGAGGAGGAGGGCGAGCGGAAGTAAAAGGGCGAGCGGAAGTAGGAGGAAGAGGACAGGAGGAGGAGGAGGAGGAGGAGGAGGCGGAGAATGGGGAGTTGGAGGAAGAGCAACTGGATACGCAGGAGGAGCAGGAGGAGGTGGAGGCGGATTGCCAGTTTGAGGAGGAGGATGAAGAGAACGAAGAGGAGGAGGACCATGACGATGGCGAACAATTTCGGAACGGTTCAACGAGGACCAGGGACAGGGTGAATACGACGAGAACGTCGGTGAGGTGGCCAAAGAGGAGAGGGTCGACGAGGATGTGGTTTCAGGATACGGACGAGGACGTCGAGGAGGAGGAAGAGGTGTGCTGAGATGTCGGAGGAAACCTTGAATGGTACATTGGCGACGCGTGGCGAGCCGCGCGTTAAGAACAACGTTGGCGGAACTCTTTGCTGGCATGACGGGGGATTCCTTGAACGGTGCATTGGCGACGCGGGATAGGGAGGACAGGGAGGGGGAGAGAGGACAGGAGGACGACAAAGAGGAAGGAACGCACGAAGAGTAAAAAGGAGGAAGAGAAGGGGTAGGAGGACTACGACGCTGGTGCGTCTCACGAGACGCCGTCTGAGATGGCGGAGAACACTCGACAGGGTGTAGCGGCGACGCAGGACGATGGGCGAGAAGAGGATGGGGGAGGGGAGGACGGGTACGAGGACGGGGAGCAGGAGGAGTAGGAGGATGGGGAGGAGAGCGAAGAAACTCACCATGTCAATCCGACCCTCGAACCATTGAGAACATGGGGCGATTGTGGAAGTGACGTAGTGGGTCAGGAGCCTCTTGTACACATATAAAGGGGCTCTGCAGTTGCTTCGGAGGGGCATCTCGGAAAGCTCCTTGTGGAATGGTTTGGTATTTCGTGGGGGGGTGCTGTGGTTCTTCTGCGGCTTCTGGGGGGGGGGGGGCTTCTTGGAGGCCTCCTCTATGTGTGTGGTTTTGTTGCTTCTTTTCTGCGTTGGGGGCCTCTTGGGGTCTTTCGGGCCTTCGGGAGGCATCTCGGGGCCTCTAGTCTTCTGCGGGGGCCGTTGGGCCATATGGGAGGGCAAAGGGTCGACATGCCGCTTCGCATTTCCCATCTCGGGCCCCTCGTGGGATCCTCGTAGGATTCGTTCTGGCCGTCTTGGGGGGCCATGGGGCCGTTTTGGGGACCTTCTCGGGATGTCTTGGGGCTCCTCATGGGCCTCTTTGGGTCGATCTTTGGGGCCCACTGGGCCGTTTTGGACGTGTCAAGGCGAATAAGGCGATGACGCTAGACAAATACGTTTTTCAGGAGGAGCGGGACGAGTTTTGCGTCTTGACGGGGCCTCGTGGGCCGCCGCGAAGCCATCTCAGACAGTCGTGGGGCTACCCCCTTGGCCGTATCGACGCTCTCTTGGAACAGTTTGGCGCTCTGTTCGGGCCCCTTCGCGGGTTTTTTTTGGGGGGCTCCAGGGGCACACTGGGAGGCGCTGGCGAGCTCCCGGGGGGACCCCCCCCCTGCATACGGCAGTTTGAACCGCAGGGGAGGGGGAACCGGGGGAAAGGGGGAGGGGGAAAGCTAACAATATCGCGCACGCCTTCTTTCCACCCCCGGCAAGCGGAGGTCGGCGGAGGGCCATCTCTTGGCATCCGCTCTTCCCCCCTTACGCGTACGCGTCGTTGAATGTAGGTACCTCTGGATTCCCGGATCCCTCTCTACTTCAGGCGCCTTCTTACTTCAAGAATCGATATGGTTTCTCTGTGTCCTGTTATTCTCCGGATTGGCCTGAACGCAATCCCTCATGGTTTTACCTACTTCTGCCGACCGGCGTGTATCCACTTAGCCTGGAGCACCATGTGGGACCTGCTCTGGAACGAGAATATGCCTTAGACGGATATACCCTTTCTGGAACCCTATGCTGCGCCGAACGCAACGGCCGAGCTGCCCATAGACGTATCCACCCCCAAGGCATCCATAGACGCCACGGCACCCAACGCTTTCAGATACGTTTTATGCCAGAACGTGAGAGCGGTAACTATTCGGCACTGGCCCCAGATACTCGTCTTCTGGAAGCAGGGTAGTCATGGCCCTCCAACACTTTGCAACCCGCGCAGAGATCTGAGAAACCGTGCGTCGGCGGCAACCTCCTCCTCCCTCCTCCCTCCTCCCTCCTCCCTTCTCCTTCCCCTCCTCCTCCTCCCTCCCTCCTCCTCCCCCTCCTCCTCCTCCTCCTCCTCCTCCTCCTCTCCTCCTCCTCCTCCTCCTCCTCCTCCTCCTCTCCTCCTCTCCTCCCTCCGTCCTCCCCTCCTCCTCCTCCTCCTCCCTCCTCCTCTCTCCCTCCTCCCTCCTCCCCCCTCCTCCCTCCTCCTCCTCCTCTCCTCCTCCTCCTCCTCCTCCTCCTCCTCCTCCTCCTTGAGCCCTCCAGCACTTCGCCGCCCGCTCGCAGCAGGCGCTCGCGAGCGCCCCGTGGGCCTGCGGCGCGCCGCCGCGCGAGGCGCCGCCGCCCTGCGCGGAGGCGCCCGCCGCCCTGCGCGGAGGCGCCGCGCCCGGCCCGGACGCCGCCGGGCCGGACGCCGCCGAGGTGGGGGGCGGCCAAGTCTCTGGACGCCCGAAATGGGTACTGAAAGAATGGGTACTATGCCCAGCAGCAGTTCCTGTTCATTTTGAACAAGATCCGCTGTCCACGCCGCCGCGGCCTGTGTCCACTCGACACAGGAGGCCGCCTGCCCAACAGCGGCCGCTGTTGGTTTGGGACAGCATTTGCTGTTGGGCATCGTACCCATTTTTTCGGTACCCATTTCGGGCGTCCAAAAAGTCGGGGGTGGACAGACCTCCTACCCTGACACGTCGATTAAGGAGTTGGCCGTTTTCGGTTTGCGAGAGGGCGTCGCGGCCGTCAGTGTTTGCGGGGTCAGGTCCGTCGGTTTCGGTCCCAGGCCGTTTTCACTAAGGGGAGGTTTACTAAAGGGAGGTTTGTCCACCGCCGACCAAGAGTCCAGTCGCGCCGGTCCCTCGACAGGAGGAACGTTCAAGAAGGGTCCGAAAATAGACGGGGGGCGATTTTTGGACCCATGATATTTCCTCAGATTCACGGCGCCTCTTCCTCTTCTTTCTTCATTACGTCCCTGGCCGCCCCCCCCTCTGGAACGCGCACATGCCGCTGGCCATGATTTGCGCCCCCCCCTCTTGGGCTTCCCCCTCTTGGCCGCCCCCGAGGAGGCAACGCGCCGGTTGCCGACGGTCCCCGAGGCTCACGGGAGGAACATCGAAGAACAAAAATCGCCATTCAGATTTTTGGCGCTCCGCGCGGAGTTCGTGGATCCGCGCTGGGCCCCCCTCCCAGCGGCACCTCTGGCGCCGCCCCTCGCGCGCTCCGCGCGCCAGGGAGGGGTGTCCAGCTCAGATCCAAGAAATCCGTGCGGACCGCCAACAGTTTCTGTACAGACTAGGACGCGGATGTTTCTGTACCGGAGCGTTCCAGAACGCTCTCAGAGCGTCCCGGGACGCTCTCAGGAGGCCGCTGGAAGAGGCAAGAAGCACATCGCCAGACAACCTACGCCAAGAGGGTTGGTGGGATTCCCCGCCTCCCATCGAGTTCGAAGAGAATCGATGGTCGTCGGGGCCAAGATTTGGACGACGGCGCCCGTGCGGCGCGCGTGAGCTGCCCGCGTACGGTCGCGCGCAATCCCCCCCGCGTTTCCTCTCTAGCGCGCGCCGCGCTGGGGGCCCGCACGTGCCGCGGCGCGGTGCCAACCGCGACCGTCTATCACCACCCACCAAACCACCCCAACCCAACCCGAAGGCCTCAATTTATCCTCGATTTCCAGTGGGGGGGGGGTCGCGGAACGTGGAGAAAACACATGGAATCCGTACCCCCCCAACCCGAAATTCGGGTCAAATTTGGGTCTTCGGGTTGGGTTGGGGTGGTCTGGTAGGTAGTCAGTCTAGCTGTCGCCCCGAAAACCACGAGAAACCGCCGAAGACCATCGGAAACCGGCAGCGCAGGAGGCCGTCAGAAATCCGCCGAGGGCCGCCAGAAGGCCGCCAAGAGATCGCCGAAGACCGCCGACGGCCGGCGGGTGTAAGAAGGGGGGCCCATCGCGGAGTCCACAAAAGGTTTCCTTTTCATGCAGTGGCGAGGCGTCCCGGCGTGCCTAGAGGCCCACCAAACAATGTTCTCAGAGCCTTTTGTAGCTTGCGCCACATGCTCTGAGTACAGTTCTGGCCGAGACTGTCTGTTCCAGTACGTTTTAATCCACCAGGCTCATGCTCTAAGAACACTGTGTTTGTTCTGAGAACATTTTTCGGTTCTAAGAACATGTCGTGGTAGGCCTACTGGTTCGGATGCAACTCCTGGGAGGTCAAGTTCTGATTTTGCCCTGGTCCGAAATCCGGCTTTGTCCCGCTCAGTCCGGTGTAGTCCCGCTGGATCCCGCCAAATCCGGCTCAGTCCCGCTTCATCCGAGGCCCCCTCCGGCGTCACAGCCCCCCAAGGGGGCTCAATCCTTCCTGTAGTCCCTCCGACGACAGCCTCCCAGTATAGCTGCCTCCCGATGCAGGAGTGCCGGGACGGCCGGCCCCTGCTCCGTCCTCTTGGCGCTTCCCCGAGGCGGCCGAGCCGCCGGCCAGCAGCGCCGCGCCGGAGCGGCGGCCCGCGCGCGGCGGCTGCATGCACTCCGTGCCCGCGGCGCTGCACGGCCTGACGGAGCCGCCCCGCGGCGCCGAGAGGCGCCGGGCGCTGGTCGGCGGAGGGCGCCAAAGTCGGGCCTGGCCCTCCTACAGGAGGAGGATTCGAAAGTGGTAGGGACAGACTGTCTGGGGAGGACTGTTCCACCATTTGTGGAATCTGGTTGAGCTGCTTTGTCTTTGGGGCGATGTTTTATTGTTCGTTTCAAATCCGCCTGTAGGACATGCCCGACCTTAGCTACTACATCTGTGGTCGGGTTCGCGTCGTGTCGACCGGCGGCGGCCCCGCCGCCGGCGTTTAACGCAGAACCCCGCCGGCGACTCTCGATCGGTCGATGTTGAACGACCTGACATTTCTCAAGCAGTGGCGAAGCGTCCTGGCTCGCCAAGAGGCCCACCAAATAATGTTATACGAGCCTCTGGAGGTCTGCAAGGAATGCTCTCAGAAGCTTTCTGACTGAGGCCGCCTCGTTTCAACACGTCGGGATTGGGGTCTAAGAACAGTGCTTTCGTGCTTAGAACATTTTGGGAATCGAACAGCATGTCGCGGCAGGCCTACAGTCGGGGCCCTGAAGAAGGAACTCTTTTCGTTGGGGAGGGGCTCCGCGTTCCTTAGGTGTTTCGCAGCTTGTCTCAGGTTTTCCTTATGTTTTCGATCGGGAACCTCAGTTTAACTCATGGAAAAAAGGGGCCTCGTTCCTTATTGAGGGTTCCTTAGGTCAACGCCCCGACTGTATGGGAATGGCGGGACGGTCGGTCCCTGTTCTCAAGGTTCGAAAGCGGCCGATTGTTCCAGGCTGAGTGCTCTCCACGGTGTCGGGAGCCAACGCCGGCGTCGGCACGACGCGAGCCTGCCGCACACTGACTCATGGCCTGGCCGATCCTTGGCCCAGGATCGGAGTCTATGCCTCGTCCTCCTCCTCCTCCTCCTCCTCCTCCTCCTCCTCCTCCTCCTCCTACCTCGGGATTTGTTTTGGTTTTGACCCCCCCTCGATCTCTCGACGGCGAATCAAGCTGGTCCTAAAACCTCCTCGTCGCGGCGGCGGCGGAGACTGTTTTCCCTCTCTTGTTGGGCGGGCTGGGTAATGTTTTGGGGGTGGAAAACTGATCTCTCGGCGGCGAACGAAATACGTATACAGAGATGACATGAACATGAAACCGTTCGGCGTCCCCTGCGCCAGGGAGGAGGGTCCAGCGCCGATCCCAAAACATCCGCGCGGACCTCCGGAAGAAGTTCTGTTCATGCCACGGCGTGCTGTCGCGAGCGCCTCCCTTCCCATGCCAGGAGGGCCCATACGCCGATCCTGGCGCCCGGGATGAGCCTGCCCAGGGTCGCTGTAGGTGCAGAGTTGGCATCCCCGTAGGTCGTGGCGTGCAGCTACTTCGCGTCGCGGGCCCCGCTGCACGGGGCGCTGAACGACGCGTGGAGCTCTGGGCCCCCAAAGTGGGGTCCGAGCAGATGGGGTCGGAGGATCGCCCCGCATCGCCGATGCGTCGGCGATGCGTCGGCGATGTTGAGCCCGAGTCTCTCCACGTCGACGTGGCCGATGCAGCAGCCATGCCTCGGTGCATCGGCGGTGCGGCGCGATCCTCCGACCCCATCGACTCGGAACCCGTTTTGGGAGGCCTCTGGGAACGGGGGAGCGTAAGACTCGAGTACGCAGGAACTCGGGTTCGACTGCCTTGTTGGACCAGCGCGTCCTGGGTCTGCACGGTCCAATTGTCGTGGGATGCTCGCGGCGGGAGCCCGCGCCAAATTTCAGGCTGCGTCGCGTCGTTCTCCCGGCGGCCCCGTCAGGCCAACCCGAGTCTGCCGAACCTTGGAGGCCTGGGAATGGGCACCAGCACCAACACACGGGCATGCCTCAACCCGGATAGATGATCCTATACTTTGGCGCTGTTGTTAATACTTCGGCCACCTAGGAAGCCACCACATTTCCACCATCACCGAGATCGGGAGCACCGTCCCTCGGTGGAGGCACACCGCCGATATGGGTATTGGTGCCCACCTCTAGGCCTCCCCGAACCCGAGTCCTCTGGGTCTCCCCAGTCCAGGAACGCGCTGAGCCTCCTCAGACACACGCTGCGGTACGCCGAGGACCAGGTTCGGGTCAGGCGAAAGGGGGGGTTTGGGAAAGGGGGGGGTACGAAATCTGCTGCATGCAGCTGGGATCGGCCCCACCGAGGGGCCCATTCCTCGATACATGGGCGCCTCCGGCGCCGGGAGGCGCCGGGAAAATCAGCTACGTGAGCTGATTCTCAAACCCCCCCTTTACTATCCCCCCTTTCGCCCGACCCGACAGGTGCGACTCGTCGCGGACGGGTCCGAGCACTGCCGCATGCCGCTCGACCGCCAGCCCACCCGGGCGAATATCCTGGACGGCCTGCAGTGGCTGGTGCGGGACGCCCGGCCCGGTGACGAGCTCTTCTTCTACTTCTGCGGTGGCTCGAGGAAGAAAACTTGCAGGAAGAGGAGGAGGAGGAGATCGAGGAGGAGGGGGAGATAGAGGAGGAGGAAGAGATGGAGGAGGAGGGGGAGGAGGAGGAGGAGGAGGAGGAGGGGGAGGAGGAGGAGGAGGAGGAGGAGGGGGAGGAGGGGGAGGAGGAGGTGGAGGTGGAAGAGGGGGAGGAGGAGGAGCAGGAGGAGGAGGAGGAGGAGGAGGAGGAGGAGGAGGAGGAGGAGGTACCAAATACCGCCACCACTCCCTCGTTGCCCCGTCTCGGGGCCTCCTGGGAGGCCCTCGTCGCGGCCGTTGGATTCGCCTCGGGCTCCCCGCCAGAACGCGGCCTGGGAGGGGTCCCGGGAGCCGCGGTCTCGGTACCTTTGCTTGAGTTCCCCCAGGAATTCTCCGAGGTCCGCGCGGCGTTTTTTGGATCGGCGCTGGCCGTTCGATTCGCCTCGGGCTCCTAGCCAGAACGCAGCCCGGGAGGGGTCCAGGGAGCCGCGGTCTCGGTGCCTTTGTTCGATTTCCCCCGGGAATTCTCCGAGGTCCGCGCGGCGTTTTGGGATCGGCGCTGGACCCCCCTTCCCTGGCGCGCACCGCGCGCCAGGGGTGGCGCCACAGGCGCCGCCAGGGGGCGCCAGCCCAGACGCGAAGAATCGGTGCGGACCTCCGGAAGTTTCTGCTCACATGCATCTCTCGTTGTTCCGCCTGTGCTGGAAACCCATGCCAAGATCCACCCGGCTTGCCCCCAGGGTGCCCTGCCTTCCTGGGTTTCGATGATGATGCTGCTGTGGACAGCATGACGCGCCGACGCCAGAAATCAGTGGACCGGGTCTCAGGGCTGGGTTTATTCATCGCTTCGCTCATTCCGCCGGCCCGTATTGTGCCATGGCAGGCGTTTGCCTGGTCGTTCGTGGCCTCCTGGGACCGTTTGGGGGCCTCTTGGAGCCTCTTTTTGGGCCTCTCGGAGGCCTCGTGGGGCCTCCAGGGGGCTTCGTGGGCTCTCTTGGGGGCAGGGTCTCAAGGTTGGGTTTACTCTGGAGGCCTCCTCGTTGTCGAGCTCTTACTTTCGGATGCAACTGCTGGAAGGTCAAATTCTGATTTGAACTTGGTCGGAAATCTGGTGTAGTCCGGCGTGATCCCGCTTAGTCCGCGGCCTCATCTTGCGTAGTAGGTAGCCCCCCAATGGGGCTTGATTCTCTTTGATCGAAGACCTCCCAGTAGTTGACTCCGAACCTGCTGTTGTATGCCTCTTTCGTTGCTCCTCCTCTCAGGCTACGGGGCCCAGCTGCCCCAGGCGCACGGCTCCGACCTGCACGAGGCTCGGCGGACGACCTCTCGTGCACCGCACCTGCGGTGGGGCGGCCTCCCTGGGCGTCCTCGTTCCGCGACCGGGGCACGGCACGGTGCACGTCGTCATCCCGCAAAATTCGGCATGGGGTATTCATCAAGGGGGGGGGAGGGGCGATTAACCTCCCGACTGAGCTTGCCCAATCCCGCCCCCTCCGTCCTTCTCCCCCTCCTCACCCTCCTCCTCCTCTGCCTCCAATTCCCCCTCCACCCGTGCCGACAGCACGTGCCCAACCCCCCCAGCGGCTTCAGGGGGGGGGAGATCATAGTGAGGATGGGCAACCTTCCCAAGGGTACCCTTGCCTCCTTGCCTCCTCGGTCCGTCCTTTGCCACGTTCGTTGGCCGCGACCCGCTCGTGAAGCTTCCTTCGAGATGGGCGTCCAAGGCCCTTGCATCCTTATCTTGCATCTTCACTATATACGATACGGGTTGATTGTATCGTTCGTCGGCCCTCGGAGCCCACAAATCGCACGTGCACCGTGCCGCGTTGGAGAGCGAGGCCTGGAGGGGGCCCGAATGCACGAGCGCCGTCCTTGTGGAGGCGCACCTCGTCCCCGCCGACTTCGCCGACGACCTGCCCGCGGACCTCGCCGCCGACCTGATCGGTGGGGACGCCCCGGCCCGGGAGGCTCCAGTGTGATGGCAAACATTCGCCGGTGACAAACGCCAAAATCTCAAGTGTGATGGACAGCGGGTGATAGAAAGCTTGAGCCGCTCAGGCGTGATACAACAACTCGAGGGTGACAACACACAACTCACGTGTGATGGACAACATGTGACAACGAGCCTGAGCCGCTCGGGTGTGATAGGCAGAACTTGAGCTGGCCTGGGAGGCGGCGCTGGCGTCGGCTGGGCCCCACGTGGCCTACCGGCTGGTGCCGTTGGCGGAGCTGAGCCGGGCGCTCGGCGCACTGCCCGCCTCCTGCAGGGCCACGCTGGTGCTGGACTGCGGCATCGATGCAATACTCGGCCACGCGCAGAGGGGGGAGATGATGGGCCATTGTCCACCACCACTACCATAGGTAGGAGTGGGAGGAGGAGGAAAAGGAGGAGGAAGAGAAGGAAGAGGAGGAGGATGAGGAGGACCTCCTCATCCTCCCTTCTCCCCCGTCCTACATATGGTAGTGGTGGTGGAACATTTGCCCATCAGGATAGGGGGAGGGGGGGGACGTCGTCGAAGGAGGCTGCTGCTCAGAAGGCGCGGGCCTTGTCTGTAGATGTCAGGCAGACTCCTTCTAAGAAGCAGCCTCACTCAAGCCTTCCCCCCTCCCCCCTACCCCTATGTGTGCGCCGCCAAACTGCAGCATCGTCCACATGGTAGGTTTGCGTCGATCGCGGGCGTTCAAGGCCAGTCGCCGCCAGCGGCCCAGAGTCGGCCGACCTCGAGCGGTCTGCGCTGTCGGGGATCCGCGATCGTTCGAGGCTGGACGAACCACGCGGCGTCGGAGACCCACGCCCGCGACATCGCGACGCGAACCAGCCGCAGCCCCATCCCCATCCCGTGCCTGCTGGGCCTTGGCAGCCAGACGTGCTCGCGCCGTGACGGGGTCACGGCGGGAGGCTGGGTGGCCGCTGTCGGCCTCCGGGGGCCTCCGCCGTGCCCTGGGACTGCGGACGACCTGCTCGGGATGAAGGACCTGCCCTGGGGAAGGTCGGGATTTCCGGGGGGGGGGCATTCTGAGAAACAAGACATCGCACGTCTGGGATGCTGTCTCGGCCCACCCTCGTAGGAGGAGATCGGCCCCGCGAAACCTGATGGAACATGCGTGTACCTATACGACCAAACTATGCTGGTGGCGCGCCCTCGAGGCGGCGACACCACGGCGGGACACAACGGGACACCACGGGACACCGCTGGGCACCATTGGAACACCGCGGAACACCACGGGACTGGGACACCACGAGACACTTTCGGGACACTACCGCGGACCACCTCGGGACACCGTCGGGACAACGCGGGACATCACAGCGGGACACCCCTGGCCACCGCGCGCCCACCAGAGGGCTGGACTTTTGCATCCGAATCGTTCTGGCGACGGCAGGATCACTCCTCTTGCGCGCCCACGGCGAGACACCGCGGGACACCATCGGGACACCACGAGAGACCACGGCGGAACACCCCCAGCCACGGCGCGCCCACTGGAGGGCCAGACTTTTGAACCCGAATCGCCCCATCGACGGCGGGATGATTCCTCTCGCGCGCCCACACAGCTTCGCGTCGCCCGCACGCACGACACGAACACGAAGCCGAAACCGGTTTCCCAGTGGGGGGCTCTGCGTTCCACTGCGATCTCACCCCACAACCTTCGATTCGCACTTGCAGCCAAGACGCTGGAATAAGAACCAGTTTCGGGATCAGGAGGGGATCTGGTTTTCGGGCCGTTGCTTCGATCTAGGTCGGGGGACTTGCCCACCGGTCGTTGAAAGTAGGCATTTGGGGAGTCCCATTTCTCAATTTACTTTAAGCGCCTTCCTGCGTCAATGATCGAGTGGCTTCCCCTCTTCCCTCCTCTTCAGGGGGCGGGCGGAGACCCAATCTATGTTCCACGCTGTCCTGCTTCATGTTTCGACCTACTTCTTCCGACCGACGGGTCGGCGGGGAAGTCGGCCAGCTGGGCCAAGGCCATGCCAGTGGGGATAATAGGATCGGCTCCACGATGCTCAGGACTGCTGCCACTCCGTCGTGCCGGGGGTCGGGATCCCGGGCAAGTCGGCCCCCGCGTGCTTCCCGCGCGTGGCCATTCGGAGGAGGGCCAGTGGAGACGACGGCGGTCCTCCCGCCCGGCCCCACTCCGCTCAGAAGCGGTTGGGCGCCGCGTCATGGGGGGGTCGTAAATCGGGGGGGAGGCAAGGGTGGTTCGAAAAGGTACCCAAACGGTACCCAGACGAGCTCCCTGGGGCTCTGGAGGGGCCCGAAAGGGGGCCCGAAAGGGGCACGAAAGAGGACCCTTTTTCTGACCCCCCCATTTTGTGACCCCCCCATCAAGCCATGCCCAAAGCGGCCCATCGCGACCCCTCCCAGGATCCGTCCTGGCCCGTTCCGCGAGGCGCGAGCCAGCCGCGGCGACGAGAAGCTTCCCGAAGGGCCTCGAGACTGCAACAAACAACGCCAGGGAGGGCCGCCGTCCTCGGCGACTGCATGGGTTCGATGCTCGTTTCGGGGACCTTCCTGGAGCCCACCTAACGGATCTGTTCGACCCCAGTTCGACTCAAGTTCGACTCAAGGTCGACTCACGCTCGACTCAGGTTCGACTCGGGTTCGACTCGGGGTCGACCCAACTCGACGGACGTTCGGCGCAGCTTCGACGCACGAGTGGAGCGAATGGCTCCAGGAAGTTCCCCAGAACGAGCATCCAACATGGGGTGCGGCGGCGCCAGGGTGTGGTTTGCGCTCGGCGCCGTTGGGGCTTGGGGCTCACGACTTTGCCCTCCTCGAGCCTCCCCGGGGGCGCGGCGGAGAACTCTGCTGAGGTCCTCGCCCCTCCCCCCAGGGGTGCGGGCTGCAAACCGCACCTTCTGCACGCCACACCCTTCGGCGTCGTCCCAGACATGCGACGTCCTGCTTTTTGTTTCAGGGCGGCGTCCCAGGAAGCCCCGACCCTCTCCCCGGGACCGGCCTCTCATCCTCAGTCGTCTTGTGGACGGCCCCGGGGCCCGGCGAGGGCCCCCGAGGCCGAACACGGCCAAACACCTCCCGTCCGGATGTTTCTACGGCGCGATCATGCCTGGGGCCGAGACTGCCCCGCCTCCGAGCCCTGCGGCCCGCCAGCTTCGCCGGCGGCGGCGACGGGGCGGGCGCCTCCGACGCGCGCTTCGCGCCCCGGCCGCGCTGCCTGCACCTGCCGCCGCTGCCGGGGCAGACGCGCGTCGCGCGGCCCGGCGTGCGCGTGAGCCCGCCGGAGCCCGCCTGCCTGGTGCACTGCTTCTCGGCGTGCCAGCAGCAGCAGTGGTGCTCGAAGAGGACGAAGCCCAGAGGAGGAAGCCCAGACCCCCTCGGGCAGTGACAAAAATCATGCCGGGAGGTTTTTCTCTATTTTCAGCCTTTGAGGGCCCTCGCCTGGCCTCGGAACCGTCAAAAAGCGACTCGGGACGAAAAAGCGGTCCGGGGGAATGGGTCGAAACAGCGGGGGTCCACGTCATGATAAATCATGCGTCGGGGGTCGTGGAAAGCACCGATGCCGCTACCCTTCGCCTGGTTTTCCCCTCTTCTGGCCTCCTCGGGAGCCCTCGTTGCCACCGCTGGATTCGCATCGCAATCCTGGTCAGGACGCACCCCGGGAAAGGTCCGGCGAGTAGCGGTATCGGTACCTTTAGGTTTCCCCAGAAATTGCATCCCCACCGACCCCTGAAATCTAGGCCTCCTAGACGGGTCCGAGTAGATAGGGTCTGAGGATCGCGCCGTATCGTCGATGTATCGGGGATGCGATGCATCCTCCGAGCCCGATTTTCCACGCTGGCGTCGCCGATGCATCGCCGATGTATCGGTGATGCGGCGCGACCTTCTGACCCCATCTATTCCGACCCCATCTGGAAGGCCCCTATGAAAGCAGGCACTGGGAAGGCCTTGCGGCCGGTGCCACCGGTACCCTGCACGCCGGGCTTCTCGCGGGGCCCCCGCCGGCGCCTCCTATTCCCCCCCCGTGGCCGGGACCCCCTTGGGAGTCCGGGGAGGCAGAGCCTGCCCCTGCCTGCCTGGTGCATGGCTGCTCGTCATGGCGGCCGCAGCAGAGGTGCTCGAAGGAGACTCTGGGCCTCCCAGGCTGGGTAGGAGTCCCATCGGTCGTTGAAAGTAGGTATTTCTGGATTCCCAGATTCCAGTATGCTTTCAGTGCCTTCCTGCGTCAATGATCGAGTGGCTTCCTCTCTTCCCTCCCCTTCAGGGGGCGAGCGGAGACCTGCTCTGCTTTCCTTCCTACTTCATGTTTCTACCTACTTCTTACGACCGATGGGTAGGCCTCCCAGATGGGGTACGAGTAGATGGGGTCGGAGGATCGCGCCACATCGCCGATGCATCGCCGGAGCATCGCGATGTTTGCGATGCATCGGCGACGTTGACGTGGACTGCATCGCCGATGCATCGGCGAGGCGGCTCGATCCTCCGACCCCATTTGCTCGGACTCCATCCAGGAGGCCTCTAAAGACGGAAGATGCATCCCCATCGGTCGTTGAAAGTAGGTACGTTTGATCACAATAGTCCAATCTGCCAATCTACTTTAGGCGCCTTCCTATTTCAAAGGTCGAGTGGTTTTCCCACCTACTTCGCATTCAGGGAGCGGGCGGAGATCCAATGTACTTTCACAGCCTTCCTATTTCATGTTTCTACTAACTTCTTTCAACCCCGAGCTCTGCGCAGATTTCTGGGGTCTGCGCTGGGCCTCATTGGCGCGCTCCGCGCGCCGGGGAGGCGGGTCCCAGCGCCGATCCAGGGAATCCGCGCGGAGCGCCGAGAGTGCATGCTTGTGGGACTGTTTCACAGGACACTTTTGGGAGCTATTACGTTGCCAGGAGAAAAAAATGTTTGAGCAACTGTTTCTTCTTCCAGGTGCGTGGAGCTGCCGATCGAGGGCGTGATGCAGGGCGCGTTCACGTGGGCGTGGGTCAAGGCCGGCCGCTGCCCTCTCCTGCGCAGGCCGGAGGGCGCGCGTCTGCGCCCGTAATTAACGTCAGACGCCCGCGGCGGGCCGCGGGACGGCAGGGCGTGCACCAGGTCAACCAGACAGCGAGAGCCAGAGAGGGACGGGAGCAAAAGGAGCAAGAATCGTGAGTAACACATGAATATGGTGATGGACAGGGAGTCGGGCGAGACTGCAGGAGTGCCCCATTAGGCCGCTGCCTCCTCCTCCCCGTCTCGGAGAAGAGGGAGCGATACCGGTACCGCCGCCCTTCCCTCGACGCGCCACGACGAGGTTCGCCTCGACGTTCTGGTCAGAACGCCGGAGCTGTCTTGCCGGTGGCGGTGGCGGTACCCGTTGGTCACCCCAGTCTCTTTCGGTAGCACATCATGGGAGCCTGGCATACCCTCTTACTTTAGCCTTCAGCGTCGATCAGCATCTGTGAGTCGATGAGATAGTGCCGATTCAGCGTCGGTTAGCGTCGATTAGCGTCGATTTAACGTCGATTAGTGTCGATTTAGCGTCGACTAGCGTCGAGTCGCAAGAGCCGACAAGATGGCGTGGGAGGCTCCCCTGAATTGCCACCGAACTTTGGTCACCCCAGTCTCGTCCTCCTTTTCGCTGTCCCCCCTCCTCGTCGAGGCTGCTGCTCGTCGTAGGCTGCTGCTCCTCCTCGGCTTTCCCTCCGGGTCCTCGCCCTCCCCCCCCCACCTCGTCGCCCTCCTCCTCTTTTCCGATGCTACCCCTTCTTTGACCGTCTCGTCCTCTCTCTCGTCCCCCTCCCCCTCCTCGTCCTCAATCAAGCCTGCTCTCCCCTCGCCCTCCGAGGAGAGAGGAGGAAAGGGAGGATACGGAGGAGGAGGATCAGGTCCCTACCTGATTTTCGCCGAGCTTCTTGAGTCAAAAGGACAGAATGACTTTCGGCCCATCCCGCCACCGTGCCTGGATTGTGGGTCAAAGTCCTGGCGGATGCTTCTTAGGGTTCTCTTCGAAGCGATTTCGGGAGCCTTTTGGGCACAGTTCCGGGGCCTCTTGGGGACAGTTTGGGGGCCTCCTGGGGGCCTCTTTGGACCTCTTTGGGACCTCTTGGGCGCCTTATGGCGCCTCCTGGGCGCCTTTCGGGGCTGAGGGCCGGGAATGTCCTTTCAGGTCCCCCGTCTTGGCATCCTCTCGGGGCCGTCTTGGGGGCCTCTTAGGCCGTCTTGAATGTCTCTTGGGCCGTCTTGGGGTCCTCCGAGGCCGTTTGGGGGCCCTCTTGGAGGCCTCTTTGGCCGTTTGGGAGCGATCCCTGGGGACGTCGAAGCCGTCTTGGAGCGTGAGAAAGCACAACAAAAGGCGAGCACGCGCAAACCTTTCAAACTTTTTTCGTCTGCGGCGAGGTGGCGAACTCCGCTCCAGCGAGAAGCTAGATAGGGGCACTAACTAGCGAATGGGCCTCAAACCTTTCAAACACCACAGGCAATTGAATGGTTGTTGCCTCGTCTTGGGGGTCTCTGGGGAGGTTTTAGGCGCAGCTTTGGCAGTCTCGAGACCGTTTCGCGGCGATATTTCGGCGGTTCGGGGCCCTCTTGGCCCGTCTTGGGGCCTTCTTGGACCGAAGACGTCACGCGACGAGACGCCCCGGGCCGAAGAAGTCTCGCGCCGAGACGCCCCGGGCGCCAACGAAGTCACGCGCCAAGAGGCCCCGAGGTAGCTCCCAAAGTGAGCTTTGACACGCTGCAGGGCCCCTCGAGGGAGCTCACGGAGCGCCACGGAGGCCGTGGCGCCCACCATTCCCTCGAGACGGCCCAAGAGGCCTTCAGTCCGGCCCGAGAGGGCCCCATATTTCTGGACGCCCGAAATGGGTGCTGAAAGACTGGGTACGATGCCCAACAACAATTCCTGTTCATTTTGAACAGGATTCGCTGTCCACGCCGCCGCGGCCTGTGTCCATTCGAAACAGAAGGCCGCCTGCCCAACAGCGGCCGCTGTTGGCTTGGGACAACATGTGTTGTTGGGCATAGTGCCCATTCTTTCCGTACCTATTTTTGGCGTCCAAAATATTGGTTTCCGAGAGAGCCCCAATAGGCATGAATCATCGATTTCCCGTTTGTTTCTTTCACAGATTTTGTTGTCGTGGCTTGCCTGCGGCCTGCGCTTCCCCACACTCTGACCGGGCAAGACACCACCGCAACCGGAAGTTTTGGACGTTTTTTTAATTGTGTTTCCTGTCGGTTGTTTCTACGTTGCGGCTCACGTTGGCGAGTGTTTCTGGCATGACGCAGTGTATTCTCGAAAGGTTGCAGCCTGGCCTTTTGCAGCGCTTTCCCCGCGGAGATCCCCTTCAATGTGCTTTCGCGAGGCCGAGTGGCGGTCGCGCGCGGCGGCGCCCGTTTGCCACGACCCACGCGCGCGCTGATCAGGGGAGGTCGCAGTAGTAAGAACGTGGCCGCTGCGGCATTGCAGCACTAAGTTTCTGGCGGCGCGGAACGCCCGTTTCGCTTGTCAGTTGCACGTGTCTTGCACGGTGCGGATTGCCCCCTCGCAGCGATGCTTCGCGCGGCGTGATTGCGCAGATTTTGGGCGACGATGCACTCGTCCATTCGGGCAGAGCGCCTCCGCGTGGCGAGGCATTCTGTAGCGTCTAGCATGCCGCCAAGCTTGTTCCTTCTGGGCTCGCGGGCCCCCCGCCCCCTTCCCTGCTTGGCGGCGCGCCAAGAAATTGGAATGTCGTTCCCTTTGTTTGTTCGCCGCTTGCGTTTGCCACCTTCTTTTGGGCGGTGATCATTTGTGGTTCGCCTCTCCCCCGGCCATTTCCCTTTGCCCTCCCTAACCTTCTCTCTTTTTGCATTGTGTGTTTATTATTTTTCTCATTGCGCGCATCTCAGAATGGACAGACCGGTCGGCTCCTGGAGGGCGCGACTTCGTTGACAAATCATACGCGCTGCAGTTGCGTGTAGAGAATTGAGCGTTTACGTTATGCCGATGTGTTCGCGGCAAGTCCCGCGCACTGCGATATCGCATGTTTCGGCGCGGCGAGTTTTAGAGCGCCGCCAAGACAACCGTGCCACGCGACAGATCGTCGCCCATGCCCGTGCAATAGCCGCAACATGTGACACGCTTATCCGCGTCGTTTCGGGGCGTGTTCCTTCGTTTTCGTTGTCGTCCCCCCCTCCTCCGTCCCCCCGTTGCGAGTCCCCCTATGTTTCTGCCTCGTTCTGCGTCCGTTGTTCTTGTCTCTCTTGGGTCCTTCACGGGTTACTCTCAGGCCGCATTGGGCTTGTCACGGGGTCCTGTTGGGTCGTTTTGAGGGCCTCTTGGGGCACTGTTCGGCCGTTTTGGGGCTCTGTGGGACGCCTCGGGGCCATCGTGGGCCCTCGTGTCTGCTGGTGCCGTCTGGGGTCGTTCTCGACGCGAGCACGTCTGGGGACCGGACGGGGCTACGACGATTATAAAGCCGTTCCGGATCGTTCCAGACCGCTCTCATAACGTTCCACCAGGACGCTCTGAGAAGGCCGCGGCGCCCAATGCACCCTCCAGAACCGCCAGATCTCGGAGATTCTCGATGTATCCTCACCCGACTTTGTCCTCGTCTTGGCTCAGTTTTGGAGGACGGAGAGGCCGCGTGTTGCTTCTGCTCGCCGCGGTGCGCGGTCTTTTGTGCCAGGCCCTCGTCGCCGGGCACCTGGACCCGCCGACCCGGCAGCTCCACGCCGCGCTGCACAGCATCCTCGCGGACCTGCAGCAGCGGTTCTCGTGGATGGACCAGGCAGGGAGGAATACCGACAGCAGAGTACGATGACGATGCACAACTTTGCAATTTTGCGATTCTCACAACATGCAGCCCGAGTCTGATCGCTTTGAGCACTGCCTGCTTCCGCGGAGACTCGGATATAAATACGGATGGCAGGGAGGAGGTCACCACCCACCAAACCACCCCAACCCAACCCGAAGGCTCAGATTTACCCTCGATTTCCAGTGGGGGGGGGTCGGGAAACATCGAAAAAACACATGTGTAACCCATACCCCCCCCAACCCGAAATTCGGGTCTTCGGGTTGGGCTGGGGTGGTCTGGTAGGTAGTCAAGGAGGGGAGGGCTGGGTGCGGGCGGGCGGTAAGGCGGGGCGACCTCCATCGGGGAGGGGGAGATATTGCAAAAAAACCGAAGGATTGCAAAAAAAAAAAACCTTCGGGTATTGCAAAAAACCCTTTCGTTTTTTTGCAATCCTTGTTTTTTTTGCAATCCTTCGGGTTGCAATCCTTGTTTTTTTTGCAATCCTTCGATTCCCAAAGGAGCTCTTTAAAGGGCCTCTTTGGGCCCCCTGCTGGCTCCGAAAAGGGACCCCACAGGGCCCCTTTGGGGCCCTTTTTTCTGTACCCCCCCCTCCTCCCTCCCTCCCTCCCTCCCTCCCTCCCTCCCTCCCTCCCTCCCTCCCTCGGATCGCGGCTGCTGGCGGACTGGCTTTCGTTTCTGAGGCGCCCACCTGCAGGCAGGTTTCACCTGGCACGCACATCGATTATTTCATTTGTAGCAGTTGGCTTGCGCCAAAGCTTAACCCCCGCACGTGTGTGTTGGAGGCTGCCACCACCTACCCTCACCTCCCCGTCCAGCTTACTTTGAGGGCTCGGGAGGCGCCGGTTTGGGCTCGGGTGGCCAAGGTCCCGAAAGCTTTCCCGTCTACCCCTCCCATTGGCTGCGCTAGACCTCCTATATACCCGTGGCACGCGGTTTTGTCGACCGCCGCCCCGCAAGTTGACTCTGTAGCCAAGGTCGCTGATTTTTGGGATCTCGTCCTCGAAGGGGTGGAAAGAGAGTTGGCTGCCAGGTGGGACCGTGTTGGCTTAGCCGCCGAGGCCTATGTTGGCCGCAGCGGGCCTCTGGAGGTCCACTTCAAAAAGCTTGTCTGGACTCCCCCCACAAGGAGGACTTATAAGGATCCGCAGGCACGTGCCTGGGCTGTAGCTCTTGGTTGGGCCAAACACTTAGGCAAGGCCAGAGAACATCTTAGTGAGCAAATTAGGCTAATGCTTCGAAGGCTCACAGGTTCTCAAAAGTGAAGGCCATCCAAGAGGTTTTAAGCAACCAGGCGCGAGAGGCACCCCACCAGCAGGCCGATGCTGAACTGGTTCCCTGGAAGGAGGTTTGGTTGACCCACGGCTGTTCCGTTCTTGAGTCTCCCCGAGGGTCCACCAGCTGGCCCATGCTGCCGCCCATCACGGCCGCTCAGGTGGAGGATGCCGTTCACACTTACCCCATTCGCACTGCTGGAGGCATGATGGGTATTCATCCGAGAGCTTTAATCCATTTGCCTAGGCCGGCCTTCTCGGCGATTGCTGAACTCTTTAACCTGTGCGAGCTGCATTTAGCCTGGCCTAGAGAGCGCGTATGTAACGAGATGTGCCGTCTTGCCAAACCAGATGGTGGGACTCGTCTGATCGCTCTTGTCTCGTTGCTGTGCCGTGTTTGGGGCAAAGTTCGCAAGCCCATCACCTTCGACTGGCAAGAGCGTAATGACTGCCACGCTGTTTGGGGTACTCGTCGTGGGCACAGTTCCTCAGACAGTGCGTTTGCCCACAACATTGCTGCCGAAATGGCTGCGCTAGTCGGTGATATTTCAATATCTGTCCTCTTAGACATGATCAAATGCTTCGAAATGGTTCACTCGGAGCAGCTGTTGAAAGAGGCTGAAGCGTTGCACTTTCCAATGCGGCTAGCTTGGATGCTGGTGGATCTGTACAGGCAGCCACGGCGTCTTCGAGCTTTCGGCAGCTTGTCGCTGCAGTTCTGTTCGCATCAAGGCATCCTCGCTGGGTGCAATCATGCGACAGGCATGCTTTTCCTTCTCACGCTGCGTGCTGTGCGTAGACTCAATGACATTTCGCCCTGTATAACACCGAGAGCCCTCGTCGACGACATCTCGATTCAGCTCGTCACCTCGGATCCTCGTGATGTGCGTTTCCTGGAGCGTGCTGTGAAAGTGTTCACCGAAGATGCCAAGGTTCTCGGGCTTCACTCCCATGTCAAAAAGTCGGGGCTCATAGCAGGGAACAAAGTTGCTCGGAAGGTTTTCTCGAAGATGGCTATTCGGCTGCATCTACCTGTTCGTAAATGGATGAGAAATCTCGGGCATGAATTAGCTGCTGGTCGGGTTGTTCGCACGCAGGAGAAGAAAAGGCTACATGCTCTCAAATGTCGTCGTGACAAGTTCGTTGCACTGAAACATGCAACTGGCAAGCGTGCAACCCGACTTTGGAGGACTGGAGCTTTCCCAACGGCTGGGCACGGTGGTTCCGTGTCGGGCATCTCAGACACTGCGCTGAAGTATTTGAGGCAGCTTGCGGCTACGATCGCAGGTGCCAAGCAGCACGGTGGCATCACCTCGTATCTGCTGACGCAGGCCGATCCGCTATACGACCCGATCTACGACTCCACTACTTGTGTGTGTGTCAAGTTCGCCACGTTCGTCTGGGACGGAAGAGTTCAGTTGTCGAGACTTCAACGTGCGTGGACCTGTTTGAGAGACATCATGTCCGACAACCCTACTTGGCAGCAGGCTCGAGGTCCGCTGTCGGCGGTGTGGCTCAGCCTGCTTCGCATAGGCTGGACGATGGTCAATGCCCACACTTTTCGCAGCGATCTTGGTACAGATATTTCGCTGCTGGTGGTGTGTCCCAGTGATGTGCGAATTGCGATTATCGAAGGGGTGCAGCGGTGGCAGATACGTCGGTTGCAGCAGCACCTCTATAACACTGACCCTCCAGAAGGGGAGCCTTGGTTTCGTGCACTACGTAATGGTATACGTGCCGTAAAAGACCAGCGGGCTCTTGGGGCCCTTGCTGCCGTCTGGGGGAATGTGGTTCCGCTACCTGCTGCACTATCTGCTCTGCAATATGATGTACTACCTGAGTGCCTCGCCTGCTCCGCTCCTCAAGGCACGTACGGACACGTGTGGTATGCCTGCTCTAAGTTCATCACCGACGACGGGGTTGACGCTTTGGGTGACGAGGTCCCTGAGGCCCTGGCTAGGCATAGGCGCGTGTTGATCCAGTCTCGGGCCTCTATAACTGGGGAGCCCGATGTGCACTCTAATTATTTAACTTATGGCATTCCTCCCTTGCCCACCAATATTCCCGCTCCGCTAGCCAACCCACCTGTTTTTGAGTTTGGGGACGTCTCTGGGTCCTGGGGCCCTCAGTCTTTCACTGATGGTAGTTGCTATCACTCTGGGGTCCCAGAGGTCTCCAGAGCTGGTTGGGGCGTTGTGCAGTTATTTGATTGTCTGCTTCCCCTGAGGGCCGTATATGGAGCGCTCCCAGGTGAGCGTCAGGCCATAGGTCGTGCAGAACGCTGGGCTGTGCGGCAGGGTCTGGCTTTTCACCCGCAGCATCAGAGTATTGTATCGGACCTCCAGGCTGTTGTGCGAGAAGGCAATTCTTGGAGCCAGCATCTTTCCCAAGGCATGTCCAAGCATGCCTCGATCTGGAGGTCCATATTTGATCTTAAGTCTAATCACCCCCAGTTTTCTTGGTTCCCAGCCCATCTGAGTTTCGATGACGTGTTGGAGCGTGGTCTGTGTGTCAAAAGTTGGGCTGGGAATCTGTGGGCTGACTTCTTCGCCAAACTAGGGGCCAGCTCTCACACGCTGGCTGAGGGTTTTTGCGCAGCTGTGTCAGGGGATTTAAAATATCATAAATCCACGGTGCGGTTCATTGCATGGGCTGCTCAACGGTTGCTCGAGTCTGGCACATGGACGCAAGTTGACCCTGATCGTTCCCTCCGCCTCTTGAGAGCCCCTGCCCCTCCTAAGGTCACGGTCACTAGCCATGTGTTGTTTCGCTGTGAGGCCACCAGCACCTATAAGTGCAGGAGCTGTGGCCGTGTCGCTCGCACGTTGGAGTCACTTAAGAGCCTGCTCACGAGTAGAGACAATCGTGACTGTTTACCATCACCGATCCAGCGACACGTGCGCGACCAGTGGTTTCGTGAGTTTGGGGCTGCGTTTAGGCCCGCGCAGCTGGAAGCGGCGAGGGTTGCTCTGGCTGCTGCTGACGAAGCTCAGCGTGTGTGCACTGATGAGGTCCAAGGTCCCCCGACTCCTGTGGCTGAGCCCGAGCCGTCGGACGAGTTTTCTGTTTTTCGGGACCTTGGGCGCGACGTTTTTCGTCATCTGCATGTGTACTGTTGCAAGCTGTGCGGGGCTCATGGCTCTCTCAGCTCGCTGCGAAACCTCACGCAGCAATGCCAGGGGAGATCCAAAGTCCCGAGCACAGCTGCCAATCAGAGAATGTCCATTCGGCGGCTGGAGCGTGGGTGTCACCCCAGAACGGGCGTGAAGATTGCTGGCGCCGCTGAGCGCGACGATGACCGCGCGGAGCTCCGCCGTGCTTCCGCTTCTTTGAGGCTGCTGGAAGCGGCCCGTGGGCCCGAACCTGCTCCTGATGGAGCGAGCTCGGGTTCTGACTAAACTCGTTTGGTTTTTCTTGGGCTGCCCTTGTAGTCTGTCGCCCGTCGCCTCCCCCTCCCCCGCCGCATACGCGTGCATCTTCCTGGTGCTCTCGGCGCTGAGGAGGCTGGTGTGCGACGAGGCCAGGCAGGCGGGGCGGCCCTCTCGCTCGGCCCACGCCCTTGCGTGTGCTGGGCTATGCCTGAACTGGACCACCAGCTCGAGGCTTGCCTCTTGCTGGTGGCGTGCGGTCCGCGCGCCCCTCCCCTCCCTCCCTCCCTCCCCCTCCCTCCTCCTCCTCCTCCTCCTCCTCCTCCTCCTCCTCCTCCTCCTCCTCCTCCTCCTCCTCCTCCTCCGCCGGCCCTTTGGGGCCCTTTTTTCTGTACCCCCCTCTGTAGGCCCCCCCCCCCCCCCCCTACTACCACCCGCCCAGAGGAATGAGGACGTTGAGGGCCCAGACCCTCTGGAGTCGTGACAGCACGCAGGACGGCTGGTGTGTTGCGCTCCTGCCTTTCGCCGACGTTCGGCCCCTGGGGGGACCCCCGCGGGGCCCCCTGGGCCGTCCGCAGAGGCGACTTTGCGCGCTTCGCGGCGTGCCTCGGCACAGGAGGAGGGGCAGCACGGCAGGCTCTCGCCGCCGCCGTCGCGGCGGCGGCGCGGGGGCGGGCGCCCACGATCGGGGGCCCTTACCCTCGCGGGGCCCCCTGGGCCGTCAGCAGAGGCGGCTTGCGCGCTTCGCAGCGTGCCTCAGCGCAGGAGGAGGGGCAGCACGGCAGGTTCTTGCCGCCGCGCCGCGGCGGCGGCGCGGAGGCGGGCGCCCGCGGTCGGGGGCCCTTGGCTGCGTCTCCGGGGGCCGGGAGGCCCGAGCGGATCGCGCAGGGCAAGGCTCCGATCCGCGCACAGGCAATGCCCCCAGGCAGCCCCAGCTGGCCTCCACAGTCCACCCGCGAGGTCTGGTGCGGTCTCAGCTGGTGGGCCGCTTCTCCGCCACCACTACCACCACCAGCACCATGGGTAGGACGGAAGGGAAGGGAGGATGGGGAGGTGCTCTTCTTCTTCTTCCTTCTCCTCCTGCTCCTCCTCCTCCTCTTCCTCCCTCCGTAGCTATTTTGACTCAAGCCATTTTGGCTCAAGCCATTCTGGCTCAAGGTGCCGAGGTGGGCCCCCGAAGCTCGTGACCACAGGTGCTCGCCCGAGCAAGGCACGTGCAGTTCCCTTTTTACTGCCCGCTGTAGTCACACATGTTGTCTGTGTGTACTGCCGCCGTCCCCATCGTTTCAGTGGTTGCCGCTCTGCTCGCAAGACCCGCGCTGAGAAGTCTCGCGCCGACATGGAGTACAGCCTCAGCCCGTCACGGAGGACGTCGCCAACGTGACCGCCGAGCCCACAGTGTTCGGAACAGTTCGTCAGATGAAAGGCGCGACAGTCGCAGCCGCAGTGGCGGCAGTGACGCGAGCGCCCGTGGTGGGAGTCAAGGCCCGCCGTTCTGGATGAAAGATCTGCTGGCAGAGGTTCGTGGCATGAATGCAGGCATCGCGAAGATGGAGCAGTCCATGATTCTGGAGATTCGCGATTTCCGATCCGCATTGCAGACGCACGACTCCAACCCGCGCAGCGTCCACACTCGGTTGACCGAGGTGGAGCGCGTGTGCCAGAAGACTGTCACTGAAGCCGTTGCCGCCGCCATAGATGTCCAGCTCGAGGGCATCAAGCAAGAGCCGAATGAGTTGAAGGAGCCTCCATCGAGTGGTGCCAGTTTTGCGTCGACACGCACAGGGCCGAGCACTGTGCCGCAGCCGCGTGGAGGAGGCCAGGCGCCGACCAACCCGCTCGTGCGGTTCGCGGGCACCTTCCCCCGCCCTGTGCACCAGACGGCGCGCGAGGCGCACTGCCAACATCTCTTGAACGCCAACCAGATTCTGTTGCAGGACGTAGAGCCGATCTTTCACAAGGCCGCTCAGAACTACAAGCTGGTGTTCAGGACCTGGCTGCTGCCCACCAGTTCTCAGAAATTGTGAATGTTGCTTCGCTCCATTGGAGCGATCCGAGAGATGTTCACGTTCAGTAGCTACGCATCCGTCAAGATCTGCCGCTCGACGCTCGCGACCGCCAGCGCCAGATCAGTCGTGTCTACCAGCCGACCTTGGGCCGCCTGAAGGCGCACCCTGAGTGCACATGCGAGTGCAAGCGAGGAGTGAACGGATTCAAAGGTAAAGTGATGCCCGTCACGCCTCGCGGCATCTACACCATCGTGAAGACTGCGAAGCGTTCGGCTCACGTCGGGGAGCGCGTCGCCGTCCAGGAGGAGCTCAACTTGTGGAACTTCAACGCCGACGAGATCCAGCGCCGCTTCAACGCCGCCTACACCGCTGCCCAGCTGGAGCGCTAGGACGTTCCCCCAGGGCACTTCCGCGTGCACGCTGCAGCTGCTGACGTCGTCGCTGAGCTGGAGGGGGGCCAGCCTCGTCCGTTGAGCCGGTCACGGAGGGAGGGCCCAGTGCACCCTGCAAGTGATACCCGCGGTCCGCGAGAGGGGGCTTGCGAGGGCAATGATCTCGCGGTTGCTGCTTTGCTGCCGCCGTCCCTTGCATATTGTAGTATTTTCTGCTAGCTGCACGTCAGATCCCTCTTCTTCCACCTCCTCTTCCAATCGCGAGTTTCCGCATCTCCCCGACTGCCAGTTTGGCACCTGCTCATGAAATATCCAGACGATTATCGGTTCTGTTCGTTCGAATCAAGCCAGCTTCCGACGTGGGGCCGACCATGTTCGTTCTCTGATTCGCCGCCCCCAGGTCTTTGGGATTCAGGGGTCGCGCGGAGGGGAGGGAGACATGCCACGTATCAAACGTGAAATTCGATCGCACCGTGCGTTTGGAACATTCTGTGACTCGCCGTCAGTCGGCGGCAGCTTGCTTCTTGTCTCTAACCAGTGTCTTGCAAAATGGGAGGTTGCTGATTTAAGCACGTCACCCCTGGCCGCGTCAGCGCGTTGCACTTGCAGGGCTTCCGAGGCTCGCTGTCGCACAAGAATGCGCAGTTGGACCCAGTGCGGAGCGCCCGCGAGCTGCGCGGCATCTTCGCGAATATCAAACGCACGTTGGACCCACAGAAAGCCAACTTGATTATGCTTGGGGACGTTACCTTCTTAGAGATCGGGGGGTCTCGGGTGAGTGCGTCGTCTGGCCGTGATGGGCCAGCCACCAACCGCCTCGCCTCCGTCTTCTCCTCCTTCCCCTTCCTGGGTGAGATCCTGCAGGGCGGCGATGCGCGCCGGTTGTCCCGGGGCTCTGGGTGGCACCACGGCCAGCTGGATCGAACATATTGCAGCCTTCCCGCTCAGGACTTGAGATGCTCGCCCCAGGACTGGCGTCGCGTGGCCCGCCTCCGACCTCCAGCAACCCTCCGATCACGCCCCCGTCGTCGTCGCCCTACGTCCGTGGTCTCCCTCTGGGCCTACCCCGATTGCCGACTGGGTTGCAAAGCGCGAGGTTTTCGCTTTTACGGTTACCGACATGCTCGTTCTAGACGTGCTAGGTGACGCGCTCGTCGGCCAGCTGCGCGCCGTGAATGTGAAATTGCCATTGTGCTGCTCGCCAGGTTCGTGGAAACATCTGCAAAAAAGGTGCCGACAGCTTGGGGGATAACATCGCCTGTTGCACTAATAAGCTTATGCGCGATTTTCGGTCGGGGGGGTTCCATGAGGCTCGGAAGGCAGTTCGTGGTTGCAGCTCCCTGGGAGCGTTTTCGATTCTGAGTTTTGCGCGCGGACCGGTCGCCATGCTTTCGACTTGCACCTCGCCGCTCGCACGCGCAAGCTCTGCGAACGGCGCGAAGCTGCTGCCCAGAGAGGGTGTAGTGTCTACCGCGGACGCCGCTACCCAGAAGTGCGCTGCGGCTATCCAGCGAGCGCGGCGAATCCCACGAGCTTGGAGAGCCACTGGTGGTCGTGTCATTTTGGCGCAGGTCACCAGTCCCAGTGGCCAGCACTTCGACGACGGCAGTGAATGCGCCAAACAACTTGCCGAACATTGGGGGGAGGTGTTCAGGTATGCCACTGCTCCTACTCCAGGTGGTAAAGCTGCGTGTCAGGATATTGACTCCATCCCCGCCGACCCCGTGGAGTATCTTGCTCAGGATGGTTCTCGGTTTCCCTGGGTCGTTCCAAGAGGCCAAGTTCCAGGACATCTTGGGGCGGAACAAGGGCGCGTCTCTAGGGCCCGATGGGGCCCCCGACGCCGCGTGGAAAGCTGCTGGTGACATAGGTCAGGGCAGTGCATTCCGCCTGTGCGAGCGCCCCATGATCACTGGCCAGTTGCCAGGCGACTTCAACGCGTCCCGTGGCGCCTTCTTCCCGAAGGAGTGCCCTGGCGGAGCCGACCCCCAGGCCCGCGCGCCCGCCTGCGAGAGGCGAGCAACGCCGACAACAAGTCCGTCACCAGCTGCGCCGGTTTCGCTCTCAACACGGCAGTGGAAGGACACTGCGGAGAAGTGCCGGAAAAAGGGGTTCGTCAAAGGCCGTCAGTTGTTAGACAGCCTGTTCTTGCTCGATGCTGCGACGTCGCGAGTGGCGATAATGGATATCAGCCCGGGGCGCGGCGCGGCCCTCCTCGACATAAAGGCGGCGTTCCCCAGCGTCGTCCGCGACTTTATTTTGGGGAGAGCTCGAAGGTTTAAACCTTCCTCGACATGTTTGACGTGCCGTCCGCTCCCTATTACTTCAATATGATAATGAGTATTTCCATGCGTGCGTGTGAAAATTTCCATTCACATCAGAATGAGCACTGCAAATCTCTGCATTAGTGGAACGAGGCGTTAAAGAAGGGTGTCCGATTTCGGGCCTTATTCCTTGCATCTGCATCAACCCGTTCCTGAAGCGCTTCAGGCTGATTCGTTCGGGGCTTCCGACCGTCTTGGGGGGCCTCCGCGGATGGCATCGGAGTGGCGTGCCAGGACCTTCTCATTGCTCTTCCTCGCGCCTTCTGCGATCTTGCATTTGCTGGGCGCTTTGCTGGTCTAGTCCTGAATAGAAGCGAGTGCGTGCTCGTGATCCCGAGCCCCGGCTTCTGTGTGTCTGTCGTTCAGGAGTTTCTTGAGTTGGGGGTCGACGTCTCTGAGATCGCGACCCTGGCCGCCAGAAAATATCTTGGGCTTTACATTGGCACTGGGGGTTCAGATGCGTCTTGGAGGCAGGTGATCAACACGCTCATTAAAAAACCCTCCAGGTCAAGCAGCTTGGATAGGGCTTGTCGCACAGCATCGCCGCTAATAACATGTTTGGCCTTCCTGTCATCAGTCGCGTTGCGCAGATGGGGAACCTCCGAAGTGGGTAGCTCTTGCGGAAAATGTCTCCAGAGGTTGCCCAACTCCCCGCGTTTCAGCTCCCCTCCAGAGACTCTCTTCCAGTTGAAGGATCGGGATCACAATGTGCAGGTTCGTCGTCTCTATATCGTCGCCCATACCTCGCTGTTCCGTGCTGCTGTGAAAGGCCCTCGGTCCCATGTGCTGAAGCAAGAGCTGGCCAGCTTCGCAGAGAGCGACGAAGTGTGCATTGCGTGGCGGTGGAGCCCGCGCGGCAAGCACAGCCCCTGCCTGAGGACGTGGAACCTGTATGACGAGTTTTCCAGGGTGCACCGTCCGATCACCTGCCAGTGGAAACAAGTTCAGGCCACCAGCACAAAGATGCTTAACCAGGACCTTAGAATGACCCCCACCCCCACCCAAGACATGTTGGCCCCGCGGCCCCAAACATGATACCCTTCTGCGACTATATATATATATATATATATATATATATGTAAATATATAAACGGATACATGTTGCCTCCAAATATTTCCCCAGCTCTGTGATGTCCGCCTGCCCCAAGAGTTGATTTAACAGCTGAAATACTACGCGCCGATATCGTCCGGGAGCCCAAGTTTTTTCCATGTTGTTGTGAGAGTGGGGGTGATGACCTTAGACGCTATGCAGCTTGTCCCGTCCTGCGAGAAGCGGCCCAAAGAGTTCGACCGTGGCTTTCTGGCGACCATGGCGAGACGGACTTGGCCACCTTCCTTCCTCACCTTTTCTCTTCGGTATCTCGTGAACGCTTGCTGTCCCAGGTCCTAGCTATTGATTTGATGCATAGCACGCTTCATCTTTTTCCGTGCCAGTAGTCCTCGATGCTTTACCCCCGAGCACACCCTTAGCCTTTTTTCGCGGCAAGGCGGAGGGTTGGAGCCAGGAGAAGCTCGAATGTCCAAAGGCTGTCTCGGGGTCTCGGTCTTGCGTAGTTCCCCGCTCTCCCCCCCATCCTCCTCCTCCCTCCTCCTAAAATTCGAAGTCGCCTTTTCTGTCAATCTTGCCGTGCTCTGGTGGCGGCGGCGGCTTGTGTCCTTGCGGTCCTGCGCAGCCAGAGCCCGCAGGAACGCCCACGCCCGCTCGCGCGCGTGCTCGCGGCGTGCTGGTGGACCTCGGACCTCCCCTCCTCTGGATGGGTGTCCCTCCTCCTGCTCTTCCCTCCTCCCCTACATACGGTATTGGTGGTGGAACGTCGGCCCATCATCAACACCCTGGCGCCGCTTCCGGCGACCCTCCTGGGGCGAGCCGCGCTCCATGGTTTCGGCGTTGAGACCGCCCCGGGCTGCTCGGGGGGCGTGCTAGTGCATCACAGCCCAAACCAGAACCCACGTCGCCATTCCGCATTGTTGGACCTGTCCCCGACTCCGCTGGGCAAGCCTTGGCCCCGCTGTCCGACTGCCCCCCGTGTGGGGATAGGTTCCCTTTTCGTCGTGTTTCACGTCGTCGACCCGACTTTTGGGGGGGGGTGAGCCTGTTCAGGAAACGCGTTTTCTAGAGAGTGGTCTAGTTGCAGCAGAAGTATGTTTCCAGCGCGGATGCTGCGGGTTCTGTGGGAAACGGGTCCTGCATTTGTTCGCCCGTGTCGGGCTCCCCGGCCTCTTCCGCGGGCCACGGGACCGTCGAGCAAAAAAATGGGGGAAGAGCTGGTCTCGGGGGAAGGCCCCTGGGGTCCAGGACTCTTCCTTGGGCATGAGGTGTTCTATTTTTTTCCATACGCGGTCTCCCAAAGTCCCAACATTTGCCCAGGGCAGATTTTTTCCCCGAGTCGTTTTCCCCTTATCAGCGCTTGCATTGAAGGGGTCCTAGCGGAGGTTGAAGTATTTTGCAAAAAAATCCCGCCGATTTTGGTCGCACGCTGGGTTTCCGTGTTCCCGGTTCTGGGTTCCCGGTTTTGGGGCTGATTTCGGTGAGCGGCGAGGTTCCCAGGTTCCTGATCAATCTTCATATAGATCGGTCTCAGCATCGATCTCATTTCCAATTTTTATCGATCGCGCCATCGGTCCCGCAAGCGATCTCACTAGAGATCGCACGAGCGATCTCGCGATCGATGTCACTATCGATCTCATTGAATCGGTTCCACTCGGTCTCACGATCGACAATACACTCGTCCTTTATCGATTAGAAGATCGATCTCATCATCGATCTCACAATCGATCTCAAGAACTGTATGACTAGTTTTCAAATCATCCATTGACTGGGGTCTTACCAGGTGTGATTATTATCTTGGGGCTGATAAGGCCCTCTCCGAGGCCAAAAACGGACTAAAGACCAGCCTCGTGGTTTTGTTTCGATCCGAGCATGTTTTGGTCAGGGCCCGTTTTTTGTTTGAATGTGAAAATCATCACCCCCCCCTTGGATCCGCGGGAGGGAGAATGAGCATGTGCTGTCGGAGCGGGTGGAGGCGGGTTTAGAGGAGGAGGAGGAGGAGGAGGAAGAGGAGGAGGAGGAGGAGGAGAGGGACGAAGAAGAAGACGAAGAAGAAGACGAAGAAGAAGAAGGGGAGGAGGAGGAGGAGGGGGAGGAGGAGGGGGAGGTGGTGTTGGTTGTGGTGGTCTTGCTGCTGGTTTGGGAAGATGTGGCAGCATGTGCGCGGGAACACTGTGTCGCTTCCGCTCCTCTGCCAGGATGGGGGAGAGGAGGAGGAGGGGGCGGGGGGAAATGAGCCAGCTCCGGCGGAAGGTCCCACACCCACCCCACCAGAGACATACCCCATCCGGTGCTTCCTCCCTGGAGCCTCCTCCGCCCTGCAGACGCCCGTGGTGCAGCTGTCCACGGCCGCGAAGCTGCGCGAGGCCCGCAGAGCCGCTTGGGGGGGGGGGGAGGGCCCGGAGCAGCCCGGCAGGCCCTCCACGGGGGGGGCCCCTCGCGTCGTGGAGACGTGCGGGTCGCCGGCAGTCTGTCCTCCCTCCTCCCTCCTCCCTCCTCCCTCCTCCCTCCTCCCTGCTCCCTGCTTGCCGCTTTCGGCCTCTGGGGGCCCTCGCTGGGCCCCGGGGCCGTCCGAAAGAGCGACTCGGGATGGAAATCTGGTCCCGGGGAGTGGGTCGAGACCTCGAGGCGCTGCCGCCGACGTTGCGAAACACGATCACGTCCGGGGGTCTGGGCGGGAGCCCGAGGCTCCCCAGGGGCCTGCAGGTTTCTCCCAGGAAGGCCCCCCGCTTCCCAAGGGCCGGCAGTCGCCACCCTCCAAATCACCCCAACCCAACCCGAAGGCTCAGATTTACCCTCGATTTCCAGTTGGGGGGGTCGGGAAACATCGAAAAAGCACATGTGGAACCCTTACCCCCCCCAACCCGAACTTCGGGTCTTCGGGTTGGGTTGGGGTGGTCTGGTAGGTAGTCAGGCAGGGAAAGCCACCCTGAGGTCCTGGTCGGAAACTGGAACATCTACATCACCAGTGGCGTGCTGTTTTTCAATCCCTGGACTTTTTGAGGGTCAGGGACGACGTCGGGGTGGTGTGGTGCATAGTTGTTCCCCCGTTTCCCTGGGGAAATGACGAAAATGTATACACCAGCATCCCGTGCAGGGCCAGAAAATGCGTCGGTGTATAAAGTTCGGTTCCCTAACTGGGTTACTATTTCACCTTGTGCGATTTTGCTTTGTTTCGGGCCCCAGGACCACCACAATTCGATCCGGCTCGAAGACCAGAGCAGGACATGGGGTCTAGAGGGGCCTCTCCAGGAGGCGCCCCAACCTAATCCGGTATAATCCCCACGAATTTCGTTTGATCTGTCTTAATCCAAAGTTCAATTCGGCCTCATCCGGTTTAGAGACCCCCTATTCGGGCTTGGTGCATATTGCCAAGACGCTGAAATAAGCATTTGTTTGAGTTCGGAAGGTGCTCGCTGTTCCTTAGGTCATTCCGTGGCTGTTCCTTTGGCGTTCCTCGTGCACCCAGGCGCATTCGGCGCCCAGACGGGGCTTCGCTCCTTGCTCTGCCGAGCATTCCTCCTCTCGGCAGACCTTACTCGTTCTTTATTTTCCTCGCGGTGGCGTCCCCCGGGCCCCCTCTCCCCCCCATCGCGCCGCGCCCGCGCGCGCGTCTTTTTTCGGGCCACGTGGTTCACTGGCCGCTGGCCAGCCTCCGCTCCGCTTGCTCCCCCGCGGATGCAATTCCCAGGAGGTGACTATTCAGCACTGGCGCTTGTTATCCGTGGTCGAGAACAGGTATAACCCAGCATGATCCTAATTCATCCCGTCGGATCAGGCTTAATCCCAGTCTCAATCCGGTCTTAATGCCCCCGCTCGCGCCACACGATGCGCTGGCCGCCGCCCCCCCCCCTTCGTGCCCCCCTCTCTCCGGCGCACCCAGACCCCTTCTCCAGCGGCGCGCCGAAGAATGCGTTTCTCTACCCGGAAGTGTGACGTGTTCTGGCGTGCCAGTCCGCTCCGGGAGGTTGTCCAACCTCGGGATGCTCTCCAGCAGCCGCGTCTCGCCCAGGGCGTTCCCGGGGTGCACGCATCACCCCGAACGGCCGTCAGAGGCTCGATTCATGATCCGACAACCAATCGGCGGCGCGTGGAGGGGGGGGGAAGCGAGAAGGGGCAGGCCTTCTCAGAGAGCGGCGGAGCTTCTCGCAGGAGCCCCCAGGCCTTCTGAGAAAAGCCCTGCCGGGGCTTCCGAGCGGACTCAGAAAAGATGCCTCGCAGAAGGCTCGGAGGCCTTCGAAGAGGCTGCCTGGCAGGGCCCGCCCCCTCTGCCTCCCCCCTCAGGGCTCATCTCTACTCCGACTCGATTGGGCTCGAGTTCGAGCGATTCCGATTCCGATTCCGACTCCGATTCCGATTCGATTCGATTCGGATTCCGCTTTGGATTTCGGTTTTTCAATGGAGGCCGATCCGATTCCTTCCGATCCCCGACCCGACCCATCGACTGGCTCCTTGGGGCTCTCTTCCCCGCTGGGCGCGCCGCCGAGTGCAGTCCTGCCGCACCGACTGCTCGGGGTGGCGGCCTGCCGATCCCTGTGTTCCTCCTCCTCCTCCTCCTCCTCCTCCTCCTCCTCCTCCTCCTCCTCCTCCTCCTCCTCCTCCTCCTGGGCGTCACCTCACCTAGATGCCGACCTCCAAGGGTTCCCTCGGTTTCCGGGGGGCACGTCCCCGAGACTGTCGCCGCGTCCTGCTCGCGCATCTTTGGGGTCAGGGGAGCCGCTCGAGGCTGCTCAGAGCCGCGCCGCGCGCGCCGCCCAGGCGCTGAAGGAGGAGAGCCGTCGAGGCCTGCGGGCGGGCATCCCGCGGCAGCCCCTGCCGCAGAACCACCAGCGGAGGCGGGCGCTGCTCGTGGGGGTCAGCTACGCCGAGTCGCACGCCCCGCTGAAGGGCTGCGTGAACGACGCCTGGAGCTCCGATCAAATCGGCCACGTCCCTCTGCAGGAGGAATATTCTGCAATCGAGAAAAACAATAGTCTGGGGGCGACTCTGCGATTGCGTTTTTTTATCATGGTTGAGGATTGTTTGGCGTATGTTTCCTTCTTCCTCCAAAATCCGCCTGCAGAGGACATGCCCGACCTAAAGCTCCGAGGAGGAGAACATGGCTCGTGCCGCTGCTCGTCCTGGACTCCAGCAGTGGCGAAGCGTTCTGGCTCGCCTATGGGCCCACCAACGGATGTTCTCAGAGCCTTTCGTGATGTGTACGGAAGGTTCTTAGAACGTGGCTTGTTGATATTGTCTTGTTTTAGCACAACATTAGGTTTATGTTCTAAGAACACATGTTCTGTTATCATAAATGTTGTGGGCTCCAAGAACATTTCGTGGTAGGCCTATAGGAATGCCGGGACGGTCGGTCCCTGCTCAATGGAGAGCCATCCAGGCCACGGCCGGCGTCGCCTCGAAGTCCTGGTCAGAACGCGCCCCGGGAGAGGTCTGGTGAGCAGCGGCATCTCGGGGGCCCAGAACCCGTGCACTGACGGACCGCGTGGTGACCTCGGAATCTCCAGCCGCCGCCGCTTTTGGGGGACCTCGGAGGCGCCAGTTGCCCGAGACGTCCTCGGAGAACGACCCGAGTTCCGAAGCCGTGCGGTGACCCCGAACCCCCACTGACTCGCCGCGCGGTGTGGCCGTCACGCCGATTGGGGGCCCCCGAGTGTGGGTACCGTTCTTGCTCCCCTCCCTCCCCCCTCCAGGAATATGCACTGCCTTCTCAGAAGCGTCTTCCAGTTCGGCGAGGACCAGGCGCTTGCGCGGGGAGAGGGTGGGGGCGGGGGGGGGGGCACCAAGGGGGTGGAGGGCGGAGGCGGCAGAGGAGGGAGAGGGCGAGGAGGACGAGGGTGAGGCGGGCGGCGAGCCAGGACGAGGACAGGGAGACAGGGGCAGTGAGGTGTGCGGCATTGCGGCACCCGCTGAGGGAGCGACTGCTTTGGTCGTGCATCGGAGCAGGGCAATCAAGGCTCAGAGAGGTCAGGATCGGCCTCGGGCCCCGCGGGCGAAAGCCTGGCGCCCCTGCAGGGTCGGCGGGGGAACGAGGACGCCGAGGACGACGAGGCGGGCGAGGGCGCGGGCGAGGACGAGGGCCACGAGGAGGGGGCGGCGGAGGAAAGCGAGGAGGAGGAGGAGGCAGAGGGAAACGCCTCCTCCTCCTCCTCCTCCTCCTCCTCCTCCTCCTCCTCCTCCTCGCGAAGAACCCACCAGGATGGAGCCGCCCGCGGGTCGCGGCGAGGGCGGGCGGCGGCCCCGGGAGGTGCAGCTGCTGGCCGACGGGGAAAACGGCCGGCCTCCCGAGCCAGGCCGCGCCCCCTCGCTGGAGCGCATCAGGCCGGGGGGGGGTCCTCCTCCTCATCCTCCTCCTCCTCCTCCTCCTCCTCCTCTCCTCCTCCTCCTCCTCCTCCTCCTCCTCTCCTCCTCCTCCTCCCTCCTCCTCCTCCTCCTCCTCCTCCTCCTCCTCCTCCTCCTCCTCCTCCTCCTCCTCCTCCTCTCGTCCTCCTCTCCTCCTCCTCCCTCCTCCTCCCTCCTCCTCCTCCTCCTCCTCCCTCCTCCTCCTCCTCCTCCTCCTCCTCCTCTCCTCCTCCTCTTCCTCCTCCTCCCTCCTCCCTCCTCCTCCTCCTCCCCCTCCCCCTCTCCCCGGCCTCCTCCTCCTCGTCTCCTCCCCCTCCTTCTCTGGGGGGCCCTGCCGGGAGCCTCCGGGCCTCCCGGATGGGGTCTGAGCAGGTGGGCTTCGGAGGATCGCGCCGCATCGCCGATGCGTCGGCGATGCACCGGCGATGCGGCTCGATGTGTTGGGGGTGGACAGAACCCCCAACAGTGACACGTCGATTAGTGAATTGTCCGTTTTCGGTACTCGAGAGGGCGCCGTGGCCGTTATTTTCCAGGCTTGCGCCCGCCAGGTTTGGGCCTCAGGTCGTTTTCACTAAACCACGTTTTACTAAAGGGGAGTCTGTCCATCCCCGGATGTGGGCCCCAGTTTTTTCCACGCCGACGGCGCCGATGCATCGCGCCGACGTCGCCGGTGCATGGCCGATGCATCGCCGATGCATCGGCGATGCATCGCCGATGCGGCGAGATCCTCCGACCCCATCTACTCGGACCCCATTGAGGAGGCCTCTAGAGCCTCCCCTCTGGGACGGGGGCGTTCTGGAACGCTTTCGGCGCCGATCCAAGAATGCTGCGCGGAGCTCCGAAGGATGAGGTGTATCGCGTTTTCTGTTCCTCGATCTTCCCCTCCACAGGAGGTCGCTCTCAGGAGCAGGCCCGCTTGGACGTGTTCTCCTTCCGCCTTGGAGCGCATGAGGCCGGGGGGGCCTCGCCGGGAGCCCCCCCCTCGGGGACGGGAGCGGTCCAGACCCCCTCGCGTAGTGACAAAAGAATCACGACGGGCATCCTTATCAATTATACGGGTTGACTGTGCAATCGACGTGGGCACCGTACATCAGAGCCCCGAATCATCAGGGGTAACTCGGGTCAGGTCTAACTCGGGTTCGCTTTTTGGGATTCCGAACCCGAGTTACCCCGGCCCGAATTATCCCGGATAGATCGGGCGCCCAGAGCCCCAATTCATCAGGGATAACCCGGGTCAGGGCTAACTCGGGTTCCTTTTTCGGGAATCCAAACCCGAGTTACCCCGGACCCGAGTTATCCCGGATAACTCGGGCGCCCAAGTACAGCGGGGACGAGCATCAAGAAACCACATGTTTTTCGTCAGGGCAGCCGGTGCTTCTTCGCCCTGCGCGCTGCGCGGTGACTTCCCGCGGCCGTTGAAGAAGCTGCTGCGTTCAGGGTGCTCTGGGTTCCCCCCCCCCAGTGTGCATGTCGCGCGCGGGTGTTCCGGGGGGGGGTTCTTGCCAGAGTGTTTTGCGGCCGCATCCGCACTGCAGGTTCGCGCTGTGCCGGTGGGGCTGCGACCCCAGCGCGGGAGTCCAAGGCTGAGCGCCGCCGGTGGCGCAGAATCGGCCAACATGGAACGCTTTGGCGATAGAGAAGCCGCCGATCGTCCATCCTGGTGTCAGAGACCATCGCCGAAGTCGTCACGACACAAACCCGTCGTAGCGCGTCCCTTCACGTGTTGGACTTCAGCTTGCACGCTGCATGTGCAGGCCGTTTGCCCTAGTGGGCGAGGCCGAGTGTGCCTGCCCAGAGCCCGAACGCCTCCGTCGGAGGATCGAAAGCGGTTTCAGGAGGAGGGGCTGCTCATGCGCTGTTTGTTTGTACGGTTCCAGCACTCTGGGCCAGATATTGTCGAGGCTTCCTGCTGACACCAGGTACGTAGGCATCCGAGTAGACGGGGTCGTGGAGGATCGCGCCGCTTCGCCGATGCATCGGCGATGAGGCTCGATGTGGAGGCGATCTTCTCCACGCCAACGGCGCCGATGCATCTCCAACGTCGCCGATGCCTCGGCGATGCATCGCGGTAATGCGGCCCTCTCTTCCGACCCCGTCTTCTCGGACACCATCTTGGGAGGCCTCCAGGAACACGACCACGAAACCTCCAGGAAGCCTCCATATTGGGAGGCCTCCAGGAACACCATATCGGGAGGCCCGCCATCGCCATCGCGCAGAGTACGGTGGACGTCCGCCGCGCCAGGCTCGCGAGCGTGAGACGTCCAACACAACAGGCACGCCGCGTCTCGGGCGGAGGCCCGCACGCCTGCGTGTCCCGTCCCCGCGCGCCCGCGGTCTCCCCGGGGCCGATGTCCAGCCGATGGATATCCGGCTCGGTGCCGCCCCGCCGAGTCGAGCTCGGGCGTCTGTGTCGGCCCGCCGGGTCGAGCTCTGCATCTGTGTCGGACGTCTGCGCCGCTTCCGACTCCGGCGCCCTTCTCTCCGATCCGGCTCCCAACGTTCCGACTCCAGTCAACGGCACCGTAACGGGTATTTACTAACGGGTACTTTGAAATTATGCCGGAAGTTGCCACTTTAGGGCCTTTTTCTGGCATTGCAGCGTTGCCCACATCGGGAAGGGTTGGGTTCGCTGGGTCACTGGCCAAAGTACCCGTTAGTGGAGTCCCCGTTTGAGGGGCGCTGATCCAGCGTCCATCTCTCCGACTCCGGCTCCGACTCGTCCTCGGAGGGGCCCCGGCCCCCCCGCGCTGCCCTCCTAGGGCCGGGAGGCCCTACATGAGGCCCCTCGTCGGACGTCTGCGCCGACGCCAGGAGGTGCCTCGGGAAGCGTTCCGGCAGTTGCGCCACGCCGAGAACGTTCTAGGGATACCCGGATCGTCCCGAACGGCCGCGGGAGGATGCTGCTATGGTCCAAAAGCCGAATGACCCGATCCATCCGATTCGAGGTCGATATGCCCAGTCGATTCTAACCGAACATTCAGACGGTTTGGTGCGACCCGATGCTTGCATGGTGTACCTTGTGCATCTTGGCGCGGCCGATCTGATTTGATTCGACCCCGTTCCGACGCAGCCCGATCCAAAGCACGTTTCGATCCGATCCGATTTCTCGATCCAGTGCTGACTGATCCTGCGACGTCGAACCACGCATCGGACAAACCACAGCAATCTCGGTGGCGTCCAAGAGAAAGGTCAGGAAAAGGGGTGTTTGGATATTGTGGCCGTCGCCTATAATCTGCCAGTCTCCATTTTCCCCCCAGACCCCGACATCGTGATTGTTGTTCACAACGTCGACCCCCGCACGTCTGGACCCATGCACCAGGACCAGCTTTTCATCCCGAGTCTGTGTTTGACGGTCCCAGAGCATGGCCAATATTTTCCCGTCGTCGTTTTGTCAAGCGTCGAGAGGTGGTGAAGGTCTCCTTTAAAGGCCGAACAATTGCGTGAACATGAATTTTCGGCGGTCTGCGCGGATTTCTTGGATCGGTGTTGGGCCCCCCTCCCTGGCACGCGGAGCGAGCGCGCCAGGGGCGGCGCCAGAGGCGCATCCAAGGGGTCCCAGCGCAGGTCCAAGAAATCCGCGCGGACCTCCTCGCGGACCTCTTTCTTTATCCGTGAGGGCTTCGCTCCTGCCGCCGGTCCCCTCTCGGATAGTTGGCGATGCAATTAAATCATGAGGCCTCGGCGCCGCCGTGAAGCAGCATCGGCAAGATAAATTCAGATTGTGATGAACTCGGCGTTGCATTTCGAACCTGCCTCCGTATGCAGTGCACTGAGGTTTCCCGCCGAATTTCAGAAATGTGGCAATTCCCATTGGTTTTTTCGACCCTGACCCTGCTGATCTGCGTGAGGGGTGCCGCCGAATTTCAGAAATGTGGCAAATCCCATTGGTGTTTCGACCCTGTCCCCGCCGATTGTGTGAAGGGTGCAGCCGAGTTTTGAAACATTTGGCAAGTCTGATGTAAACTACAAGGGTTCATGGTTTCCTGACCGAGATTGAAGTATAATTTACAAAAAGGTGTATGGCTTCGGGGACGCGAATCTAGTGTAACTGTAATGTAATTCACAAGGGTTGATGGCTTCGGAGACGCGAATATAGTGCACATTAGAAAGTTTATGACTTCGGATACGCGAATGGTGTGTCATTTACCCAGGTTTATGGCTTCGGAGTCGCAAGTATAATATAATTTTCACAGGTTTATGGCTTCGTGCACTTTTCAAAGATTTGCGGCTTCGGATACGCATTGCTTCGGGGTCGCAAATATAGTATAATTTACACAGGTTCATGGCTTCGGAACCGCGAATGTCGTAACATTTAGAAGGGCTTATGGCTTCGGACACACGATTGTTTGTGTAAGTTACAAAGGTTTATGGTGTCGAGGACGCGAATATTTCTAATGGTTTATAGTTTCGGGGACACGAATATGGCGTATTTTACAAGTGTTTAAAGCTTCTGGGACGCGAACACCGTGTAATTCAGTAGGGTTTATGGCTTCGGGGACACGAGTATGGTGTATGTGCAATGGTTTATAGCTTCGGAGACGCGAGTATTGCGTAATTCACAAATGTTTATGGCCTCGGGGACGCGAATATTGTGTAAGCCACGAGGGTTGATGTACACGAATAGTACATTCGCACGGGTTTACAGCTTTGGAGACACGACTCGTTCGTAAGTTACAAGGGTTTACGGTTTCTTGGCCGAGATTAGAGCGTAATTTACGAGGGTGTATGGCCTCGGGGACGCGACTACTGCGTAATTAAACGAGGGTCTATGGCGACGGGGGCGCGAATTTCAAGTTTTTTAAAGTGTTCCACCTACCCCCAGGAATTCAGAGCACAATACTCGGGCGTGGTAACCAGGTTCCTTCTCGGCTCCCCCCCTCGCGCGGACAGTAGCAATTTACAGTAGGAAGCATACAGCAAACCTGTAACAGTGGAAACGGGAACCTGCAGCTGGTGCAGGGAGCAGCAGACCCTAGCCCTACAGCCTGGTGGCCCCACAAGGGGGGGCCGGCTGATGTTAAGCATTTTTCTGTTTCTCTATTGTGTTTTCAATTTGATGCCGGCTGGCCCCGCGACCCCGCCAGGGAAGGGCTGCGCTGGCTCACGGAGGACGGCCGACCCGGCGACCAGCTGCTTTTCTGCTATTGCGGGCACGGCGCCCAGCACCCGGCCAGCCCCGGGGCGGAGGCACACCAGGCCTCGGCGGAGGGGTGGGGAGCAGCTGGAGGAGGAGGAAGAGGAGGACGACGACGGCCCTGCCCAGGAGTGCGTGAGGTATCTCACGGTGGGTCTCACAGCGACAGGAGGAGGCATCTGGTGCCCAGCTACGAGCGCAGGACGACGACGAACCCAGGCTTCATCTGGGTTGACCCGACTCCGTGGTTCATTGGAAGCAAGTATCAGACCAATTGGGATCTGGCCACTGCTATCTGGGGCCCGTGATGTGTGTTGTAATGTTGATGTGAAGGGATGGCGATGGATGGTGGATGGTGGATGGTGGTGTTGGTGATGGGTGGTTTAGATGGGTGATTGATGATGTGGTGATAGATGGTGGAGATGATGGGTGAAGGTGCCGTTGCTGGTGATGATGACTGGTGGTGGTGACGATGCTGGGGAATGCTCTTGTTGATTATGATGGTGCTGGTGGATGTGTTGGTGATGTTTTTGTTGGCTCGCTGAGTCCAAACGCTCAAATTTGAGTTGACAGTCCAGTATCTGAGAGGGTACGAAAAGCCGCACCCCCACTGCGATGGTTCGAAGCTGGAGGGCGCCATCTGATGATGCAAGATGGCGCTGATGCCAGGGTGGAGAGGATGTGAGGCCGTGATGCTGGAGTGGGAGGGATGGAGATCCAGCCTTTGAACGGCACGACATCGTGGTCGTCTCGTGGAAAGCGCACCGTCTCGTGGTGATGCACTTTGTATGCTAAAACAGTGTGATGCTATGGTACGCCGTCTCGAACATGATGCGGCGCAGGCAACAATACGTGTTGCTGGGTGTCCATAGGACTATTCTACGATTTGATGTTATGTGGATGTATTCTTGGCATCGCTCGGACGTGTGCATTTTTTCTCAGCGAAAACCATCGAGGACCATCCTTGACCATCGAGTCAAACATACACGCACGAAACCGACACATGCACGGGAAATGGACGCCCGAGCGATGGCGAGTATTGGTGTAGCACAGCGTAGCTTGGCATGAGATCTCATGTGCGGTTCAAGTCCACCAGCGCCGCGCCAGGGCCACCTGTCAAGCTGAGTTCGCCCCGCCATGGGCCCCAGCATGGCGATCTCAGAATCGCCGCGTGACTTGGGCGCCGCGCCAGGGCCTGCCTCCTCATCATAACTCTTCTTGGTGATGTTCTGTCATCCGTCTTCGCGCATCCGTCGTCGTTCCATCTTTTACACCGCATCCGCCGAGTAAAGAATCGGTGCGTCCCTGCGTGGATGGAAGCCCGCCGCGACTCTCAATTGCCGTGCTCAGCAGGCCTGTTGGGAGCACCAGTAGGCTGATCTGAGACATCATCACGATCGCGCTGCTCGCAGATGCCTCATGGAAAATAGCAACACGGCGGCATCCGGCTGCTCAAGACGCCGTGTGGCGCCGACGCCGTGTCAGAGCTTCATGGCGTTATGAGCAAGCGCATGTTGCCGTGTGGCGGCTCACCCTTCGCCCAGCCACGCAGCAACGCCCTTCTCCCCCGGCAGAGCAATCTCGATGTCTGGCTACGACGCCGCGCCAGGGCCACCTCTCAGCTTGAGATCGCCCCGGCAGGGCCCCGGGATGGGCGTTATGATCGCAGGCCTAGAGGTTGACACCAATACCAATGTCGGCGGTGTGCCTCCACCGAGGAAAGACGATCCCGATCTCGGTGGTGGTGGTACTATTCTGGCTCCCAAGGTGGCCGAGATACTACCACCAACACCAAAATCGAGGATCCTCTTCCCCATGTGGAGGCGAAGCCCTGTGCTGGTGTTGGTGCCAATTCCCAGGCCTGCAAGATGAGCTCGGCGTGTGGCTCCGGCGCCGCGCCGGCGCCCCACGGCGCCTCGAGATCGCCCCGCCGGGTCCCCCCGGTGGGGCGATCTTGACCTCGTCGCGTGGCCTTTCGCCGCGCCAGGGCTCGCGTCGTCATGATCTCAAGCCTTCCTGGTGATGATCAGAGCGTGAATTACCTACCCCGCTTTCGCTTCCAGGAAAAACCAAGTCATACCACGCGCCTCCTCGTCAAGCGACCTGACCAGTACATGCCGTAGTTTGGCATCGCTTGGTATCTCTTGGAAGCGAGGGTGGTCAAAAGCGAGGTAGGTTTGTTTTCCCCCTAGATGAGACGAACGGGCCAACAGCTATCACTTTCGATGAGGGGCCCATCGTAATTGAAAGTCTTCCGGATGGCCCTTGGCACAGCATCACCTTGAACATGGAGTGATGAAGACGGCATTGATGACCATGCGTCTCATGTCGGCCTTCTGAGGCTCCCAGCAGGCCGATGATGCGCGCGTGGCTCACTGAAACAAGGCTGCCCTCATCGACTGCAGGCTGGTTGATGGATCTTCCAGTATGCAGGCCGGCCGTCGTGTTCGGCCGTGATTGTGCACGTGCGCTGCCATGCACAGCATCACCGGGCTGCCCACATCCCTCTCCAGCAGCTCCACGCGCACGTCCATGGGGGGTTGGGCGCGCCGCGTCTTGCGATGTCTGGGGATTCGAGCTGAAATAGCAAGCTGTCGTGAAGATGTTTTTTTGTATGGTGACGGAGGTTGTAATGATGATGGGAAGAAAATGGGACCACTAGGACGAAGGAGCTGGGAGGGGGGTCAGGAGGATGGGCGGGAGGCGAGAATGTAGCAGGTAGACGATAAGGGGGATGATGAAGAGGAAGAGGAAACGATGAGCAGGACGGAGGAATAGGAGGAGACCAACGAGGCGGAAGAGGGCCACAGGAGCTTCGACGAGGAAGAGGACGATATGAGATGTAGGAAAGAAGAGAAGGAGGCGATTGACGAGGAGGACGACGAGAGGGCAGACGAGACGATAAGCAGCAATGGGGGAAGAGGCGATCGAGGAGAGGGGTGACGAGAGGGGAGACGAAGAAGAGGAGCATTAGACAGGCTTGGACCCAGATAGTGCTGGCCATTCCCTGTTGGTCTGAAAATTTCTCATCGGGCCTAGTACTATATCTTATGGAAAGAATTGCCCTAACTAGGGTTCGCCTGACAAGGTCGGCCGGGATTGATGACCGGGTTAGAGGGTGTTGGTGGGGAGGGTTTGCCGGGCTTCTCGTTGCAGGGGAGGTCTGCACCGTCATGAAGTGTATACATAATATTTCGTTTGGAGACGACAGTGCCGAATCCCTGTCCTGATTCTCTCTCTCTATATATATATATATGTGTATCGAACCCCTAGGCATTGTCATTTCGTCCCTTTTCGTCCTCCCCCAGCGGCTTCCTACTTCTTCGTATGCCTCATCTTTTCTGTCCTCTTCATCCTGCTGAAACTTCGTCTCCCTCATCATCCTTCTCGTCATCTGTCCTCCCTCCCTCTCTATGCGTCTGTGGGGATGGGGCGATGGGGCGTGGCAGTTCCGGGCTCTCGCCGTGCGCGGTTCTATCGTCGACGCCCCAGCTGCTGGGCCAGAGCCTGACGCGCACGTTTCGCACAAGCTACACAGGCACCCAGTTGTTGGCCTCACGTCCCGAGCCGCGCCGGCCTCAGGCTGGCCAGCCTCCAAGGACCCGAGCGTCCACGCAGCGGCCGAGGAAGAGGCTACATTCCTTTGGTTCCCTCCCCCATCCCCCTCTGCCCCTCTCCCCCCCCCCTTGCCCCTGCCCTCGTCGTCTTCGAAAGGCGTCCTGGGCGCCAAGCCTGGAAATCAACGGGGGGGTGCTGGGGGGGGGGCGAGTGTGGAAGGATCGGTGCGAGGCTGGCCAGGCTCAGCGTCCACACTTGCCCCTTCCACCCCAGGGTTTCCTTCGTTGCCGCTCCTCCTGCCCTACCCCCCCTTTCGTTGCCCTCTGCCTTGTCCTTTCCTCCCCGCCTCTGCCCGTCCCTGCGGTGGCGAATTGATGCGCCGGGGAGGATGAGGAGGAAAAGAAACAAGGAGATGAGGAGGAGCAGGAAGAAGAAAGAGGAGGAGGAGGAGGAGGAGGACGATGAGAAAAAGGACGAGGAGAAGGAGGGGGAGGAGGACAAGGAGGAATTGTGGGGCGAATCGTAAGGACGCAGATGACGGAGGTTAGGAGATGGCGGTGGGATCGGAAGGCGCGAAGTTGTGTTCAGGTGCGGGCGTCATTTCAGCGATGAACTTTTGTCTCTCAATTCTGAAGGGACAAGTGAGAGCCAGAACAAAACACCGAGCCTGCAAAGTGAGATATACTCCAAGGGATATTCCGATACCGCCTCTCCTTGGCCGCCGCCCGATCTGGCGTGAGGGCGTGAGAAGGGAGGAGGCAGGGCGGGGAGGGAGTGGGGAGGTAAGCAGGATGCGGGTTTGTTCGACCGTGCCTACTCGCACACGGCGCACTTCGTGGCGCCAGCGCTGTGAGGGGGCCGAACGGTTATTCACTGTCCTTGGGCGCGTGGTTGAAGTGAGGTTTTGCGGTGCGGGTGTTTGTTATTGTTGTTGTTGTTGTTGGTGGTGGTGGTGGCGGTGATTTTGTTGTTTTTGTGGTGGTTAAGGTTGTAGTTGTTGCTGTTGGTGCTACTGTTGTTGAGCTTTCATTTCCGAAGAATAATTATTGTTGATCCCCCCCGTCCGATGCACATTGTTTCTTTTCGATTGAAGTGCCCCTCCCGGGGCTCGCACCCTGTTCTTTATCAGGGGAAGTCTTGAGGGTCAAACTGTGTTGTTGGCCCCCGGTTTGCAACAACAACAGCAACAACAACAACAACAACAACGGCTCCCGCCTGATACCTCCTCAAAATTTATTGAAGAATCGCGTTCTCGTCTGGGATTTCCTTGTAATTTCCTCCAGATCGCGGCTCCCGCATTATACGTCCTCACAATTTATTTAAACATCGCGTTTTCGCTTGGGATTTCCTCGCAACTTACCACCGAATTGCGGCTCCCGCCTGATACTTCCTCTCAATGTATTCAGATGCCGCTCCTCGACACTCACGAATCGCGCTCCCGCTACATAATGCCTGGCGGTTCATGCAGAATGTACGCTTCAACGACCGGCCCGCTCGACCCGCCCGTTTGGGCCTGCCCGCCCGACTAGCCCGTTAGACACTGCAGTCGCCGCTCGCTGCCTCTCGCCCGCCTTCGATGCCCCTCGCTGCCCGTACCGAATCCGCGGTCGCCTTCGCTCGCTGCCCTTCGTGGCCCCGTTGTTGCCCTCTGCCCGCTGTGGCCCCGCATTATATGCCCTTCGTGGCCCCCGCTCGTTCGCGCCCGTCGTGGTCCCATACGCATGCGTTTCGTCGCCCCGCTGTCACCCTTCGTGGCGCTCTCGCTGCCCTTCGTGGCCCCTTTGCTGCCCTCAGTGGTCCCGCTGTCGCCCTTTGTGGCTCCATATACGAATGCCCTTCGTGGCCCCCGCTCGTTCGCGCGCGTCGTGGCCCCATATGCGTGCCCTTCGTGGCCCCGCTGTCGTCCTTCGTGGCCCCATCTCTGCCCTTCGTGGCCCCGTTTCTGCCCTCAGCGGCCCCGCCGCTGCCCTGTGCGGCCCCGGATTATATGCCCTTCGTGGCCCCCGCTCGATCGCGCCCTTCGTGGTCCCATACGTATGCGTTTCGTCGCCCCACTGTCGCCCTTCATGGCCCTCTCGCTGCCCTTCGTGGCCCTTTGCTGCCCTCAGTGGCCCCGCTGTCGCCCTTTGTGGCTCCATATACGAATGCCCTTCGTGGCCCCCGCTCGTTGGCGCCTGTCGTGGCCCCATATGCGTGCCCTTCGTGGCCCCGCTGTCGTCCTTCGTGGCCCCATCTCTGCCCTTCGTGGCCCCGTTTCTGCCCTCAGCGGCCCCGTCGCTGCCCTCAGCGGCCCCCTATACGTATGCCCTTCGGGGCCCCCGTTCGTTGGCGCACGCGGTGGCCCGCGCCAACAACGGTTGCCGCCTGATACTTCCTTACGCTGTATTGAAGAATCGCGCTCTCGCTGGGGACTTCCTTGCAATGTACCACCGAATCGCGGCTCCCGCCTGATACTTCCGCACAGTTCGTTGGAGAATCGCGCTCTCGCTTGAGATTTCGTCGCAACCGTACGCATGCCTTTCGTGGCCCCGCTGTCGCCCATCGTGGCCTTTTCGCTGCCCTTCGTGGCCCCTTTGGTGCCGTCAGTGGCCCCGCTGTCGCCCTTTGCGGCCCATCTACGAATGCCCTACGTGGCCCCCGCTCGCTCGCGCCCGTCGTGGCCCCATATGCATGCCCTTCGTGGCCCCGCTGTCGCCCTTTGTGCCCCCTTCGCTGCCCTTCGTGGCCCCGTTGCTGCCCTTAGCGGCCCCGTCGCTGCCTTCTGCGGCCCCGGATTATACAGTCCTTCGGGGCCCCCGCTCGCAGTCGCCCCCTTCGTAGCCTCGCTGTCGCCCGTCGTGGCCCTCTCGCTGCCCTTCGTGGCCCACTTTCTGCGCTCAGTGGCCCCGCTGTCGCCCTTGGTGGCCCCATATATGTGTGCCCTTCGTGGCCCCCGCTGGTTCGCGCGCGTCGTGGTCCCATATGCATGCCCTTCGTGGCCCCGCTGTCGCCCTTCGTCGCCCCCTCTCTGCCCTTCGCGGCCCCGTTTCTGCCCTCAGCGGCCCCGTCGCTGCCCTCAGCGGCCCCCTATACGCATGCCCTTCGTGGCCCCCGTTCGTTGGCGCCCGTCGTTTCCCCATATGCATGCCCTTCGTGGCCCCATTGGTGCCCCCGTTGCTCTCCCAACCTTCCGCTTCTTTTTAGGGTTCCGCGAACTTTGTTTCTGACACTAGTTCGCAGCTGTACGTCCCCCCGTGTGGGTATCCACGATATGTTCTTTCAAAAGGGTGGTACGTGGCGCTGTTTATGGCGCGACCCATGGCGAAACTTTTGTTAATATGTGTTGGAGTTGCTGGCGCAAGCCATGGCGCAAGTTGAACCGCCACTCACAACGCAAATCATTGTCCTCCCTCCTTTTTACTCCTCCCTTCCTTTCCTCCACTCCCTTCGTCCTCTTTCTCCCCCGTGGTCTGTTACCCTTCGATTTCAAGGGCTTCACCAACCACGCGTGGCAGAGAATGAATATACCCCCCAAAAGGGGTACGATCGAAGACGCAGAGGGCGGGTATCCAGGGTTCGGGATATGCATGCTGAATGACACGCGAGCAGGTAAGAGCGAACAGCATTGAACTGATTGTTGTTGTTGGTGTTGTCGCTGTTTGTTGTCGTCGTCCCCCCCGCGACCTCGCCCGCGACCCATTGGTAACCCACCAGCGACCCACCCGCGACCCACCCGCGACCCACCCCGCGACCTACCGACGACCTACCCGCGACCCACCCGACGACCCGCCCGCGACCCACCCGCGACCCACCCCGCGACGTGCCCACATCGTTTAATCGAAAAGTCGGTGCCTGCGGCGGGTTTTGTGTATAATTGTTAACAGCTAGGCGTTTGCGGCGGGTTTCTTCAGCCTCGCAGACTGCCGTCGTCCACGCCGCCCCGTCAATTTTATCCGCGACTGCGGGGCGCGACGTATTTACCAAAGAGATTATTCGATGTGCGCCTTTTTGATCGGCGGTCAGACTCCTTTCAGCGGTGCTGCCAGGGCGCAAGCAAGCTCAGTCCAAGCCTGCGGGTTCGCTTCTGACACGCACTTTGCAGTGTGAGGGTTTTTTATGTGCCTCCCGCTGCAGGGCCCGTACCGCTCCCAGCTTGTACCGCAGCGCGAATTGCCAACCTTGCCGGCAGCAAGTTTAGTCAGAGCGTGCCGTCCCACATGTTGGAGTTGTTCGCGCTGCCAGAAGATGTGTCCTTCACCGAGCGCGTCCCACTACCCACAAAGTGCCTACTCGCAGACGTCCGAAAACAGAAAAAACAAGTCCGCTTTGATACAATTGATCGTAGATTCTCCGCGGGGGATCGATGCCATTTGCGAGCAGGCGAGCAGTTACTTTGCGAGTGGTGGAACGCGGTCGTCTAACGAAGATAGTCCGAGCGTGCCGGCTCGCTTCTGGCGCGCGCTTCCTTGCCGGAAGGGTGCAGCGGAGTTGGCGGCTGGCGAGGGTAATTCGTCGATCGGCAGTTCGTTCCATGAGACACTCCCACGACGACCTCCCATGAATTGCCTCCCGACCCTCCTGCCCCCTGCTCGTCCGTCCTACCCCCCCCCCCCCGCACTGCTCCTCCTCCACGGCTATGGGGCTCCGCGCGAGGCCTACCTGGTCCCCTCCGACTTCGCGGCGGACCTCCCCGCCGGCTCCGCGGGGCAGAATATGTTCGCCCCTTGCGGGGAGGTGGGGTTTTGCCTCCCTCCTCCCCCCCTCCTCCTCCTCCTCCTCCTCCTCCTCCTCCTCCCTCGTCTCCTCCTCCTCCTCCTCCTCCTCCTCCTCCTCCTCCCCTCCTCCTCCTCCTCCTCCTCCCCCTCCTCCTCATCCTCATCCTCCGCCTCCTCCTCCTCCTCCTCCTCCTCCTGCTCCTCCTCCTCCGCCTCCTCCTCCTCCTCCTCCTCCTCCTCCTCCTCCTCCTCCTCCCCCTCCTCCTCCTCACCCTCCTCCTCCTCCTCCTCCTCCCCTCCTCCTCCTCCTCCTCCTCCTCCTCCTCCTCCTCCTCCTCCTCCTCCTCCTCCTCCCCCTCCCCCTCCCCCTCCTCCTCCAAGGAGGGGGGGGGGGGCAGTCATGGCCCGAGGCACGTGCGCGGACGATGGGGGAGGGGCGGGTCAGGGGACGTGGTAGACTCAGAAGAGAGGTGGCCATGGAATCCGAGGAGGGGTCACGGCCCCAGCCAAGATGTCCCCCCAGGCTTCCAGGCGTTGCGGACAGGGTCTCGTCGGGCGTGTTCCTGTTCTCCGGTGCCCGGGTCGAGCAAGGGTTCGGATGGAGTCCCCGTTCAGCTCCCGTGCCGCACCCCGTGCAGGCGACCTATTGGTTCTGTGGGTCCTCCTCCTCCAGGGTCGCCGACAGCAGGCCTTTGGAGGCGACTGGCCAATGAAAGGAATCATGGAGCCCCAGTCACCCACTCGAGCTGTGTGTTTTCAAGTGGCCCCAAAAGTCCCCCTAGGATGAGGAGGAGGAGGAGGAGGAGGAGGAGGAGGAGGAGGAGGAGGGAGGAAGGAGGAGAGGAGGAGGAAAAGGAGGAGGAGGAGGAGGAGAAAGAGGAGGAGGAAGGGGAGGAGGAGGAGGAGGAGGAGGAGGAGAGAGAGGAGAGGAGGAGGAGGAGGGGAGGGAGGAGGAGGGCGAACACGGATGAGGGAGGGAGGACGCCAATTAGGGTTTGGGCCCCCCCCTCCGCCCAGGGACGAGCGGTTTCGCTGTCGAGGGCTTCTCGCCGAGCTGTCGTCGACACCAGGCCACGGTGCACCCCCCTGGGGCCAGTTCCCCCCGCTCGTCCCCCCTTCACCCCCCTCTTCCACGCCTCCCCCACCCCCCCATCCCCCCTCCTCTCCGCCCCCTCGCCCGCTCCCCGCCTCTCCGCCGCCTCCCCCACAGCGCGAGGGTCCTCGTCGCCGCCGCCCTCCTCGTCGCCCTCGTCCTCCCCGCTGCCGTCGCCGTCGCCTTCCTATTGACCTTGGCGCCGTCGTCCTCGCCGTGCTTTCTCATCGCCGACGCCGCCCAGTCGCATGCAAGCTAACGCATTCGAAGCACGCTGCGCGCCTCTGTGCCTCGTCATTGCCGTACATCGTCGACGCCCTCCCCGTCATCACCGCCACCGCCGTCGACACCGCCGCTTCTGCTGTCACCGATTCGGTATTGGGCCTCCCAGATGGGGTCGGCGCGCATGGGATCACAGGATCGCGCCGCATCGCCGATGCATCGGCGATGCATCTCGATGCGGAGCCCGATCTCCTCCACGCCGACGGCCCCGATGCATCGCCGACGACGCCGGTGCCTCAGCGATACATCGGCGACGTGGTGGGATGTTCCGACCCCGTCTGCTTGGACCCCATCTGGAATGCCTCTAGCAGTTGTGGCCGCCGTCGTTCACCGCCCACCAAGCCACCCCAACCCAACCCGAATACTTCAATTTGCCCTCCATTTCCAGTGGGGGGGGTCGGGGAACATTAAAAAAAAACATACGGAACCCGTACCCCCCCAACCCGAAATTCGGGTCTTCGGGTTGGGTTTGGCTGGGGTGGTCTGATGGCCGCCGTCGTCAACGTGGCCGCCCGGGCCCGCGCTGCCCGCGCGCCCGCAGGCTTCACGGGGCAACTGGACCAGCCGGTGCCAGCGGAGGCCCGCCGCGAGGGCTACAGGCCGCCCTCGCGTGCGCCTCTGCACCGCCGCCTCCGCTGGCCGGGGGCGACGACGGATGCCCGCGAGGCTTCTCTGAGTTTTCTCAAAATTCTCCAAGTAGGCTTGCCCTATGGTATAGCTCAACCCCTACTAATTGGTCCGTTGCCCCCCCCTTAATTCCTTTGCCCCCCCTAATTCCTATGGCTATGCCTATGCCTATGTCTATTCATATGCCTCCCCCTAACTCTTATGCCTACGCCTATGCCTATGCTTGCTTGCTTGCTTGCTTGCTTGCTTGCTTGCGCGCTTGCACGCTTGCTTGCTTGCTTGCGAGCTTGCGTGCGCGCTTGCTTGCGCGTTTGCTTGCACGCTTGCTTGCTTGCTGAGTTTCGGATTCCAAGCATGCTTGATTTCTCTGATTCCTGAATTTCTAATATATTTGGAGTCAACGCTGGCTGATATAGGCTTGCCCTATAGGAGTCCTAGCTCAAACCCTACTGATTGGTCCGTCGCCCCCCCTAATTCCTATGCCCCCCCTACTTTCTATGGCTATGCCTATGCCTATGCCCATGTCTCCCCCCTAACTCCTATGCCTACGCCTATGCCTATGCCTGTGCCTATGCCTATGCCTATGCCTGATTGCTTGCGCGCTTGCTTGCTTGCCTGTTTTCTTGCTTGCTTGCTGAGCTGCGCGCTTGCGTGCACGCGTGCTTGCTTGCTGAGTTGCGGGTTCCAAGCATGCTTGATTCCTCTGATTCTTTGATGTGGGTCGTCTAATCCATTTGGAGTCAGCACTGGCTGATATAGGCTTGCCCTATGGGAGTACTTGCTCAAGCCCTACCGATTGGTCCGTTCCCCTCCCTAATTCCTACACCCCCCTAATTCCTATGGCTATGCCTATGCCTATGCCTCTTCCCTAACTCCTATGCCTGGTCCTATGTCTATGCCTGCTTGCTTTCTCGCTTGCTTGCTTTCTTGCACGCTTGCTTGCTTGCTTGCTTGCTTGCTTGCTTGCTTGAGCGCTTGCGCTTACTTGCGCGCTTGCTTGCACGCTTGCTTGCTTGCTGAGTTGCGGATTCCAAGCATGATTGATTCCTCTGATTTCTTGATTTGAGTCGTCCAATCTATCTGGAGTCAACGCTGACCGATGTTTTGTTCGTTCAGGAAGTATTATGCGCTGATAGTCTAAAGGCCTTCCGTGCCTTCCCCTCTTTTGTCTTTGATTCTGACGTGTTTGAAACCATTGGGTAATGCCAGTCGTGCCCTCACAAGTGGGGTCGTGCTATCGCCGGCGAGTTCAAATCTTCGAAGGGGAGAAAGGGGAGAGGGGGATCAGTGAAGGGGGATCGCCATGGACTGACGAGGAGGTCGTCGGCGGGGAGGGTGGAGAGGGGGCTCGACGTGTGTCACTCCCCCTGGCCCGATGGCAGGTCCGTGTCGTGTCGACTCGGCGGCGACCCCAGCGCGGGCTTCCAAGGCTGAATTCTGGACTGGTTGCCCAGAATCGGCCACGGTGGCACGGCCTGGCGATGGAAACGCCGTCGATCGTCCGAGGATGAACGTTCCACGCGGTGCCAGAAACCAACGCCATTGTCCTCACGACACGAACCCGCCCTACAACAGGCGGCCGTGGAGCGTGGAGCCCTCCTGGCCGCCCGGGCCCTTCCCACTCGGCCGGCCCTCGGACCGTCGCTGCAGGTGGCCCCCTTCCGCTCCCTCGGTTCCCGCTTGTCGGCGGCTCGACCGCAGCAGCAGCACGCGGTACATTGGCTCAGGTGTCGCCCGCCCGTCTGCCCGCGTCCTCCGTCCTTTCATCTTCTCGCCGTGGCCCTCGTCTCGTCCAGGCCTCCCAGGCGGGGTCCCAGTAGACGGGGTCAGAGGATCAAGCCGCGTCGCCGATGCATCGGCGACGCGGCTCGGTGTGGGAGCCCGATGTTCGCTCTTGGACGTTCCCGAGGCCCGCCCGCTGAGGGCCCCTGGCCCTGGAGGCCGAAAATTCCGAACAAAAAACCCGCGTCATGTTTTTTCTTCGCTACTCGAGGGGGGGTCTGGGTTTTTCAGGGAGACATGCCCTACCTCGATCCTCGATCCTCGATCCTCGATCCTCGATCCTCGCTCCTCGATCCTCGAGCCTCGATCCCCGATCCTCGATCCTCGATCCTCGATCCCCGTCTCTCCTCGCGGCGCGCGGCCCAGGCCCCCGACGCCCGGCGCGCGGCCCAGGCCCTCGATCCTCGCTCCTCGCTCCCCGTCTCTCCTCGCGGCGCGCGGAGGGGGCGCCCTCCACGCCGATGCATCGCCGATGCACCGCCGGTGCACCGACGGTGCGTCGGCGATGCGGCGCGATAGTCCGACCCCATTTTCGGGAGTGGAAAAGGGGGGGGTGATGACTAGGGGGGGGGGATTTCATGGCGCGGGCTATGATTTTTCCTCAGATTTCATGGCGCCTCTTCTTGTTTCATTCAGTACGTCCCAGGCCCCCCCGCTGGGCCGCGCACATGCCGCGGGTCATGATTTGCACCCCCCCCCTCTTGGATACCCCCCTTTTGGCCGCTCCCGACATTTGGGATACCTCTACCTCGCGCTGGCTGTGCTCATGCTGGCCTGGTTTGTCCGCCCAGGATCTCTGTTGTGCGCGCTCCCCGCTCTGCCGCGTCGGCCTCCTTCGCCCGTTTGCGCGGCTCGCTTGCCGGGCCTTTCTGCCCGTGTCGGCGCCGTTGTGGTCTGCCGTCCGGTTTTGCCTGATTCCTTCGCCCCTGTCCCTCATTCGGAGGAGGTTGAGTTGAGACAACGGTGGTTCTAGGCCTCGTAAACGAGGTCGGAGTAGATGGTGTCGGCGGATGGGGCCGCATCGCCGATGCATCGGCGATGCGGCTCGATGTGGAGCCCGATTTCCTTCACGTCGACGTCGCCGATGCACCGATTCATCGCTGATGTATCGGCGATGCGGCGCAATCCTCCGATCCCAGCTACTCCGATCGCATCAAGGAGACCTCTGGTGTTTTTTCTTCGGGGGGGCTCCTCGTCGCCACTGCTGGACGCAGCTCGGACAATTGGTGCGTTCGGTCTCCAGGATGGGTGCGTGGGTCTATTTCGAGCTGCCTTGCCCTGTTCCGACTCCGAGCTCACATGCCGCAGGCCGTTGCGTTGTTCTTCCTTGTCTCTGCGCCTCCCTTCCCTGCATTCGCCTGGCATTGACAGTCGTTCCATTCGCCGAGGGCAACGGTTTTGTTATGGGCATTCTTTGCAATGCGCGGGGCAATTGAGCACCCATGGGCTGGGCTGTACACACAACGCTGCCTTGCGTTGTGTGAGTGTGTTTGCCTTCGCTGTCTAACATTGCCCTGAAGATTTGGTGACAATTATTTGAAACTGGCTGCTGGCGCGTCAACTTATTCGAGTCGAGCTTTCTGTTCCTCGCTTTGTTGTCCGCCGCACGTTGCTTTTATGGCACCTCACTGTGTTGTTTCACCATCCCTTCTGCACTGCAGTGGTGGACGTATCCTTCACTGCGCGTTCCGACTACGTCCGTTCGCACTTAGCATTTACATTTGCTGACCGCGCCTGAGGCTCCTCTGCGCCGCCGACCTAAACAATTGTGTGTGTATTTGTGTATGTGTGTGTGTCTGTGTGTGCGTGTCGGTGGGCATCCCTGCTCCCCGCCAGCAGGTTGCTGCCACTGCTGGAGCTGTGCTCGGTCATAGCAGGCCCAGGGCTCAGAAATTTGACCTTCTATCCTCCTCCCCCTCTCTTCCCTCCCCACTCCACCCTGCCCCCTCTTAATTTCTCTGCCATGCCCCCACCCTCCGTCCCTCTCTCCCTCCCTCCGCCTGTTTTTCTCTCCTCGCTCCCCCCTCACTCCTCCCCATTCCTTCCTCCTCCGCCCGCCTTTCTCCTCCCCGCAGCGTTGGGCAAGAATGGGGAAGAGGGCAATGGGTAGGAGGCCTGAGGACGGGGAGATGGGCGGAGTCCTCCCCGCTACCTCCTGCCCCTTCCTCCCCCAGCCAGCTAGCAGCTAGCCCCCTCCTGGCCCCTCCACAGTTACTCAATATGGGTACGTACTCCTCTCCTCTCTCCCCCGATGACGTCCGGAAGATCTCGGCCCCCCCTCCGCGCATTGTTGTTGACTCAGGACTCCCGGGAGTTTGGTTTTCGCTTGGTTTTTTTTTCAGTGAAGTGTTCCCGCCGAAGCGCTGGCTTCATTTTCGGAGTGCCGCTCGTTCCGAGTCGTGCTCCCGCGCTGGCCTCCTTTCCGCGCTTCCGCTCGTTCCGGACCGTGCTCCCGCTGCAGCGTTGGCCTCCTTTTCCGCGCGTCCGCTCGTTCCAAATCGTGCTCCCGCTGCAGCCTCGGCGTCGTTATTTCCAGTGCCATACCGCGGCATGCAATGCAATGCTGTGTGTTGCTGTGTGGTGCTCCGCTGTTCGATGCCGTGCCGACTGCGCAGTGCCGCGCCATGTTCTGCCATGCGACGCTTTGATCTTCAACGCCATGCTATGCCATGTTATGTTATGTGCCGATGTGCGATGCTATTATTTTGCATTGCAATGCTCAGAGATGCAATTCTTCACTACGCAACGCCACGCCATGCTATGACATACTACGCTCTGCCGTGCTCTTCTACGCCCTGCTATGTCGTACTTTACGATGCATCTCGCACCCTCTCGGGATCATTGCCCTGCTCGATATCCGTCTGTGCGAAAAGAGAGGAGATCTACGCCATGGAAAGGCGTGGGAGGGAGGGGTAGGACGTCACATACGACGCGAGCGCACATAGCTTGTCCCTCGTCCCTACCTCCTCACCCCACTTCCCTCCATCCCTCCTCCCTCCTCCGCATTCTCTCCTCCTTGTGTGTTCCCTCCTCCCAGCCAGCTCCCTCCTCCCTCGCCCGGGGACCTTCGCGCTCCTTCCCGTGACGGGGACGAGGGCGGGGAGGGGCCACGCGACCGGCCGCGCGGACACCCACAGGCGTGCCCGCAGGGGTGACGATGACGGTGGTCTTGGACTGCTCCTACCCGATGCTGCCCGGGGTGGGCCCCACGAGGGACGAGCCGGTGTCGTTCTCCAAGGTGGCGGGTGGGGGAGGGGGAGGAGGAGGGGGAGGAGGAGGAGGAGGAGGAGGAGGAGGTGGAAGAGAAGAGAAGAAGGTTGCTAGCCCTGTCGCTCGAAGTCCGGCCAACGTATCAAGAAGGAAGAGGGGTTGGGGCAGGGAATGGGAGGAGGTTTAGTGCGTTCTGCCTCTGTCGACCTCCCAGCGGTGGCCCTCGTCGCCACACGGCCGATGTTCTTTCGATGTCCTGGTCAGCAATCGCCCCAGGACAGGTTCAGGGGGTCGATCTCGCGGAGGAGGACCCCAGACCGCCAGGCGTAACGAGAACATATCGGGGTCAGCAAGCGCCCAAGCACAGGCTTTGGGGCCGATTTCTAACTGCAAAGTCGTGCGAGGAGGGAAAAATACGGGAGGATTGACTTAGGATGCAATTTTTGGGAGGTCAAATGTTCAGCATCGGCGCTGACATGTATCCGTGGCCGGAGACTAACATGGCACTATCCCGCGCGATTCCGCGAAGCCCATCTGAGTTCCGTAGAATCTTCGGCGCAGTCCGGGCTAATTTGGCTCAGTGGCACCGCCATTGGGCCTGCTCGCCCTGAGTCGCTCCACGAAGCAGATGTTCCCGGTGTGGCCAACCCCCAAGAGAGTTGGGCGTTGCGTAATGGAGGGGTCATAAATGGGGGGGTGTCGCGGGTGGTCCGAAAAGGTACCCAAACGGTACCTAAACGAGCCCCCTGGGGCTCCAGAGGGGCCCGAAAGGGGCACGACAGGGGACCGTTTCTGACCCCCCCATTTGTGACCCCCCCACTAAGCCACGCCCAAGAGAGAGGAAGAGCTGCATGCACACCACTGTCGGAGCTCCGCGCGGATTTCTTGGATCAGCGCTGGACATCCCTCCCCGGCGGGCTCCGCGCACCAGGGGTGGCGCCAGAGCGCCGCCCCCGGGGGCACAGGCGCCGACCCAAGAAGTCCGCTCGGAGCTCCGAGAGTGAATGCTTGTGATGTCTTTTTGTGGGCCCCCTCGCGAGGGAGGAGAGGCCACGACGAGGAGCAGTCTCTGTTCATGTAGGACCAGACTCGCGTTCAGTGTCGCCGCGGAGGCTGTCTGATGCAGAAGCTCGCCTGCGCAACAGCGGCCGCTGTCGCTCTGGGCAAAGCTTTCGGCTTAGCGTCGAATCCATGTGTTCCGTACCTACCCAGCTCGGCCGTGCTAGTGATGCCGAAGAAGCAGTTGTTGGAGGTCCGCGCGGATGTCTTCGATCCGCACTGGGCCTCCACTGAATCGTTCTTATGAAAACCTCTCAGAAGTTGCCTCGTAAACGGGGGAGGAGACATTCTAGGCCTTCTAGGTGGGGTCGGAGTAGATGGGGGCGGAGGATCGCGCCGCCTTGCCGATGCATCGGCGATGCGGCTCGATGTGGGGCCCACTCTTCTCCACGCCGACGTCGCCGATACATCGCCGACGTCGCCAGTGCATCGCCGATGCATCGACGATGCATCGGCGATGCATCGCCGATGTATCGGCGATGCGGCGATATCCTCCGATCCCATCTGCTCCGACCGCATCTAGGAGGCCTCTAGACATGAGGGAGTGACGAGGCGGTAACTGCCCCAGAGGTGGAGCGAGGCCGGGTCGACTACAGGAAGCTGCAGGACTTCGTCAGCCGGCCCCGCTTCATCGCCACGCCAGCACCGCCACGCCGGGGCACGGGAGCCCCTCGGAGCAGCGGCATTTTTGGCACGCAGCACGCAGACCCAAGACTCGAGACGCCATCGCGACTGCTCTCTGTTCGAGCGCGGGGACCCTCACGGACCGATCCAGCTTGAGAATTGCTGCCGGGAGACCTGGTCGACACTTGCAGATCGCGCCGCCGTCTGACCCCCCCTCATGAGCCAGAACCCCGCCTCTCATGCCCGCTCGGACGAGGGGGGCCCCTGAGGGCCCAAAGGGAAGCACATCTTACTGCCGGATCCTCCGATGATCCATCCTCTGCATGTTGTCTGCCCAGTTGCCGTTTTCGATCTGTGGGGGTCTCCTGGGGCCCGACACGGGGCGCAGGGGCCCGTCGAGAAATTGATGCTCGCCGCCCAGGCATCGGGGCCATTCGGTCCAGCCCGCCCAAATGGGGCCGGAGTAGATGGGGTCGTAGGAGCCCGCCACCCGCCGGAGCCTCGACAGATAATGGGCCCTTACGAAAGCCAGCCGTCCGTGACTCAGCAGCTCGAGTGTCATTCGTCGCAGGGCAGTGCTTGTTGCTAAGACCAGGGCCAGATCACGCCCACGCGCCGCCACCCCAGCCCGGACTCGCCCTCGAGGCGCAGGAGGAGAAGGCGGAGGAGCCGAGGATGCTTGAGGAGCATCGCGGCTCGAGGCGGCATCGAGGGCCGAGGAGGAGCGAGGCAGCGAGGATCGGTAAAACACGGCGCCCCTCGGCCCGTGGCGGGGCCGCCGTGGCGGCCGTCGAGCTGGCGCCGCTCTCGGTGCAGGGCGCGCCCGCGGAGTGCGGCACCGCGCCGGCGCACCCCGCGTGCGCCCTGCGCTGCTTCTCCGCCTGCGGCCTCAAGGAGGGCCCGCCGCCCGAGAGGGGGGGGCGGCGGTCCTCTCGGCGGAGTCGTGGGGGGGGCATCCCTCCCTCCCTGTGCACCTCCCTCCCTCCCCTCCCCCTCCCCCCCCTCCTCCCTCCTCCCGCCCCCACTCCTCCCTCCTGCCTCCCTGTTCCCTCCTCCCTCCCGCCTCCCACCCTCCTCTCCCTGCCCTCCCTCCCTCCTCCCTCCCCCCTCCTTTCCCCTCCCTGCTCTCCCTCCTCCTCCCCCCTCCCTCCTTTCCCTCCTGCCTCCTCCCTCTGCCCTCCTCCCTCATCTCTCTCCTCCCTCCTCTCAAGCAACGGTGTCCCAAGCCACTTTGGCCAGGGCCACCACCCTCCGCGCCGCCACCAGGTGCTTGAGGGGTGCGCGGCCCGTGGGGTCAGAGAGTTGGCCCCTGCCTCCAGTCCAGCTGCTTCACGGTTCCGCTCACCAGAAGCCGAGGTACACCTTAGGCGATGCTTAAGAAAGCTTAAGTTTTCGGCCAGAGTCTCGATTATTCTTAATGTTTCCATGTAAATCCTAAGATGTTCATAGAAATTCTGGGTTTTTAGTCAATTTCTGAGACTGTGAATTTCTTAACCCATGATTTCTTAAGCATTTCGCAGGGTGTACATGTTCTTCTAGCCATGGCTGCAGCCGAGCGGAGCTCGGCCGAACGGAGCCTGCGAGGCCGAGTGGAGCACTCTTGAGGGCCTGCGATGCGGCAGTTCGATCGTGGGTGGCTCGTCTCGGCGGAGTCGTGGGGAGCATCCCTCCCTCCCTATGCACCTCCCTCCCTCCCTCCCCCCCCCTCCTCCCTCCTTCAGGAGGAGGAGGAGGAGGAGGAGGAGGAAGAGGAGGAGGAGGGGGAGGTGGAGGGGGAGGAGGAGGGGGAGGGGGGGGGAGGAGGAGGAGGAGGAGGAGGAGGAGGTGGAGGGGGAGGGGGAGAGGAGAGGAGGATGAGGGGGAGGAGGAGGATGAGAGGAGGAGGAGGAGGAGGAGCAGGAAGAAGGAGGAGAGGGAGGAGGAGGAGGAGGAGGAGGAGGAGGAGCAGAAGGAGGAAGGGGAGGAGGAACGCGAGGATGAGGATGAAGAGGAAGAGGAGGAGGGAGATGAGGAGGAGGAGGAGGAGGAGGAGGAGGAGGAGCAGGGAGCCGGCATCCGTGAGACATTCGCGATTTTACAGATTTGCGACATGTTGATGTTTCTTGAATTTCGCTTTCCGTGCGCAGGCACACAGAACGTCCACCGGGGACGACTTAACACCTTGTGAGCACTCATTGTGCCGGCACACGGAACGTCCACTGGGGACGGGCGGGGACGACTTAGCACCACCGACTGTAGTTCGTCGAGGTTTTCGGGCGTTCTCGTCGATCCTCTGCGATTGGAGCTCGACCCCGTCTCTCCCCAGCACGCCTCGAGCCAGGTCGATACGCCCGAGATCCAGAAACGAACAAAATCCCGTAGTGTGAACAACAATGCGACGCCCTGATCTCAGGGAGGCAGGTTTTCGGTCGTTTCTGTCGGCGACTGGCGATCCAACATCTAACAGCCTCGGAATGCTCTCCAGCAGCTGCGCCTCGCCGAGAGCGTTCCAGGCGTGCCGGGATCGTCCCCAGCGGCCGCCAAGTCCCATATTGTGACCCGAAAGCGGATTGACTCCAGGGCCAGAGTAGATGGGGCTGGAAGATCGCAGCCGCAACGCCGATGCATCGGCGACGCGGCTCGATGGGGAGCCCAGCTCTCTTCATGCCGACGTCGCCGATGCATTGCCGATGCATCCACGATTTGGCGCGATTCTCCGACCCGATCAGCTTGGAACCCACACGAAAATTCAAGCTGTAACGCGTTCAGGGACAGGTTTGGGGGTTGATTGGAGGCGCTGGAGAATTCGTGCTGAGCGATGATTGACGGCACGCGAAGCAGTGGCGCGAAGGGGCTGCCATGTAAGGAGGCACGGGTTTTCTTTGGAAGCAAGCTTACCTTCAGGGCGACCTTCTTGGAAGCCTTCTCTGGGTAAGCTCCAAACGCGGATCCCTCAAGCGTCCGAACACGTCGTTGGGTTGGGGAGTAGGGCCACCGCGCTTGGGGAACAAAACGGAAATGGCGCCTGGATCCACAAGGTAGGTCATTCAATTTCGAAAGCGCCGTATTTCGGGACGGAGTCGGTGGCCACCGATGCCCGGGCTTGGGCCCCTGATCGCTTCTCCGCGCCAGAACCTAAGCCAGAAGGGGGCGCGGGAGGGGGGGGAGGAGGGCTCAATGGCGCCATCAAGACCGATTCAAGGGTATCCGCCGCGTACTATGCGGCAGGATGTCGGGGAATGTCGGTCCATGAGGTTGCCGAGAGGTCGGTTGACCCATCAATGTCAGTTCCCGTGAATCCAAACCCTATATTGTACAGAGGTTGGAGAGTATCGGGCGCGCTTGGGCCCCGGGAGGATTGCAGAAGCTGCGATGATTCCGCCCGTAAGTGCAGTTTGTACTAGTAACAATCGGTTTAGCGTTGCGTTTCCAGCCCCGAGTGCGGCTGCTCCCTTTTTGGGCCGAAGGGTTTGTCCCATGACGATACCTCTTTACAAGTCCCCTTTCGGGTTTGGGGCGTCCGAGTTCGGGACGGTTGCAGGCCCGAAGTGTTTCGACGTGCGCATTTCTTCTGTGTTGATACCAGTGCACGCCCCACCCACAAATATTATGGGATTATCGCATGTGCACGCACACGCGCACACAGAGTAGGCATGTTTATTTTTCTCGTAGCGCCCACACCTAACTTGTATGTGATGCGGCTTCGGCTAATGGCTGTCTAGTGCAGTTCTTGAATTCTGATGTACCGTGAAGTGTCGGGAATTACCAGAACTACAGGGACATCTATAGTTCGAATTATCCAGTGGCGCTGCCGCGCGATTCGGCCACCGCGCTCGGGCGGGCACCCAGGGGAGGGGGGGGGCAGGGGGCGTGGGCGCCAGTGGGGGGGGTCACTGAACGTCCGTCCCCCAAACTCGTATTTAGGCACATTTTTCTTTTGACGGCCAAAAGCCGAGGGATTTGGTCATGTAATGAAGGCTTTTTTGGCTGCATGCGTCGGGGGGGGCCCAATTATTGCTTTGGAAGCAGCGAAAGGACCCGACGCACACCTACCGCTGCATACGCGATGGCGGGTAGGTATTATCGGCAACGTGCTGTTGCAAGCCCCCACGGCCAGTCACTACGCGCGCGGCCAAGAGATTGTGTAGGAGTACATTGGGAGGAGAAGGAGGAGGAGGAGGAGGAGGAGGAGGAGAGGTTGGAGGATGAGGACGAGGACAGGGTGCAGGAGGTGAAAGAGAAAGTTGAGGGGTACGTCTAGCTGTGGAGTGTGCCAGATCAAATGAGTCAGCGGGCTTCACCCATTCTTTCCTTATGTATAGGAGGAGTGGGTGTGGGAGTTGAAGGTGTAGGAGGACGAGGAGGAGGAGGAGGAGGAGGAGGAGGAGGAGGAAGAGTAGGAGGAGCAGGAGGAGGCGGAAAATGTGTGGTAGGAGGGGAGGAGCCCCCGACACCCTGGCTGGCACCCGAGGAGTGGGATGCCGAGCTCCCCCTGGAGGGCACCGTCCAGGGCACGTTCACGTGGGCGTTCATCAAGGCCCTGGCCGCCAGCGAGTTCAAGTGCAGCGTGCACCAGCTCTGGGAGGCGATCGTCGGCATCACTGGCGGCCTCAAGCAGCACTTCAAGGGCGTGGAGCAGACTCCAGCGCTCGCGCTCTCGCAGTCAGCGGCGGCTTCGGACGCCGCCTTCGAGACGGCCCGCTGAGCGGCTCGCGCCCGGGGTGAGACTCCGGCCAGAAGTGGCCGCGCGTGCGCGCGTGTGCAAGGGGAAAACCTGTATGAGCTCGAGGACAAGAGACGGCATAAACCTAAACTTTTGGATGTCCGCGCGGATTTCTTGGATCGGCGCTGGGCCCTCTTGGCGGCGCCTCCGGCGCCGCCCCTGGCGCGCTCCGCTGCCAGAGGCGTCACCAGGGGGAACCAGTGGCGGCCCTCCGATAGTTTATGCTTATGCAGTTTGTTGTTCCTCGACGAGCTGGAGGTGTCGGGGGGAACCGCCCGTAGTCTTAGGTCGAGCACGTCCTGCTACAGGCGGATTTTGGAAGACACCTAGAACCTCGCCAACTGAAAGACTTGCCGTACGATGAGAAACACGAGCACGAAACATCGTCTCCAGACTATGCTTGACTGTCCTTGCACATTCCTCCTGCAGGGGGACAGGCCTGACTTGGCCGTAATCGGCCTCGGTTCCTCGGCGGCTTGCGCGTCCCCGCCTCGAGCTGGCGGCAGGCGGCCAGGCGCAGGCTGGTGCACGAGGCCGGGACCGTTTGGCGCCGCTGCGCCGAGGCGACGGCTGCGGGGGTCGGGGCTCAAGCGACGGGGGTCCATGCAAACGGGGGTCGGCCAGAGCGCCGGACCTTGCAGGATCCTGCAGGGCCAGGGTCGCATTGACCCGGGCTTGGGTGCAGGCTCCTGCAGGACCTTGTAGGATCCTGCAACGCCTGATTGACCCGGGTCTGGATGGACCCCGGTCAGCAGGTCCCCGAGAGGGGCGGGGGGGGAAGCTGGCCGCGGGGAGATGGGGAGGCAAGAGCGCACCACGTCTCGAAGAGGAGAAAGGGATGGAGCAGCACACCGCTCGGGAGGGAACAACAAGTATTGCGTATAGGATGTGATCGACCGTTGGCGATATGCAACCACATGTTACTACACGAGGTGGCGTGGCGCCATCGCACCCATGTGGTTACGGCGCAGTTTGACGCAGTGCGACATATCCTGTTGTTTGCGGCAAGTTTCGCCACCATGCCAGTCCAGCACTCTGGGTGGCGACTGCTCGAGGACCGCACTGCAGGTCGTAACATGTGACACCTCGTGGTCCGAGGCCTGGGAACGCTGTAGCTTGTGGCATGCTCTTCCGCGTCGTGTCAGGGCGTCTCTCCTCGTGTTCGTCGTCGTCTTTTCCATTCCCCTGATTCACTCTTCCTTTTGGGTTCCCGTGGGGGAGCATTGGGGGCGTCTTGGGGGCATCGTGGGGGCTCCCATGGCTGTCCTGGTGCGCTCCTGGACCGGCTGGCGCCCTAGCAGGTCGTCTTAGGGGGCCCGGAAGGGTCGTCCTGGGGCTCTCTCGGGCCTCCTCCGTAGAACGTGTTGCGATCCTCCTCGCTCCTCCTCCTCCTCCTCCTTCTCCTCCTCCTGATCCTCCTCCTCCTCCTCCTCCTCCTCCTCCTCCTCTTCCTCCGCCTCCTCCGCCTCCTCCGCCTCCTCCTCCTCCTCTTCCTCCTCCTCCTCCTCCACCTGCCCCTCCCCCTCCCCGTCTTCCCCTTCCCCCTTCTCCTCCTCCTCCTCCTCCTTGTTTCCTCCTCCTCCTCTGCCTCCTCATCCTCCGTATCCTACCTCCTATTATTATTATTATTATTATTCTGATTAGTATTATTATTATTGTTGTTATTATTATTATACTTATTATTATTATTATTATTATTATTATTATTATTAGTATTATTATCATTATTATTATAATAATTATTATTACTAATATTTTCAATATTATTCATATTATTATTATAATAATTATTATTAGTATTATTATTAGTAGTATGATTATTATTATTAGTAGTATTACCATTATTATTATTATCATTATTATTGTAATTATACTTAGTATTTTTATAATTACTAGTATTATTAGTAGTATTATTAGTATTATTATTATTAGTATTATCATTATTATTTTTATCAGAATTTTTATTAGTATTCGTATTATTACTACTGCGACTATTATTATTATGGTCATTATTATTATTACTGCTCCCCCTCCTCCTCCTGCTCCTCCTCCTCCTCCTCCTCCTTCTCCTCCTCCTCCTCCTCCCCCTCCCCCTCCCCTCAACCTCCCCCTCCCCGTCCTCCCCTTCCTCCTCCTCCTCCTCCTCTTCTGCCTCCCTCCTCCTCCTCCTCCTCTCCCCTTCCCCCTCATCTCCTTCTCCTCCTCCTCCTCCTTCTTCTTCTTCCTCATACTTTTCCTCCTCCTCCGCATCCTCCCTCATCCTCCCCCCCTCCCCCCCCCCCCCCCCGTCCACCCCTTCCTCCTCCCTCCTCCTCCTCCTCCTCCTCCTCCTCTCCTCCTCTCCTCCTCTCCTCCTCCCCCTCCTCCTCCCCTCCCTCCTCCTCCTCCCTCTCTTCCCCCTTCTCCTCCTCCTCCTCCTCCTCCTCCTCCTCCTCCTCCTCCTGGTCCGTAGCCATTTTGGCTCAGGCCATTTTAGCTCAAGCCCTTTTTGGCTCAAGCCTTTTTTGCTCAAGCCATTTTGGCTCAAGTACAACATTTCCCAAAGCAGCTGGCCGTTCAGCTCTGCGCCTTGCCATAACTCACAGGTCCGCCACGGCTGCACGGCCTGCGGTGCCGCTCCATCTCAGCAGAACGAAGTTCACCTTGGCAGAAGTTCTAACTCAACGAGTTCAGTTGCAGATCTTTGGGTTGGTTCTTCTATCGCTTGGCATCGGACAGGCGGTACGTGGTCTAGCTCAGCTCAGTACTTCCGAATGGACTCAGATTCTGCCTCGGCATCTTCCCGAAGCGTTTCTAAAAGTAGAAGCCAAGCCAGTGGACACCGACGCGATCGACGCAGACACACTGAAAGGCGCAGTGAGAGAGATAGAGACCGTGACCGTGATCGACACCGCCGACGCGATAGGGATATACGCCACCATTCCTCTTCTTCCGGAGGATCACGCCAGCCGCCCAAAGGACATGGTGGACGATCTAAAGGACCTCTCAGACCTCTCGGACGCGAAGCCTCTGGAGCCCCTCAAGGGTTTCACTCAGCTACTACTCAAGAACAAGCGCAGTGGCAAGCCCATCAAGCACAGCGAGAACGAGGTGGGCGCGAAACGCAAGTTGCCCACCAAGCTCATGAAGCCGCCCGGATTGCAGCAGAAGCCGATACGGCCCAACAGCAATGGTTGGCACATCAAGCCGCTCAAGCAGCTCAGCAGCGCTCTCTTATTGCAGCAGCATCAACTGCCGCCGCAGCCAGCTCTGGACTCATGACATCAGCTCCGGCACCAGCTCCAGCAGAAGAAGGCACAGCCACGCCTACAGGAGCACCTTGGCAGCAGTCAAATCTCGCCTAAGATATTCAGAGCGAGCTCAAGCATATCATGGCATCGCAGGTCGCCGCCATCAGCGCAGCCGTCGGCAACGCCGTCTCAGCCTCGCAGATTCAATTTCTCGCCGCACTGCAGCGGCACGAAGCAGCTACCACCCGCAGGTTGGATGGCCAAGAGCAAGATCTCATGGGAGTCAAGACCGCACCAGCACAGCAAGAAGCCCTGCACCAAGGGATCTGGAGTGCAACCCAGCGTGACAACCAGCAGCTCAGCCCCGGCGAAGCAGAGGCACCCATACTGGACATGGCCAAATTATCGGGCTGAGATCGCGAGCCAGATTCCACCATCTTCGCTCTCTCCAGCGCGCAGCCCGTCGCCACTGCCGCCGCCCGCAACTCCATTACCGAGTGGCTCGACGCAGCAGACGTGGCTCCGCAGCAGTTTCAGATTCATGGAGAAGGACCGAATCGGCGTTTCATATTGCAACTCCTTGCAGGTCGCGCTGTCGCCGTCGCCACACCAGTGGCCCCTGCGCGGGCGCTTCAGTTACGAGGCCGCGGTGGCTACAGACAGTCCACAGTTCAGACGCCAACCGACACCGCCATCAACAATGGCCAGTACGTACCGCTCTACGTCAACCCAGACAAGAGCATCAAGCGCATCAATATGGAACCTAAAACGAATAAAGCTACTCGCCCTCTGTCAGACTCACTAACCCCTGCACAGTTGGCGCGCGCGTCGCGATCAAGGGCGCATATTCTGCGACACCATCACCACCGCCAAACTGGAGCTCACTAGCATGGACGCGGCAACCACCATTCGTTGGAAGCAAGATGCGCTGGCCAGGGTTCCAATCGACAAGGCCACGATCGCTGCAGAAGTTGCCGCTCTCTACAAAGCCGAGGATACAGCACAGTGGACTTCGCAAGCGCTGGTCGCCATGGCGGGCGACTGCAACTGACGCTGATCGCGCGCGCCCTCCAGGACCTGGCGCATCTGCAGGGCAGCGACGGCGTCCTCTACAGCACCTTCGACCGGCACCTGAACAGGACCCACCTTGCCCCGCCGCTGCTGACGCCCCACAGCCCCCTGATCGCGCCCCACGTGAACTCTGGCAAGCTCCACGGCATCATGGGTCTCATCCTGCACAGGCCGCGCCGCGACGACAGGCGCGCGGGGATCGGGGCACCCGCGTTGCCCCCGAGGGGCCGGTCCAGATAATATGTCGGTTTTCACGGGCTTGGAGAGCCCCGCAGCAGCACTCCCCCCCCAGCATGACCTGCGCCACCCAGCTCAAGCCTTTCTTCTTCCAGAGCAAGATCGTCTTTTCTAGACCGACAAGACCCAGGTGGCCCCAGTCTCGGTAGTCAGCTCAACATCGGGAAACGCTTCTTCTTCCAGTGCCAGCAGCCCATCTTCTTCTTATTCGCCCAGCACATCTCCACGTACTCGCCGCGCCAAGCCGACGCGGACTACCACCGGACCTACTACTTCAGAGGCCGCAGGCAGCTACATCTGTAGGAATGCCAGAGGCCTTCTTTGTCATGATGATTGCAAGAGATGGGGGGGGGGAGATAAGGCAGATCTCCCTTGAAAGCAGGCCCTGGAAGCCCTGCAAGAAGTGCGCGGCCCCCAATTGGATCTCGAATCGCACATTGGCGAACTTCCGCATGACTATCAAGTGCAATTCAGCGGCTGCCCACTCAACCGCGGCAGAGGGGGAGTGGCCACTTTGGTTCCGACACCTACATCGACCTCGACATCAACGTCGCTCTGGCAAGTTATCCGCGGGCGAGTGGCCGCCTCGCACGTTGCCAATCGCGCCGCGGGCTTCGAGGCGCTCAGTACGAACGTACACAATTATGACGAGGCGGCAGAAGACATGAACAGAGTGGCCGAGGCACGGCACGCCTCGCGGCGCTGGGCAGCAGCAGCGCCCAAACAAAGACTCTTTATCGCCGTGGGCGGCTTCAATGCCGTCGCTGCCCCCTCCTTCAGCTTCAAGGGCCCTTCCTTCTGCGCGCTGGCGGCCTATGGCACCTGG